AAGAACCGATAAAAATTTAGAATGAAGGAATACAAAACATAAATGTTCCCTTAAGAGACTTTACGAAACTGATGATAGCAACCTGACCTTTTTTTTTTTTACTAAAATCAACATTATATTTTTCGCAAGGGACAATATTTTTTAAAATAAGTTTACAAAAAATTAATACCGCTGCTCCTCTTATTATCATAATTATACATTTATTGATCTTAATTTTCAATTATATTTAAATTTTCATATTTTGGCAGTGGCTATTTTGCCGGCGAAACATTAATTATGATTTGATTATAATATTTTTTTTATTAAAAGTGAGCTATGAATAGCATAATTCAATAGCAATTGCTATTTTTCCGGCGCCGGCAAATTGTGAATTTGTTATTTTGCCGTTTTTTTGTAAAGTTTGTATATATATAGTATATCTGATATATCACATTGACGCTGGGACTATTGATATAATAGTACCAGATTGACGGTCCTAAATGTATATAAGAATAGCTGCTGTTTATTTTATTAAAAGTATTTACTTATACTACCAATAAATAAATATATTTTGTTATTATAATTGATAAGGTTGGTTTTTTTAAAATTATGTTAAATATCATTATGCAAATTTTATTAATGTCAATTTTGTAGAGGCTTACATGAAGAACTACCCGTCAGCAAGATCATCAGATGTCGAGGAATTGATTGGGGAAACCAGGCGGAACACGCTATAAGGTAAGAATGACCTCATTTACCCCGTATAGTGCAACCATCAATTTGGGATTATTAAACAAAATTATTATTGTCTGTATTCTATGTTGAAAATTACAGTTGGTTATTTTTGAATTCAGTACGAAATTGTTATTATAAATATGTATTTTGTAACTAATATTTTGAAGATCAAGACGCTCTTTTTAGACAGTAAAGGGTAATATTAAACGCACACGACGTATTTAACTGATTATATAATTATGGGGTTTATGTGTTTTTCAAAGAGATTTGGAAAGCCACGTCTTACACACAGCTACATCTAGTATTTATTTGCAATAATGTTACTAGACCTATAGAATAATTACAATTTCAGTTTTTGTACAAATAAGTTTTTTATTGTCATTGCAGGAACCAATTGCTAAGAGGGTACAAGAAGCAGTGCCGGACATGCCAGGGACCCAGACGCAACGTTCAGTAGTTTAGAATAAACAAAGTTAACGATCAATTCTTCTCTTTTTGATATACTAGTACATGCATCTTTTATTTTTCATTTTTAGTTTTTTTTTATAAAACTTTCATGGGTGGGTGTTTAGCTAGTCAGATACATATTCAGAACGTGAACATGCTAAATGAGAAATTGATACTAATCAAAGGCGGGTTTAGGGGGACAGGGGGAACATCCCATTTATAGACTAACATATATGACAAAGCATATAATTTTTACAAGCAGGAACTACCAAGAACTGCATACGAACAGGCAATCAGCTATGGATGGCCCCAAAACACAGTACAATTCCTTTCTGTAATATCCAAATTAATGAAACAGTAATCCGATAAAGGCTACACAAAAAAATTGTTTTGCTTATAATATAATAAAAACAGATGATGAAAATGCCGGATATACAAATTCCTTCTGAGAATTGACACCAACATGTATCATCCTGCAGAGGTCACCTCATGGTAACAAACACAGTTGATACTATGTATGTATATAGATGATCATGTTTGGGCCAATTATATAGCATAATATAAAAGTGCAAGTATATTACGTCGATATAACGTGATATTAACGTTGTTGTAATGTCAGAATAACGTTGTAGAAACGTAATTTTACATCACTACAACGTTGATGTATGACGTTGTGACAACGTCAAGAAAACCATAACTTTTACGTAAATACAACGTAATAACCTGACGTCGATGCGACGAAAAAATTACATTGTCACGACGTAATTATGACGTAATATTGTTTGCTGGGTGGATATATCGTTAAAAAAAATTTCAAGCTACCATCGACTTGCACGTAAAACCAAGCATAATAAAGACGAAAAATAATTTACTATGGCTTATTAAACTAATTAAACGTATGCTTAAAAGGAAGACAAGAATTTATAAACATGCCAAGCATACTGAAAATTACAAGGAAAATGGGCACTTCCAAAAAGAATATATACGCACAAATTGCTCATGTGCATGAAATTTTTTAAAATGTAATCGTGCACCCCCTTTTTTGTTACATTTTGTAGAAAATCAATCCCTGCCAATATTGATCAATGATCAACACGCCGAATAATGGAGCTGAATATTAAATTTTGAATGGTAAAGACCGGGTGGTGTGAAGAAAGTCATGAAGATTTTACTCATTTTATCAGTACATCTTGCTTAGAATGATACCTAATTTGTCTATAATAAGACAACTTGTAGTGCATTGAAGAGTTTTGTGAGTTTGTGAGTTTAAAGTAAGACAAATATATAGGAAAGCCAGTTGTGGGGTAGTTTCTTCACATGCAGGCGATATTAGAAACAGAAAAATGTTATTCTTTCACAAGTTTTTATAGTTCCATCTTTAAAAAACTATGTTCTTATTTCTGTAAAAACGTTTTGACAGTCCCCCCCTCCCTTTCACAAAAATGTTAGTGTAAAATTAAGGATTCTCAACGCACTTTAGAATAACATGTTGAGTTTTCTTCATATTGACAAATACAGCGTAAGTATGGTATTTTGTCAGAATAATGATTGTTTTCGTTATGACAAGATTTCATATCGTAAAATTTCCGGAATTCCTAAATACAAAACAGTTGTCAGTAAATAAAAAGTTTCTCGTTTAAAATTGATATCAGCATTTCTCACTCTACATTCTGTTGTTATGTTGTAAATAGAAGCAAATCTTTGATAATGATATATTTGAAATCGGGAAAGCTCTTAAATCTTTCAAAGGCAAGGGCTACATGTCTGAAGTATATATACCTACCTATTCAGATACTAAAAAGTAAAATTATGGTTCTTTCTTCTGACCGTCTGAAGATGTGAAATATACTTATTGTTGTACCCACAAATAAATCCGATTTCAATTAAATGTTATGATGATATGACGAGACTTCATAATACCGGTTAGAAATATTGTTTCTGCTTTTTCGAGTCGCAGAAGCTTGAACCAACATCTGTGTCTTCCTTAGGTAACTTCTAGCAGTAGCGATCTCATTTTAACTCCGTTTTCCAAATGTACCATTTTTGTCTCACTTTCAAAGTAGCTGAGGCAAGACTTAAGCATTCTGTTTCCGGTGGCTACAATTCGTTAAAGTGATTAGGTATTTTGAGGGAAATCGTCAATGATATGTGGTATGCAGTTGTATTAACATTGACACAACTCATTATTTGGCCACTCCGGATCCCTCAGTCATGGTCAAGTGTCTTTGAATCTAGACCTTCTGCTGGTATTAAACAAAAATTTAAGTGCAAATGAATAGAATTGTAAAACATTTTTTTTTTCTGATGAAACTTCAGTGAGCCTGTTGTTCAATTAATAAAATGTATACCGATAGACAAATGAGAACATTGGCGGAACCAGGATTTTTAAAAAGGGGAACCGATGAAAATAATGGAAAAATGTGGAGGGTAAAAAATCAGAAAAATCTCCCCGAAAAACCCTATAATTTTCGCCCTTCGAGAAATTAATAACATCATAACAAGTAAAGCAGAAAGGCCAATTTCCCTTTTATTCGTTTCACTCACAGGGTAAAAAAAGAATGTTATTAAAACCTGTTGGAATTTTAATATTTATGAGATTATTTTACATAGTTAAAAAAAGATTCAACAGTTTTATATATTTCCATACTGACAAAATAATTTGATTTGATTTGATTTTTGTGTTTTTAACGCCACTTTTAAGCACCGCTTTTGGGCTATTTCGTGGCGGCCAGTTTTTATTGGTGGAGGAAGACGGAGTGCCCGGACAAAAATAATTTGAAATACTACCTATTGGTATTGAAGACAATATTGCATTAATCATAATTTTGGAAAAATGTTGCATCGAAGGCCATCGTTGTAAGACAATATATATAAAATTACTTACTTGCAGAATTTTGGATTTGGTTATCAATTTCCTTTCTATTAATGTTTTTGATTGATAAAGCCAATTTAATCAAATTCTATCAGAAATTGCTGTTCAAAATCATATATCGGTATTCACAATTTGATCAAATATAAATAAGGAGATGTGGTATGAGTGCCAATGAGACAACTCTCTATCCAAGTCACAATGTATAAAAAGTAAACAATTATAGGTCAAAGTAAGGCCTTCAACACGAACTGTTCGTTTGTAGAAATTAATAACATGTTTTGAATAAATTCTTAAAGTATATATAGCAAGTCAAAACGTCGCAGAGTCGAGAGTAACCTAAATGTGAACAGACAGCATATTTAGATACCAATTAGGGCCAATGAGCGAGACAACTTAAAAACGAGACTATGACAAATACACGAATAACAACAACACCGAACATGAGCTGTCTCATAAGCACATAAGCATGCAGTAGCTAGGTCATATGAGTGAAGACTCTAACGGATTTTTGGGAAACAATGAATAAATGCAACAACTGATTCAAAATCTCTTTTTGAGTTAATCATATGTTTCTAGTTAAACACTCCTCTAGCTAAGTTGATTTTCAGAAAGTGTACCCGTACAGCGAAATAACCTTATGTATTTATACTAGATAACCTTTTCGTCGAATTAACTTTTTTATAATAAAAAGCGTGATTAATTAAATGCTTCCAGAACAAAGAAAGTACAATATGGTTTCATTAAACCACAAAATCGATCGACAAATATCTTTGTTGCAGCTGTGATCCCCTTTCGTGATACACGTATATATATGTAATAGAGCTTAAAAAGTACTCGAGTCGTATTGAGAAATACACAATTTTATTTTTATTCAGGATTTAAAACGTATTTACCTTTTATGAACGATGACAAATAAATTAAACACAACGGATACATTTAATATAAACATATATTTGTTATCAGTGTGAATCATAATCATATAAAAAGGGATAAGTAAGTGGAAAGTGATTGAACGTCATTATCATGATTATGACATTTTTAAATAGACTTTCTATTTTTAAATAGACTGGAAAATACCACAGCTTACATGTCATATGCCTGATATATTTGCCAATATCGAGGTCATCAGTTTTTTTTTGTCATTGAGAAAATTACCTTTGCAGTTGATACACATATATCATCGAGTTTAGGACAGATCTTGTCACGTAAGTACTGCATATGTAAATTTCCTTCGTTAATAAACTTTTTTAATCATATAAATGTACAATGTCTCTTCAATATGTAAATATCCGTATGTGATATTTCACACACAATTCCTCGACAAAATGTTGTAAGCGGGTAATCTATATCGCATTCATTTGACCGCTTTCGTCTATATCAAGTACTGTAATCGGGAATTCACATTTTAGGATAAATATATTTCGTAAGAGAATCAGATGTCGACTTTTTTTCCAGCTGTAAAAATATCAGGGATAGGTATGGTAACACTCGGAAGACATGTTCATTGAACATAATCTTAGCGATAGCTTGATTTGTCATCTTAACATTGACAGAAAGACGGTAACAAACATACAAATATATTATTATCAGAGTAACGTGCGTGTCACGGTTTGTCATTGTTATGATTTTTTAAGTATGAGTTTCTGGTGATTAATTATAATGTTCAGGAAATTATATATACCATTGTATGCATATATATACTAAACTAAGTCATCTGTGCATGCTTTTTGCATTTATTATGAAATAATAGAAAATAATGTTTTATTTTGTGATAATTGATCAAAAACAATGACTGCTTATTAACTTTTTGGGTTTTGATGTCGAGGTTTACATTGATTGAGTGGTGTTTAACGCCACTTTCAGCACTATCGTGATATTTCTTGGCGGTCAGTTTTTATTGGTGGAGGAAGCCGGAGTTTCTGGAGAGAACCACCGACCTTCGGTAGGAAAACTGACAATCCTAGTCAATTTAAATTGGAGGCGAGCGCACCTGCCACGTGCAGGATTCGAACTGACAACCTCAGTGTTGACAGGCTAGTGACACAGTAGACCACTCGGCCACAGAGGCCACTCGAGGTTTACAGATCGTGACCCTGTTAACAATCAACACCGAATCATTGAGCACGTGTATTACAAGTGAGATGATAGATATATATATATATCTTTTTTAAATGTATTCCATGCATTCCCATTTGTTACTGACATTTCATCATAACGGTTGTTAAATAATTTGGTGTATTAGTTTTTTCTTTCAAAATCAGTTATTAATAGTTTCTTTCCACGTTTGTTTACTTTTTCTTCCGTCCCGGTTATCCCTCGACATTGCGCTGCGCGACTGTCGAATTTCGAACGAGAGAAGTCATATATAGAGAGGTCATTGCATACGAAAAAGCTGTTGGTGAATTATAGTACGGGCAAACAATAACCCAATATATAGCAGAACATATCTGAAGATTTTGTTAAAATAAATAATTTTCTTTAACAGAAAGTCTATGTAAATGTGTTTTATTGTAAAATTTAGCCATTCAAGTATATAAAACTTTTTTTTTTTTATTATTTAAAGGATCATATTATGACCGTGTTGGTTTTTTCTGTTCATATTCAATTTGTTTTGTTTTGTTTCTGTTTTGTTTTGTAGCTGCGTATGACGCAAGTAGAACTTTTGCAAAAATTTTAATTAGTATAAGCAAGTTCATAACTAAATATATGTTTCTTTAATAATCATAATTGTGTCTCAAGTTATTATCATGAGGTAAACTTCGATTCAATTGTTGAATAGAAACTGAACGCGTAATTGCAGTGCAACTGGGCCTATTTTGCACAAGGTGCCAGCTGAGTACGTGTAGGAAAATGTAAACAGCAAGAGGTTGAGGATAAAGTTGCTGCATTCGACACATCTCCTTTGAAAAATAGGGGATCGTATTTACCCTTTAGCACATGTATAAAAACAATATTAAAAAATCAAAATACATTCAATGCTGGATCCTGTCGTTCGCGGAGAAGCTATTTGACTAATTTAATCTTATGAACATTGTAATACCCTTACTGTGTAAGAAGGAAGACATCTTCATGTCAATGGATTATTTCCGAACTTAAATAAATTATACTCACAAAATATGAATCACCGAACCGTATTTAAAGTAAACACTATTTCTATTCATAAATGAAAAACAAAGGTATTGATATTGAGAGTAAAGAATTTGAAGGTAAGTATTCAAATACTACTGATAAAATTTCTACAATTCACGTTGTCTTGTTAATATGCTCACCGATATTTAATTTTTTTTAGTTATACGATGGAAGAATTCAACGTATTTACAGAGTCGCACACTTGTAAGGAAACACTAAAAGCTTTTGAGAAATTAAGTGTTAAACTCGGCTTAGACAATGTACCTCACGAAGAGTTTTTTGATCAACTTACTTTTGGATTGGCAAAAAATTGGAAGTTTAAAAGATTTTTGGATCATCTCAAGAATAAGTTTCAAGACACAGGAAAAGGAGAAGCTACAAAAGTAAGTCGTTGTCTATCATATTTGTTTTTCATTTATTGTTTTGTACACAAATCAGGCCGTTAGTTTGCTCGTTTGAATTGTTTAACATTTTGTCATGGCAAGGCCTTTTATAGCTTTCTATACGGCATCAGTTTTGCTCATTGTTGAAGACCGTAAGGTGACTTAATATACTTGCTTACATCTATACGTCAGTTGGTACTAGTGGATAGTTGTCCCATTGGTAATCATAGCACATCTATAATTTATATTAAATCTGGTGGCAGTCTAAATTTCCCGCTATTCATCGCGGTGGGCCCCTATTGCATGAACTGCCTATTGTATTTTTTGTTGATTTGTTCTCGTCCTGAACATGCATGGAAAATTTGCCACTGCACGTTAAGCTGACAACAATCAATTAATCTATAGCATTAGTAATTATTCAGGAAATGTAACATGATTATAGTACACATCTTGCTTTGTTCCACCGATCGTAATTTTTTATCATTTTTATAATAAAAATGCTTAAATCGCTTTTTTTTTGTCAAGTTAATCCTATTTCATCACTGAACAATTTAGAATCTGCTAATATATATAACGTGTTAAAATCGAAATTTTAGGAAAGTGGGCGGCAAATAATATTTTGAGAAAGACAACCAATAATTTTATGAAGACTTAATTACTAACATTAGAAAATGTGGGTCACTCCTGAAGTAAATGTTGAAAGTTTACGATTTATTGACCTATTTCATTCTCCAGATGTCCATCTTAAGTAAAGATACAATATTAAATAGTAAACACACACTATCTGGATTGTAGATAACGCTTTTGTCTAAAGGAGGCAATGGGTAAATACATTATATTGAATGAAACATGGACTGAAGTGATACCTGTTTGAAGTGATTGATTTTACCACTGTCCAGTTTAATTTATCTGGCATGTTACAACGTTAACGTATTTAGATTCTTTGTTGATAAATACACCAGAGAAAGTAAACTTGACGTATTTGTTATCAATAGGATTTTGTGATACGTAGATATGAAAAATATAATCTTACGTTCTTAAGATGCATTAAATTTAGAAAATAGAATGTTAACATGTTTTAACTCTATAATTTAATCAGCAAAGTTGTCAACACAGCCCTAATGCACTCTCCTCTTTTGACGATTTGTTCTGGTGTGCAATTGAGAACTTCTGTTCGGCACAATGTCACTGAAACAAGTATACAATGGTTAATGTTATTTAGTTCATCGAGGAAGTCAACCTAGAGCTTTATTTCTAGGTTGCTGTCTCATAATAGATGTTTTCCCTTCATCTTATTTCATTAATATGCAAAATATAATCTGCGTGTCTATGTCTTGTATAACACCAGGCGTCAAATACCAGTAATTATAAAAAGAAGAAAATATAATATGATTGCCAATGAGACCTCCACAAGAGATCAAATGGCACAGACATTAACAACTATAGGTCACCGTACGTGAATGCATGAATAATAACTCATAAGAGATTTAAAAGTTTTAAAAAATGTTTGTAACCAAGTAGCAGGTTCTATTTGGATGATTTCACCGGTTATATTTCCACTTTATATTAGGTGTAAAAGAAAATTTTAAAATTTTAATTTTACGTTCAGGAGCACCTGATATCACCTCCGGTTTTTGGTGGGATTCGTATTGCTCATTCTTTAGTTTCGTATGTTGTGTTTTGTATATTGTTGTTTGACTTTTCGTCGCTTTCCCTTTTTGTCCATGGCGTTGTCAGTTTGTTTTCGACTTCTGAGTTTGAATGTCCCTTTGGTATATTTCGCGTCTCTTTTAATGATTTTCATCTATAAGTCACAGGCGCTTAGGGAATGGAACCCCGATTTGCTTTTTTTTCTGTTATAATTTATTTTAGTAAATATTCTGTTATTTTTTAACGTATTTTCACTTATTTAATGTGTTCTTGCTCTGTTCCATACGATATTGAAATAACAGCGGTTAATAAATTTTGACCCTTTATTATTATTATTTTCTACGTGAAAACAGAAAAAAAAATAGTAAAAGGGGGGTCCATTCCCCTAAGCGTCTGCGCTACAATCACTATCTTCTCTTAAACCGCCTAATATGTTTTAAAGTGCTTGGCCGTGCAAGGATGTGTGTAGCGTGTATCTGTATATTTTAGGTACTAGTTGTTGGTGCTGGGCCGTGTGGACTACGGATAGCCATTGAGACTGCATTTTTGGGATGTAAAGTTGTTTTGATAGACAAACGTGATGCTTTCACAAGAAACAACGTCCTCCATCTCTGGCCATTTACAGTAACTGATTTAAAAAATATAGGCATAAAACAATTTTTTGGACGGTTTTGTTGTGGAGAACTAGATCATATAAGTAAGTATTGAATTTGAAGCTTGGCTGATATTGCAATTCTAAAATATATTTTCTTTTTAATTGATCTTTAGCTAAGTATGGATAAAGTAAAGGATATCAGCTTAACGTATTCCTAACAGGAATAAATTAAAATTAAGATGTGATTTAACAATTTCCAAGAAAAAGAGTTATCAATTATACCAGGTTTATAATTTTATAAACAAGACGCGTGTTTCGTGTTCTACATTAGACTAATAAGTGGTGCTCGAATAAAAAATAGTTGGAAGTCAATACCAATAATTAAGTTGAAGAGCACGGAAACAGAAAAAAGTTATATAAAACCAGGCCAAGGCCATTTAATTCTGGAGGTAAACAGTTTATGAAAAACAAACGGGATATCTCATCCTAATTTTAACAGTGATGTTATTTATAGAGCCCGTAAAGTTAGATATGATACATCTTATTCTCAAAGGTTATCAATTTAACACCGTAGTGAAATTAGAATATAATTTGCCTTCGGGTTTATATGATCCGTTCATCCTATTTCGACTCTTTAAAATTCAAGAGTCTATCCTAAATTGAGGTAAATTATATGACCTTCCAAATACCGTTTCGATTCCTAACTTCACTGAAGCGACATTAATTGTCGAAATCCGGATATAGTGTACAATTGTTTGCACCTCATGTTTGCGGTATACCATCTTTTCCGCAAGTTATTGTTTTCTGTTTGGTATTTAATTAATAATAAAGATCTATTTTGTTACATCTTGTGATCCGTTTATTTGGCAATCGCCAATGGCAGTCAGCAGGGTTTAAGAACATCCGTTGTTCGACCTGTTAGTCAAATTCGTTTTGTTTAAATATACTTTTTCACTTTTTTTGGTCTTTTGGAAAATGTTGTTTGTGCTGTATTTAGGCACCTCTACCAAGAAATTTGTTTTGCATACACACGTATAAAAATTGCGGTTTTTTTTCATACGCAATCATAGGTTTGAACGTTGTTTTCAATTTAGACTTATAACTAAACATATATTGCGATATACATTTTGTATGTACAGTTATGATTACTCATGATCCTACATCCTGTCGTTACTGTTTACTTATATTTTGGCACTACACAAGGTCATGCGTTTCTCAGACTTAAACACGCCAAATTTCCAAACCAAATCTTTGTATCTATGAAAGAATTTTAAAATAACGTTTTTAATTATATGGGGTAACGAAATCCCTGACTTAATGATTTACCAGTTATACATAGATCACGTTCATTAAAATCTAAAACGTCACTATAGCCAACAAGCTCTGAAATATACTTACAGAAAGAAGGGACCAAAGGAACTTCACCAAAAAAAAAAAAAGAAAAGAAAAAAAAGTCATATGATTCTTCAAATTAAAAAAAAGTGAAAATGTTTTATATGCTTGCATGTCTAAGTTTTATTATAAAATACGTGTAGACTTTCTTTTAAAAGAAAAACATTTTATAATTTATCTAAATCTTCAGAAATGTACTGCTTTTGAATTATTGTCTTCATATTATCTAATTCGACTACAGCTTTTAAGTATGCTATGATCGTAACTATGACACTTCTCGTTTTTTTTTCGGCAATCGCAGAGCGCAAGTCCGAGGGAAACTTTAACTTAAACTTTAACAACTGTTATGAAAAAAGTTTAATTAATAAATGAGACCGCATGGAAAATATATATAAAAAAGAAAAAAAAAAGACATCGCTCTATCATATCATTTATTATACCCGTGGTCCATGATTCTGTGTACTGTTGATTGTTTATCAAGGTCACGGTCGTTTAACTTCTTCACAAAAACCCGAAAGTTAACAAGAAGCCAACGATTTTGATTGACAATGCAATCACCGGATGAGAAATACTTTTGTCGATAACACATCATTGATTAATTTGTAATAAATGTGGCTTAAAAAAGTGCACATATGACTTAGTTTAGTATATACATGTATGCATGCATTGTTACAATGATTTCCTTAACATTATATTCACCTGAAACTCGTTTCATATGAATAAGATTAGGGAACAAAATCGTATATTAATGTACAGAGTTTCCCGTGCGAAACTGAAATATCCATATCTAGAAAAGGACAATTATTGATGTCAACATTATATCTATTTGATGTTAGTTCCCTGGGGATAATCTCAATAGTAAAATTAGAAAATACATTCTTTTCCTGATATCAGAGTAACCAAGGCTATTATGTTAATTGATATGATTTTTTTTTAAATATTCTGAGTAAAAACTTTAACAATACATATACTGTTCGATTAAATGTAAGTAATTGGTAACATAAATAAATTGAAAAAAATAAAAATATGCTTAATATTTATAATGTAGCAATCGTTTGAACGGTCATTGCATTTATCATATGAAGAAAGTCAATGATTTAAGCAGTTTCAAAATACATCATGCGTTGTCTTAAACCCGATAACACTGTATTTGACATCTGATATCTAAACAGGCTGTAGACACTTTGCGATAGTGATGCATGCATCAGGGGGCATATGCTTAGGAGTAGTCGTTTCTAATTTATTTAATTCTGAGTTTTACAAAAAATATCTTAAAGAAAGAAGGGAGGGGTAAATATTGACGCACACGCCTGTCGTCTATCCATCGGTCTTTTCGTCAGTCGGTCACAATTTTTCCGGATGATAATTAAAATACCTCTCGGCAAAATCTTTTGAAATTTAACACAATTTCATTAACATTTAAATTTTAACTTAATATTGCCGGACGTGGCAATAAATAAGTGTTTTATTATACAGAAATTATGGGAAAATGTTTGCTTCCAGTAAAAAGTTTTTGAAACTATTAACCGCTTACTAGTCTTTTTACGGGGAAATTTCTGCTTCCAGTAGATAGTTCATACCCAGTAAAAAGTTTTTAAACTCTTCACCGTTATATAGTCTTATCAGACAATTTCGTAAAAAAAGTAAATTTATTCGTCTATAATTTTATAAAGAAAGGACATACTGAGGGTTAATTTTTTTTTTATTCACGAATGATAATTAAACTACTATCCAACAAATCATTTTAGGTTTTAATAATATGACATGAACAGAACACGTTCCTTGTAACGATTTTGGCATTTACCGTTCAAGAATTTATTTTTTATTCGACAACTTTGGAAGTTAATTCTTAACTACAAAAAGATTTTATCAACTTTTGTAATCTATATACACAGTTTGAAATTCAGATACGGAAAATTTAATATTTCTGAACATTTTATAAGGTCCTAACTAATGGTTACTTTGTTGCAACGTAAAAGGTGTTGCTATGGCATCACACTGTCTTTGATTTGTGCTTCTATATTTTATATTTGAATTTTATCACACATTACATTTTCAGCTTTTCAAATTGCCGTTATTTATTAAAAAAAGTAATCATTCAGCAATTAATATAAACAGTTTGGTGAATCTTGTATTGTCTAGGTATCCGTCGCCTTCAGCTGAGTCTACTGAAAATAGCGTTGGTGGTAGGAGTAGAGGTTCATACCAATGTGGAATTTGAAGGCCTAAAATGTCCACGGAAAAATGGCGGTAAATATACAAATACAAAATTAGTCATTCTATTTGTTTTTATACCCCACGCAACGAGTTGCGAATGGTATAATGTTTTTTGACCCGTCCGTCCGTCTGTCCGTCCGTCCGTCCGTCTGTCCGTCAGTCCGTCAGTCCGTCAGTCCTATTTCTTGTCATCGCAACTCCTCTCAAACCACACAACAGAATTTCACGAAACCTTTTTAGATAATAAGGACATACTATGTAGTTGTGCATATTGACAGGAAATTACGATTCAATTTTTTTTCTAGGAGTTACGCCCCTTTGAACTTATTTACTTTAATGTACTACTGCAACAGTTTGTCATCGCAACTCCTCTCAAACCACACAACAGAATTTCATGAAACCTTTTCAGATAATAAGGACATACAACGTAGATGTGCATATCGACAGGAAATTACGATTCAATTTTTTTTCCAGGAGTTACGCCCCTTTGAACTTATTTGCCAAATATACTACTGCAACCTTTTGTCATCGCAACTCCTCTCAAACCACACAACAGAATTTCATGAAACCTTTTCAGATAATAAGGACATACTACGTAGATATGCATATTGACAGGAAATTACGATTCAATTTTGTTTCCAGGAGTTACGCCCCTTGAACTTATTTGCCAAATATACTACTGCAACCTTTTGTCATCGCAACTCCTCTCAAACCACACAACAGAATTTCACGAAACCTTTTTAGATAATAAGGACATACTATGTAGTTGTGCATATTGACAGGAAATTACGATTCAATTTTTTTTCTAGGAGTTACGCCCCTTTGAACTTATTTACTTTAATGTACTACTGCAACAGTTTGTCATCGCAACTCCTCTCAAACCACACAACAGAATTTCATAAAACCTTTTCAGATAATAAGGACATACAACGTAGATGTGCATATCGACAGGAAATTACGATTCAATTTTTTTTCCAGGAGTTACGCCCCTTTGAACTTATTTGCCAAATATACTACTGCAACCTTTTGTCATCGCAACTCCTCTCAAACCACACAACAGAATTTCATGAAACCTTTTCAGATAATAAGGACATACTACGTAGATGTGCATATTGACAGGAAATAACGATTCAATTTTGTTTCCAGGAGTTACGCCCCTTGAACTTATTTGCCCAATATACTACTGCAACCTTTTGTCATCGCAACTCCTCTCAAACCACACAACAGAATTTCACGAAACCTTTTTAGATAATAAGGACATACTACGAGTTGTGCATATTGACAGGAAATTACGATTCAATTTTTTTTCTAGGAGTTACGCCCCTTTGAACTTATTTACTTTAATGTACTACTGCAACAGTTTGTCATCGCAACTCCTCTCAAACCACACAACAGAATTTCATGAAACCTTTTCAGATAATAAGGACATACAACGTAGATGTGCATATCGACAGGAAATTACGATTCAATTTTTTTTCCAGGAGTTACGCCCCTTTGAACTTATTTGCCAAATATACTACTGCAACCTTTTGTCATCGCAACTCCTCTCAAACCACACAACAGAATTTCATGAAACCTTTTCAGATAATAAGGACATACTACGTAGATATGCATATTGACAGGAAATTACGATTCAATTTTGTTTCCAGGAGTTACGCCCCTTGAACTTATTTGCCAAATATACTACTGCAACCTTTTGTCCTCGCAACTCCTCTCAAACCACACAACAGAATTTCACGAAACCTTTTTAGATAATAAGGACATACTATGTAGTTGTGCATATTGACAGGAAATTACGATTCAATTTTTTTTCTAGGAGTTACGCCCCTTTGAACTTATTTACTTTAATGTACTACTGCAACAGTTTGACATCGCAACTCCTCTCAAACCACACAACAGAATTTCATGAAACCTTTTCAGATAATAAGGACATACAACGTAGATATGCATATCGACAGGAAATTACGATTCAATTTTTTTTCCAGGAGTTACGCCCCTTTGAACTTATTTGCCAAATATACTACTGCAACCTTTTGTCATCGCAACTCCTCTCAAACCACACAACAGAATTTCATGAAACCTTTTCAGATAATAAGGACATACTACGTAGATGTGCATATTGACAGGAAATTACGATTCAATTTTGTTTCCAGGAGTTACGCCCCTTGAACTTATTTGCCCAATATACTACTGCAACCTTTTGTCATCGCAACTCCTCTCAAACCACACAACAGAATTTCACGAAACCTTTTTAGATAATAAGGACATACTATGTAGTTGTGCATATTGACAGGAAATTACGATTCAATTTTTTTTCTAGGAGTTACGCCCCTTTGAACTTATTTACTTTAATGTACTACTGCAACAGTTTGTCATCGCAACTTCTCTCAAACCACACAACAGAATTTCATGAAACCTTTTCAGATAATAAGGACATACAACGTAGATGTGCATATCGACAGGAAATTACGATTCAATTTTTTTTCCAGGAGTTACGCCCCTTTGAACTTATTTGCCAAATATACTACTGCAACCTTTTGTCATCGCAACTCCTCTCAAACCACACAACAGAATTTCATGAAACCTTTTCAGATAATAAGGACATACTACGTAGATGTGCATATTGACAGGAAATTACGATTCAATTTTGTTTCCAGGAGTTACGCCCCTTGAACTTATTTGCCAAATATACTACTGCAACCTTTTGTCCTCGCAACTCCTCTCAAACCACACAACAGAATTTCACGAAACCTTTTTAGATAATAAGGACATACTATGTAGTTGTGCATATTGACAGGAAATTACGATTCAATTTTTTTTCTAGGAGTTACGCCCCTTTGAACTTATTTACTTTAATGTACTACTGCAACAGTTTGACATCGCAACTCCTCTCAAACCACACAACAGAATTTCATGAAACCTTTTCAGATAATAAGGACATACAACGTAGATATGCATATCGACAGGAAATTACGATTCAATTTTTTTTCCAGGAGTTACGCCCCTTTGAACTTATTTGCCAAATATACTACTGCAACCTTTTGTCATCGCAACTCCTCTCAAACCACACAACAGAATTTCATGAAACCTTTTCAGATAATAAGGACATACTACGTAGATGTGCATATTGACAGGAAATTACGATTCAATTTTGTTTCCAGGAGTTACGCCCCTTGAACTTATTTGCCCAATATACTACTGCAACCTTTTGTCATCGCAACTCCTCTCAAACCACACAACAGAATTTCACGAAACCTTTTTAGATAATAAGGACATACTATGTAGTTGTGCATATTGACAGGAAATTACGATTCAATTTTTTTTCTAGGAGTTACGCCCCTTTGAACTTATTTACTTTAATGTACTACTGCAACAGTTTGTCATCGCAACTCCTCTCAAACCACACAACAGAATTTCATGAAACCTTTTCAGATAATAAGGACATACAACGTAGATGTGCATATCGACAGGAAATTACGATTCAATTTTTTTTCCAGGAGTTACGCCCCTTTGAACTTATTTGCCAAATATACTACTGCAACCTTTTGTCATCGCAACTCCTCTCAAACCACACAACAGAATTTCATGAAACCTTTTCAGATAATAAGGACATACTACGTAGATGTGCATATTGACAGGAAATTACGATTCAATTTTGTTTCCAGGAGTTACGCCCCTTGAACTTATTTGCCAAATATACTTCTGCAACCTTTTGTCATCGCAACTCCTCTCAAACCACACAACAGAATTTCACGAAACCTTTTTAGATAATAAGGACATACTATGTAGTTGTGCATATTGACAGGAAATTACGATTCAATTTTTTTTCTAGGAGTTACGCCCCTTTGAACTTATTTACTTTAATGTACTACTGCAACAGTTTGTCATCGCAACTCCTCTCAAACCACACAACAGAATTTCATGAAACCTTTTCAGATAATAAGGACATACAACGTAGATGTGCATATCGACAGGAAATTACGATTCAATTTTTTTTCCAGGAGTTACGCCCCTTTGAACTTATTTGCCAAATATACTACTGCAACCTTTTGTCATCGCAACTCCTCTCAAACCACACAACAGAATTTCATGAAACCTTTTCAGATAATAAGGACATACTACGTAGATATGCATATTGACAGGAAATTACGATTCAATTTTGTTTCCAGGAGTTACGCCCCTTGAACTTATTTGCTAAATATACTACTGCAACCTTTTGTCCTCGCAACTCCTCTCAAACCACACAACAGAATTTCACGAAACCTTTTTAGATAATAAGGACATACTATGTAGTTGTGCATATTGACAGGAAATTACGATTCAATTTTTTTTCTAGGAGTTACGCCCCTTTGAACTTATTTACTTTAATGTACTACTGCAACAGTTTGTCATCGCAACTCCTCTCAAACCACACAACAGAATTTCATGAAACCTTTTCAGATAATAAGGACATACAACATAGATATGCATATCGACAGGAAATTACGATTCAATTTTTTTTCTAGGAGTTACGCCCCTTTGAACTTATTTGCCAAATATACTACTGCAACCTTTTGTCATCGCAACTCCTCTCAAACCACACAACAGAATTTCATGAAACCTTTTCAGATAATAAGGACATACTGCGTAGATGTGCATATTGACAGGAAATTACGATTCAATTTTGTTTCCAGGAGTTACGCCCCTTGAACTTATTTGCCCAATATACTACTGCAACCTTTTGTCATCGCAACTCCTCTAAAACCACACAACAGAATTTCACGAAACCTTTTTAGATAATAAGGACATACTATGTAGTTGTGCATATTGACAGGAAATTACGATTCAATTTTTTTTCTAGGAGTTACGCCCCTTTGAACTTATTTACTTTAATGTACTACTGCAACAGTTTGTCATCGCAACTCCTCTCAAACCACACAACAGAATTTCATGAAACCTTTTCAGATAATAAGGACATACAACGTAGATGTGCATATCGACAGGAAATTACGATTCAATTTTTTTTCCAGGAGTTACGCCCCTTTGAACTTATTTGCCAAATATACTACTGCAACCTTTTGTCATCGCAACTCCTCTCAAACCACACAACAGAATTTCATGAAACCTTTTCAGATAATAAGGACATACTACGTAGATGTGCATATTGACAGGAAATTACGATTCAATTTTGTTTCCAGGAGTTACGCCCCTTGAACTTATTTGCCAAATATACTACTGCAACCTTTTGTCATCGCAACTCCTCTCAAACCACACAACAGAATTTCACGAAACCTTTTTAGATAATAAGGACATACTATGTAGTTGTGCATATTGACAGGAAATTACGATTCAATTTTTTTTCTAGGAGTTACGCCCCTTTGAACTTATTTACTTTAATGTACTACTGCAACAGTTTGTCATCGCAACTCCTCTCAAACCACACAACAGAATTTCATGAAACCTTTTCAGATAATAAGGACATACAACGTAGATGTGCATATCGACAGGAAATTACGATTCAATTTTTTTTCCAGGAGTTACGCCCCTTTGAACTTATTTGCCAAATATACTACTGCAACCTTTTGTCATCGCAACTCCTCTCAAACCACACAACAGAATTTCATGAAACCTTTTCAGATAATAAGGACATACTACGTAGATGTGCATATTGACAGGAAATTACGATTCAATTTTGTTTCCAGGAGTTACGCCCCTTGAACTTATTTGCCAAATATACTACTGCAACCTTTTGTCCTCGCAACTCCTCTCAAACCACACATCAGAATTTCACGAAACCTTTTTAGATAATAAGGACATACTATGTAGTTGTGCATATTGACAGGAAATTACGATTCAATTTTTTTTCTAGGAGTTACGCCCCTTTGAACTTATTTACTTTAATGTACTACTGCAACAGTTTGACATCGCAACTCCTCTCAAACCACACAACAGAATTTCATGAAACCTTTTCAGATAATAAGGACATACAACGTAGATATGCATATCGACAGGAAATTACGATTCAATTTTTTTTCCAGGAGTTACGCCCCTTTGAACTTATTTGCCAAATATACTACTGCAACCTTTTGTCATCGCAACTCCTCTCAAACCACACAACAGAATTTCATGAAACCTTTTCAGATAATAAGGACATACTACGTAGATGTGCATATTGACAGGAAATTACGATTCAATTTTGTTTCCAGGAGTTACGCCCCTTGAACTTATTTGCCCAATATACTACTGCAACCTTTTGTCATCGCAACTCCTCTCAAACCACACAACAGAATTTCACGAAACCTTTTTAGATAATAAGGACATACTATGTAGTTGTGCATATTGACAGGAAATTACGATTCAATTTTTTTTCTAGGAGTTACGCCCCTTTGAACTTATTTACTTTAATGTACTACTGCAACAGTTTGTCATCGCAACTCCTCTCAAACCACACAACAGAATTTCATGAAACCTTTTCAGATAATAAGGACATACAACGTAGATGTGCATATCGACAGGAAATTACGATTCAATTTTTTTTCCAGGAGTTACGCCCCTTTGAACTTATTTGCCAAATATACTACTGCAACCTTTTGTCATCGCAACTCCTCTCAAACCACACAACAGAATTTCATGAAACCTTTTCAGATAATAAGGACATACTACGTAGATGTGCATATTGACAGGAAATTACGATTCAATTTTGTTTCCAGGAGTTACGCCCCTTGAACTTATTTGCCAAATATACTTCTGCAACCTTTTGTCATCGCAACTCCTCTCAAACCACACAACAGAATTTCACGAAACCTTTTTAGATAATAAGGACATACTATGTAGTTGTGCATATTGACAGGAAATTACGATTCAATTTTTTTTCTAGGAGTTACGCCCCTTTGAACTTATTTACTTTAATGTACTACTGCAACAGTTTGTCATCGCAACTCCTCTCAAACCACACAACAGAATTTCATGAAACCTTTTCAGATAATAAGGACATACAACGTAGATGTGCATATCGACAGGAAATTACGATTCAATTTTTTTTCCAGGAGTTACGCCCCTTTGAACTTATTTGCCAAATATACTACTGCAACCTTTTGTCATCGCAACTCCTCTCAAACCACACAACAGAATTTCATGAAACCTTTTCAGATAATAAGGACATACTACGTAGATATGCATATTGACAGGAAATTACGATTCAATTTTGTTTCCAGGAGTTACGCCCCTTGAACTTATTTGCTAAATATACTACTGCAACCTTTTGTCCTCGCAACTCCTCTCAAACCACACAACAGAATTTCACGAAACCTTTTTAGATAATAAGGACATACTATGTAGTTGTGCATATTGACAGGAAATTACGATTCAATTTTTTTTCTAGGAGTTACGCCCCTTTGAACTTATTTACTTTAATGTACTACTGCAACAGTTTGTCATCGCAACTCCTCTCAAACCACACAACAGAATTTCATGAAACCTTTTCAGATAATAAGGACATACAACATAGATATGCATATCGACAGGAAATTACGATTCAATTTTTTTTCCAGGAGTTACGCCCCTTTGAACTTATTTGCCAAATATACTACTGCAACCTTTTGTCATCGCAACTCCTCTCAAACCACACAACAGAATTTCATGAAACCTTTTCAGATAATAAGGACATACTGCGTAGATGTGCATATTGACAGGAAATTACGATTCAATTTTGTTTCCAGGAGTTACGCCCCTTGAACTTATTTGCCCAATATACTACTGCAACCTTTTGTCATCGCAACTCCTCTCAAACCACACAACAGAATTTCACGAAACCTTTTTAGATAATAAGGACATACTATGTAGTTGTGCATATTGACAGGAAATTACGATTCAATTTTTTTTCTAGGAGTTACGCCCCTTTGAACTTATTTACTTTAATGTACTACTGCAACAGTTTGTCATCGCAACTCCTCTCAAACCACACAACAGAATTTCATGAAACCTTTTCAGATAATAAGGACATACAACGTAGATGTGCATATCGACAGGAAATTACGATTCAATTTTTTTTCCAGGAGTTACGCCCCTTTGAACTTATTTGCCAAATATACTACTGCAACCTTTTGTCATCGCAACTCCTCTCAAACCACACAACAGAATTTCATGAAACCTTTTCAGATAATAAGGACATACTACGTAGATGTGCATATTGACAGGAAATTACGATTCAATTTTGTTTCCAGGAGTTACGCCCCTTGAACTTATTTGCCCAATATACTACTGCAACCTTTTGTCATCGCAACTCCTCTCAAACCACACAGCAGAATTTCATTATACCTTTTCAGATAATAAGGAAATACTACGTAGATGTGCATATCGACAGGAAATTAAGATTCAATTTTGTTTCCAGGAGTTACGCCCCTTTGAACTTATTTGCTTTAATGTACTACTGCAACAGTTTGTCATCGCAACTCCTCTGAAACCACACAACAGAATTTCATGAAACCTTTTTAGATAATAAGGACATACTATGTAGTTGTGCATATCGACAGGAAATTACGATTCATTTTTGTTTCCAGGTGTTACGCCCCTTTGAACTTATTTGCTTCAATGTACTTTTGCAACAGTTTGTCATCACAACTCCTCTGAAACCACACAACAGAATTTCATGAAACTTTGTAGATAATAAGGACATACTATGTAGATTTGCATATTGACAGGAAATTATGATTCAATTTTTTTTTCTTATACAATTTTTTTTTCTTACACTTATTTTATTTCTCCAATGACAATGTGGGGACGTGGGGTATGTGAGCGAGCTCACTAAGGTTCTTTAATTATAATGACTACTTATTTTACAACACATCGTCATTTTTGTTCATAATAAATGTAATCGGAAGCATGTATGAGCTCTTATGGATATATATCTTTTTGTGCAAAAATATATTTATTGATTACCACACATTAATGCAAAATGAAAAAAATACTTTATAAATTTGGTGCGTCTGAATTGGTTTTCTGGATTTACAATCAAACCAATGGATGTAAAAATACTTGAATACTTGAGACGTTCGAGTAAGATCGATTTTTGTTCTCATATGCACCTTTTCTGACGTAAAATAAGCCCTAAATTGACACTGTAGATAATACCCGTCCGTTCAATAAACGTAATCTTTCTACGATGTCGCATATTTTTTGTATCAAGTGAACATATCTGATTCTCTTAATGTGTCTTACATTGCAGGAACAGGATGGAAAGCCGTGTGTAAACCAAACAATCACAAGGTTTCTGATTTTGAATTTGATGTTTTGGTGGCAGCAACGGGAGCTCGTGATGCTCTGTGCGGTATGTAGAAAAAAAAATATTTGACTTTAAAAATAGCATATAATTATATCATTTGGTTGACCATTTAGTATAATGGAGATGTAAACATTGCATTTGATTTGAATTTTATTAATGGAAAACAGATCACCGAATCTATATGTTAAATTTGTTTATTGAGCAGATATCAATTTTTAGAATGAAGAGTTAATAGCAATAGAAGTGAAAAGTTGGAGGCAAGTATCTATGCAACTATATGTGTTTTCGGTTTGAAATTTGAAGTTGTTGGCATGTACTTGGCCATGGTTTTGTTCCTGCCAATCTCGGCGTGTGCCCTATGTATATATGTACGTCCTTTTAAATGAGGATTTGTACGGAATTTGTATGTGGTACAATAACTCAAGTTTGCTTTTATGGATGTACATTAGTTATTATACACAAGATGTTAGGCGTGAAGAAAAATGTGCGCTTTTGTTTAAACAAAAATATTTTCCCTGAGTTGTGAGTCTTCAATTGTTTTCATTGCAGGAAATCTTTCTATGTCGTACAATTAATCAAGTTGCTTTCATGATTTTAATACACAAAGCATTGGATGGGTAAATGAAGCTACTTTTTACATGTTCTTGGAGTAGCTGTTGTCTTTGAATATATATATTTACAAAGGTATACTCCTTACAAGTTCTTCACATTGAAAGTTGTGTTTTTCCTGGAATTATATATTTTCACGCAGACCTTTAATGAACGGTTATTCTTCTAGTTGTATTTTTTTGTTTTGAAGTTTTACATAATATTTTGTTTTTCGAGCTAGGGTATGTATTTATGATTTAAATGTTTATGGTTCAGATAGGTCATGCTGATTGTTTAAGATGGCCAGGTTACCTTTCCAGGTTAAAACTTTTCGCTCTTTTTTTTTGCCCAATTGGAACATGTGGAAATAACACATTCAAATGATAACAGGAATTATCAAAAATATAGCGTGTCATTTTTGAAACATTGGATGCACAACCTGCATCAAAAGCGCAAAGAACCCAATGTTCATGATATTGTTAAACTACTTCAATTATAATTATTACATAACTTTGATCAAGGACAATCTTATATTTCAGAATACAGACTCCAACATGAAAATGGAACAGTCATGAAACAAGGTAAATGTCTTATAATATATCAGATGTTTTTTTGAAATATAGATTGTTCAATAGATTTATCCGACATCTTTTCGTCCACGTTGATAAGAATTTCATTACATTATATATAAGTTTTATAAGGATCCCATCTGTTGATTGACAGTTGACAATCACGTGGTTCAGGACAATGCATAGCAAGACAACTGAAATGTTTCTTTTAACTCTTTAGTTCCGGTTCTTAACATCAAAATGTACTTATCTGAGTTAAGTGTTTCTGTTGTATTATTTATAATGATGTAGAAGCGATGATCATGCTCATATTTTTGTATGTTGAGCTTCCGCGGTTCGTACGAAATGTACGTCGGAAAACACTTATTTGACACCAAATAAAACTACAGAAATAAATATTCAATTACTTAATATTGAAAATGCTTTGAAGTATTAAATGCTGTCGGAACAACATAAAGTCTAATATCAGTGGAATATCTGTTATTTCATTACAAATATTTCAATATTATACGGCTTCAAGACCACGAGCATGCATTGAACCGTTGTAAAGACAATGAAGATTATAACATTCCAATAAACCCGAGAGAAGAAGAACACGACATGACAGGAAAAACATCCAACAACTAAGTCGCACAGTCACACTCAAACTGGCAATCCCATCTTACTAGATAAGATGCTTTTATTTTTTTGTTTCAGGTTTTGATCGAAAAGAATTTCGAGGCAGACTCTCCATTGCAATTACTGCAAACTTTGTGAACTCAAACACTCCTGCTGAAATGAAGGCAAAAGAGATAGGTGGAGTCTCATCCCATTTCCATCAAAAACTATTTAAAGATTTGAAAGCTAAAAAGGAGATTCATCTGGAAAATTTCGTGTATTATAAAGATGAGACTCATTACTTTGTAATGACAGCAACAAAAGCAAGCTTATTGCAGAGACGTGTTTTCAAAGAAGATTTTCTTGATGCTTCACAGTTAATGGAAAGAAAAAACATTGATGTGTCAGCGTTGTTAGCGTATGCAAGAGATGCTGCAAACTTTTGTACCAACAATGCAATGGCCAATATCTGTTTCGCAAAGAACTCACGAGGGGTGGATGATGTTGCCATGTTAGACTTTTCATCAAAATTTGAAGCTGCAAATGCATCACATGTTGTTGAGAGGAATGGTGAAAAACTGCTTATTGGACTTATTGGTGACAGTCTATTAGAGGTAGGTCACATAAAAGATCATGAAAGATACCAGGCTTTTAATTTGTATGCCATATAACAACAACATTTCTCTTCTTGTGTTTTGGAGATTTTCCTGTCTTTCCTTTTCTTGCAGATGTTTTAAAACTGTAAACAACAGGGGCGGATTCAGGTGGGGGCGTGGCGGGCGTCCGCCGCCCCCCCTAAAATTTGCAAAGCATGGGTTGTTCTCAGTGTAATAAAGAATATTTCGATAAATTTACCTCAAAAAATTTAAGTTTGCTTCCCCCTAACCTAAAATCCTGGATCCACCCCTGAACAGGAGATATTTTTTTATCATATATTTGGTTTTGAGATTACAGATATTGTGCCTCAAACATCTGGGAAAAGTCATTCAAAATGATAACAACTCTATTATATAAAATATATTTTGTGAGTTTGAAAGTATAGCCAAATCCAACTAAAATCAGCTTTAACTGAGGGAGTTGAAACCTATTTTCTTAACTTGATAATGTAAATATAGTTATAAAGTTAACGTAGCTTTAAAACAACATATATTATTATCAATCATGTCAGTACCGCAACATTAACTACTGAGCTAATGATAACCTTGTGGACTAGCAATCCACCGGGAGCAGCATTAAATGATTTAATTTTATTCAACTTGTTCATAGAAAGGTTTTGTAAAATGAAATCATATCTAAAATTTTCAAATTTTCAGCCCTTTTGGCCTCAAGGTACTGGGTGTGCTCGTGGATTTCTTGGAGCCTTTGATACAGCATGGACGATCAGGAATTGGAAAAGTATGAAAGGAAAACCTTTAGAAATCATAGCTGAGAGAGAGTGTGTCTACAAAGTCTTATCTCAGACGACACCTAACAATATAAAGAAGAAATACAGTGAATACAGTATTGATCCAAAATCAAGGTAAGTCATTGTTATAAGCAAAATATAAATTTGATTATCAAAATTTAATTATATGAAGCATTTTGTTGAATGATCTTTATGCATACGTTAGTTCTGGCACCTGTTATAGTTTATATATTGCCAATGTGTAAAGATACCTTCATTTTTATGCCCCCGCAACTTTTTGCGGGGCATATTATTTTACCCCTGTCCGTCCGTCTGTCCGTCCGTCCCATTATGGGTATATAGTTATTCCGCATAACTCCTCCTACAGTTTGAATGCTAGGAAGTTTTCAATTTGCAGGCTGTTTGTATATATATTGAAGGTGTGCATGTGGTCAGGGTTTTGATTTTTATTAATATTTGCTCTTTTGGCAGATAGTTGAACTTTGTCATTTTTGGAGTATATACTTGCATAAGAGGTGCATAGCATTTCCGGATAACTCCTCCTACAGTTTGAATGCCAAGAATTTTTCACTTTGCAGGCTTTTGTACATATATTGAAGGTGTGCATGTGGTCAGGGTTTTGTTATTTTTTTAATATTTGCTCTTTTGGGAGATAGTTGAACTTTGTCATTTTTGGAGTATTTATTTGTATAAGAGGTAGTCCTACAGTGAACCACAAACCTATGTGCTCCCATGCTCAACTTTGTGTATTTTAAAATAAAACTTTGCATCTGCGGGGGCATCATTTGTGTCTCCCAGTCACAATTATATCTCAAAGAAAGTCTCACATTGACTTTGTTATAAAACAGTTACTTCAGAGTGGATTTTTTTGGGGGGTGGAGGAAGGGGGGGCATCACTTTGTCTAGTTTGTTCTTGGTTCTTGGTTTATAGTCTTGTTTGAATGAGAAAAGCATAGCATTTAGGGACTTATAATATATATTTAAACATATTGCATGATAACCAATGCATTTATCAAGTTAATGATATATTTCCTCAGATATCCTTCCATTAATCCGAAAGCTGTTACTCTCGAAAAAGCAAAGCAGTTTTATGATGATGTGCAAGACGATTACAGTGAAGACGTTGTTTCTCCTGCTAAAAGGATTAAACGAAGTAAGTGGCATGTATATGTTTTATTGTTTAAAGAAAAGAATTCACAGAAAGGCGTGTTTTTGGAGACAAAAGGACACAACTTGAAGTGTTTACTCATTTAAAAACCATGAGCTATAAATTTTAACTTTTGTTGTTTTAAAGTTAGACGAATAGAAGGTTTATTCTCCTTAAGCTGATTTTGTTTGTCTAAGTGCAAAGTGGCCAACTGAGGTCAATAATTTGTGTCTTTATATGTTCCCTGTCTTTTTATTTTCACGTATTTGAAATTGATGTATATGGCAATTATGATCAGTTATGTTACTGATTTGAATATAAAAATAAGGAGATGTGGTATGATTGCCAATGAGACAACTACCCTTATGGAAAAATAAGGCTTCTTGCAAATATTTGCGGCAATGTTGCTGCAAATATTTGCGGCAATATTGCTGCAAATATTCATTTTTCGTATGCAAATTAGTTTTCTTGCAAACAGTTGCTGCAATATTGCCGCAACAATTTGCGGCAATATTGCAGCAAATGTTTGCGGGAAAATCAGTAGCTATGATTGTTGCAGCAATATTGCGGCAAATTCATTAGCTGCAATGTTGCAGCAATATTGCAGGAAAATTAATTTCTTGCAATATTGCAGCAATATTGCAGCAAGTCTTTCAACAATTTCAGTTGAAAAATTAGGAATTAAAAACTAAGCATTTAAAAAAGTATGATTTAATAATAAAACAAAATTTTCTCTGTCCTCTATAGGTTGTTGTGTTACATATCTGTGTATCCTTTAGTTCTGTTTCTCTGTATTCACTGTCCTTAAAGTTGAATTTTCTGATTTCAAATACTGCAAAATAAAAGTTGAAGAATTTAGCATACATTAAAAGAATAACTAAACATTATAAAGATATAAAGATATAAGTTACTACTATATATTGTAAATTCTGGACTTGTAAAATGAAAATAACTCTTTATAAAGAGATGATTACAGACCAATTTTTCCAGCATTTGTTTCACTTAAAGGGTCAATGTCTAAAAGTTATCAAGTCCTTCTAGAAATTGCATATTACTATACATTTAACCTTATGCCAGTACTAGGTTGTTATTGCTTTTTTGAATATTTGTTTTTCATTGAACTATAACATAATTGGTCTTGTCTATTCTTTAAAATTTTTGTGATTAGTTGTGTATATATAAAAGCTAAATATTGTTGCCATTTGTTGAAAGACCTCTTATTGGCAGTCAAATCACAGATCTCTAATTTAATACCAAACTGCTTTTATTAGAAGATTTCTTGTTTCAATTTAAGTAATGTACTTTCTAAAACATATAGTCTTAAATAGATTTAAAAAAAAATATCTCCTGACTTACACAATTTTAATAATATTCATGTGCATAAATCTATTGTCTTATACAAATTTGTCAACTCTATTAAGTTAAGAAAACTCTTTGAATATCACTATTTTGAACTGTAAGAGCAAGCACTTATTCAAAATGGTGGACATTCAACTCCATTGTACTTACCAAAAGATGTTATCCAAATTATGTGTAAACAACAATCTTCCTAAATCCAAGAGTCATGTCAACTGAAGGCTATCATATGCACTATCCAGTGTCAATAGAATTAATTGGAACTTTTGGATCTAAATCCATTGTAAAATTCATATTACTTTGTTCATGATAGAAGACATCTTTGTTTGTTGTATGCATGTTCATGTCCAGTTCAAATTTTGAATATGTTGATCAAGGTTGCTTAGGGTATTGTGACAGTGTGATCCCTTTGAAATTTGCCCCTAATTATAAATATCAATTGCCTAAATCTTGAATATTTGTTATATATTATAATAAAAAAATAATTATATATATATTTTTTTTTTTATCTTTGATGTTATAAGTTATAATGGAAATATATACAAAGAAGAAATGCTCTACCCTTAATTTGGCCTCAAACTCTGTGTACATTAATTTATGGTACTTCCTGTCTTTACCACTACACAGAGATAAATTGAAACCAGATGGCACATTACATTTCTATCACCAGCTCATATTACTAATTGAGATGAGAAAGATAATTTGTGTATACATAGTTTTAAAATAATGATACTAGAAATTAAACAAAATGCAACCTGCAGGTGAGGCTAAATTCATTTGATGGAAAATATTAGAATTAAAAATATTGTTCATAGAAAAATGTCACAAAAAATTGACAAAAAAGCATAATAATACATGTAGAACAAAAATTATTATGACTCAATTATTTAGATTAAACTTGTTGAAATAAATACCAAAGTATTCTTGAAATTCTTTCCTTACAAAATATCATATAAATGTGACGTACAGTTTAGGAATTCTAAAAATATAAGCATTGTTATTTGAAGATTTATTTAAAATAAATTATTCAAATATCCAGATATTTCTGAGTAAAATAATTTATGATGACAACAAATTTAGATAGTTAGAAGTATCCATAACCAAATGTTCAAAGAAACAATATGTTGTGTATTATTTGAACCTTAAATCTTAAAACAAATAATCATATGTAATATTTTAAAATGCTTGAAATATTGGTGCAAACTATCTGATTGTCTGACATTATTAAAGAAACTTTTCTTGCAAAGTTGTTGCAAAAAGTCATTCCTTAAATAATAAAAGAAAAGGTTCCTGCAACTTTCTAGCAAACAAATTCTTTCTTGCAACATTGCAGCAAACTTGCTGCAATTTTCTTGCAAACAAATTTTGTTGCAGTAACATTGCGAGAATGTTGCAGGTAGCTGCGACAACCTGCAACTTTCTTGCAAACACTTCTTGCAAACAAATTTGTTTGCTGCAATATTGCCGCTATATTGTTGCAATATTGCAGCAAACTTTTCATTTCTGTAAGGGTATCCACCCAAGTTAAAATGAAGTGGATGTAAGCAATTATAGGCAAACGTACGGCCTTCAACAATGAGAAAAACCCACACCGTATAGTCGGCTATAAAAGGCCCCGACATGACAAATATGAAACAATTCAATTGAGAAAACTAATGGCCTAATTTATAACAAAACAATTTACGATAAACAAATATGACAGACATAATCCAACGACAACCACTGAACTACAGGCTCCTGACTTGGGACAGGCACATAAAGAATGTGGCGGGGTTAAACATGTTTGTGAGCGCTCAACCCACCCCTTACCTGGGACAGCACAACATAAGAACAAACTATAAAAATCAGTTGAAAAAGGCTGAACTCATCAGGTCGATACAATAATAAAAACATCAAACAAAAACAAAAACAAAAACACAGACAGGACGTGGCAGGGTATATATCTATCCCTCATCCCTAACAACAAAAAAGACACGAAGTACAGATCTGAGAGAACTCGCAGTTACTGACAACTAGTTCAAAGACAATAACAACTAATAAAAAAATTCATGTGTCTAAGACTAAAAGTTCGGTACACTTGTTTTCCTTATATGTTTCTTTCAGTGATAATTAGTTCAAATAATTAAAAATGGAAATGAAAATTACCCAAACAATAATGACAATGATTACAACCTAAGAAGGTAGAGGAAGTTAGCCAAAACAAGATAGACTAATACGAGGACTCAGAAGTACATGTGACATAATCCTTATTCAGTCCATTAATACATTCAGTTTGCACTTCAGCAATATTAACAGTACGTAAATTATAACAATACTAGTGGGATATATACCATATGTTATTTATAATTTTCACAACCGCTCAATAAAAATTCTCCTTTACTTTTGATTTTATGAAGTGGTTGTAGTGATTTCGTCCCATAATTTATATCGTATCCTTTATCCAACCCACCATTTTTTCTTAAAATGTCTTGTACCAAGTCAGGAATATGGCAGTTGTTATCTACAGTCCGTTTCTATGTATGTTGGCGTTTGCTTTTGTCGTATTTCTCAGTGTTTCTGTTGTTCTGTTGTTTTCCTCTTATAGTTGATGTGTTTCCCTCGGGTTTAGTTTGTTACCCAGATTTGTTTTTTTCTTATTCGAATTATGACGATTGAACAATGGTATACTACTGTTGCCTTTATTTATTTTCCAGTAGAAACTATAGTATGATGTATTTGACTTCTATTTAATTTATAGATTGCTGAAATTGATGAATTAAGGATTCTTCATTTTTATTTTAGATGATGAACCAGTGGAATTCCATGATCTACTTCAATGGTGTCAGAAAGTGCTAGAAAAACACACACATTTATATATCAAAGACCTGACTACTTCCTGGAGAAGTGGATGTGAAATCGGATGTTTGATCCATGTTTTTCGTCCACATTTGATGTATGTATTTACAACAATTACAGCAGTACGATTTCAATAATTATAATATTAACTTTTTAACATTAACTGGTTAAATTTGGTGTAGGAAATAAACACGTTTTCCTTCTTTTTTATCATAACGAGCAAATATTTATGACTAGTACTTAAGAATGTATTTTTAAAGTATGTGATTACATGACTGAGACTCCTGTCAGTATAACTATATCCCTTTAAGCATGTACATATTTGGTTATTATTTTCCTGTAGACAAATGAAGGATTTGGATCCATCAAATCCCTTCAGGAGTATGGAAATGGTAGTTAACATAGCACAACGAGAACTTGGGATATATCCTGTTATTACTGTTTCTAAAATGGTGAATTGTTTATCTGAAAATGAGGTAGAGATGGCATCGTATCTATCCCAGTTTTACCAGCTGTTTTATGATGAGCCTATTTCTGAGATGATATCTTATGATAACAGTGGAACGAGCAATACAACAACTAGCATCACAGAAACAAATATTGTAAAACCAAGGAATGGTAGATTTGATTTTCCAATGGAAAAAGTAAGTAAACGTATAAATCTGTTTTTCAATTCAGTCTTCAAGACAACGTAATGTTTGTAACTATGACAAGTATTACAATAATTGTAGCTCATTCAAATTATTCAATAGCTAAAAAAACAATATGATTAAAACTGTTCTTAACTAAGACTGATCCAAAATTGCATTAAAGTTAAATAGGAAATAGTTAGCGAAAGTTCTAATTCTATTGTTGTATGTACTATGCAGATTTGATTGTTAGTGAAAAGTTAACGTTAAAGCTGGAGCATAAAACCTCATAGCAAAATAAAAGTAAAAGACTATAAATATATGACACAGCAGACAATAAAAAAACTGTTAACACATGCTACAGTTTACTCTTTAGCGGAAGGTTAACGCTTTTACAGAAAGTCCTTTTTCTGATACTATTGCTTTGAAGAAAGGCGTGATTGAAGCTTCCCAAAGGATTGACAGATCGTAACATGTTTAAAAATATAACGACACTACATAGACAATCATAAAGAGTTTCATTTCAGTTTCATTTTTTCCAGTGGCAAGTCCAAACTGCAAAATAACTTCTGATAATTCACAGATGTTAACTGACTGTAGGCAAAGTGTTTTAACCTAACTGATTTTATTACAGTGCAATTGGATATACTGATTGTCCACGAACTTTAAGATCATCTCGCATAATGCACGATGACCTATTTTCGTGAACTTTAGGTTCTGTTATATTTAAAATATTCAAATTCAAAAGAAAACAAAAGGGACGTCATGGAATAAGAACGGAAATTGTAACCCCCAAAAGACTACACTTTAGGATTATGAGTGTCTTTAAGACCATGATGTGAATATTAACATTAAAGCATAAGGAACGACCTCAAAATAAAACATTGTGAAAGGTTCGCAATAAACGATGAACAATTTATATGACCTAATATGAAAACGAAAATTGAATTACACAAAATGAAAATACAGCTGTTCAATTTCAAGTACAGTTCAAATAGTTTTGGTATTCTAATCTCGCCTCTTATCCTACTGCAGATGCACAATATACTTTGTTCAATTACAGAAAGAAACTGTTGAAACAGCTAATGATATTTGCTACCTTTGCAAAAAGGAATTATTCATTCTGGAAAGACTTAGTGTGGAAAGTGTGTTTTGTCATCGCGCATGTCTGAAATGTGAACGATGTCATTGTGAATTGAATCTCGAAAACTATAGAACACAAACATCATCTAAAGGAAGAGGTAATTGTTTTTGGAAAAGAACATAAATGGTCATTAATTAATATTTTTCAAAGCTTTACACGTTCCAATTCTGGTGGAAAAGGCAGCTTCTGAATTTTTGTTTGCCCCAGAAAATTGCCTGCCATACAAATGTTCTTTCTGTAGGTCAAATATGATTAAAACGAATACAAAGAAAGTGGATTAAATGACACAATAAAGCCAAACAATGTATATATCAATATCCCGTCTTCAACAATAGAAAAGTGTCTATATAATATTTCTAGATTTTAGTCACCATGATTCAAGACAAGTAGTTCATACTGAAATAAAACAATACTTGCAGAAATCTGCAATGCAAGGAACATAAAACTCTCACAGCATAAAAAATACTGACATAACATAACAAACCAGCTACTAAATTCCTGACTCCGAACAGGTACACGAACATAATTATTGGTTAAATAGTTGTTTAACACTAAATAATGCCATCTTTAGCTCCACCAGCGGAATGACAAAGGTTACAAAGAAGAATACACCCTAACATCGATCATGAAAATGTAGTCAATATCAGGATATTCGTGACGCCCTATCCAATATGGAATTGCAATAAAAATGGAACTTTTATAAACTTGTTATATTTTTTGCATCCAAACCAACTTAATATTTGTTATGTAGACTGCTAAATAGCTGAGTCAGTAAATGAAATATACCGCATAAATCTTAAAATACAAATTCCAATGATGTTATTTGCAGTTGACCAAAGGAATAACATTGCATCAATAAACCAAGCAATACACCAGCATACACGAATAAGCATCAATCATTATTTAAAATTGTTATGATCCTGAATTCAAATATTAAAGAAAAACATAAATAACAAATTGAAAAAAGATATTCAATAACTGTTTGTAATATTAACATATAATTTCCAATACTAGTACTAGTGGTCTATTTAGAATAGTTTCATGTGAAATAATTTATATATTCTGCCAATTTCGTTTTATATCTGAATGATTTCAATGATTATTTTTATTTCTTTTGTTGATTAAAGTAAGGTTTTTCTGTCCAAAGCATGCCGGACCAAACGCAAAGTTTACACAGTCCATCAGGAAACGTCCATCTCAAGTCTTGGATGTAAGGTTTTTAATTTATTAACAGACCATCAACACTATAAATACAGACTTATTTTATTCAGGCAAAAACCCGATTCGTTATTATACAATAAAACATCAACGAATCCTTGTTCTGACATGCATATAAATAAAACGATTTTATGGCAGTAAATGTAATACGCAATAACAAAGTCATATGTGCATCCACGAACATGTATAAAAATAAGAAAAATAACAGGATGTCTAGTGCAGATAAAAATCATTACATGACAAATGACAGACTATACAATGGCCAGACTATACAATGGCCAAAAAAAGGAGGAGAAACACACAGTATTGGACAATGCATATCGATTAAGTTACATAAACAAGATAAAGTCGATTATTATTTCAGATAAGATACCTAACTACAAATTCATTGTCATCAGAAAGCAACGACATGAAATGCATGATCAAACTACACATCGTATGTCATATGTTTCCCTCGACTGACAAGCAAACAAACAGTCAAACGAATAGATAGTTATAATTTCATGCATACCATGCATGATAATTAATCAAATAAATAATTATGATTGGTGTCAAATTTGGCGATTATATCTTACACAAAGATATCTACACATATTATTTAGATGACATAATTTTCAAATACGTGAATACCTTTTTAATCAATAATATAAATAGCAATTACATATGACTTCGAGATATTATGTTCCTATTGTGAGAGCATCATCAAATAAGGTAAAGACAGAGAAACCTAAGTTGTCTCAATATTTCTCTGATTTGCTCTTTTGTTTGCCGAATATGTTTTAAAAAATGATAACATTAACGATACCATGTTTGCACCAGATGCGCAGAGGAAAATTAATGTCAATCTTCAGTAATGCTCCGAGTCCAAAACATTTTAAAATCCAAAAGATTTACATATAACATGTATAAGATCAGCTCGTATGATTATGTAATGTATAATTTGTGCAAAGATAGAAACAAGTTTAAAAAGGTGAAAATAAGGAATGCAGGAAGAAGATAGAATTCAGATAGTGGTAAAACAATTGTCAGCGACACTGCCCTTTCAAATATTGTAAAGAAAAGTATTAAATGTATAATTTTAACATTGATATGTTTGCATTAAGATAAGTGCAATGATATATGATTTTGAATTGGCAGTCCGGAATTATTTTATGTACTTTACATGTGTTCCTTTTGAATAAATATATTCATGTTTAGAAAGAACAATTCTTGTAATTTTTGTAAAGCTATGATTCTAAGGAAAAAGCATAACAGTTTTAGCAATCACCATATAATGTATAATAATAATTATTATACAGACAACCAATGAGCCTCAACCTCTAAAAGACAGATCTAATATTGCAAACACAGACAGACTACCAAAACGTTCAGGTATAGTATCCTATACTCATTTGAATGCAAATTGTAATCAGTAGTATACATGTGGAATTCTATTGGCCAGTAACAAAATATAAAGTTCACGTTAGAAGAAATTATTCTATATGGTACATTCTCTATATAAACAAATTACACAATTGTCAGCTATTATTTTTTCGAAACGTCAGGTGTGAAAATATTTGATACCATACCCGATTAAAGATACATCCACCAACTATTTACTACCACAAATTTACCGTTTTTACAGGAAGAAATATAACATGAAAAATCAAATGTCAAAAATAAAAGTTTGGAATACAAATATTGTTTCGCAGTATGGATAACCAAATGTTAGATGTTGACTAACCGTATGCTTTATCCTCTACAAGCCAAACATAAATCTTTCTTGTTATGGAATCTATATATATATGCTTCAAATGTAAGGAATATAAAAGAAAATTGAATATCAAAATTTGCCAAACTATAATGTATTTGTATATCTAAAAAAACATCATATGTATTTTCACGTTGGAAATATCGCTGTTGACTTCCACCAATCTGACAAAGAACAACTAATTTGAAAACCTCCTAATTGTATCACATATATAAAAGCCGCTTGAATTCCAACTAACTAGAAAGTCAGTGATACCGACCCTTTTGTCGTGCAATATGAATATCTTTATTTGGTTCACTGAAAATATATATTTAGTAATTGTTTAGTAAAACATACTGATATTTTATTTAATAGAAAAACCAAAAATTCCGCCAAGGCCGGACTTCTTAGCACGAAGAGTAACATCGGCGTCAATACGGAGAAAAGACTTCTACAATACTGCAGATGATAACAAAGAAGTAGAAACGGAAGATAAAATATTTGAGCATAATTTTGGTGCATCTGTTCGATGCGGAATGGGTACATTTAGCATAAAACTACCAGAATCTGATGAGGATGAGGATGATAAGTCTTCAAGGTATTTTGCACTCATACCACATCTTCTTATTTCTATGTATAGGTGGCATACCTTTATAAAGTTATTGTTATTCGCTCTGCAGTTAAATGTTATGCTCTGTGTAATGAACAGTCAACAAGGTCATGTTTTTGTCTAACTCCTTATTACGTCTTTACACTAGATTCTTTGGATAAGAACTGATTGATATTTTAGCATGGTTTATTTGTAAGTTGGAATTGCCTGTCCCAATTCAGGATCCTGTAATTCAGTGGTTGTAATGATTGCTGTGTGACATATTTGTTCTTCGGTTTTTGGTTTTAGCATAAACCAGGCCGTTGATTTTCTCCTTTGAATTTACACTTTGCCAGTTTAGGGCCTGTTATAGTAAACTATATATATGGGACTTGAGGGCCGAACAGTGACCTTAATATGTATATATCCTCGCACTTTGATCCCCTGTGGATATACGTCTCGTTGGCAATCATACCGCATTCTTATTTATATAAATGAAAGAAAAAGCCTTGTCCACATTTAAGCAGAAAGACTAATGGCAGACCACACAAATCTTATAAAAAAAAACTATAAGAGAGGCGAAGGATACCAAAGGGACATTCAAACTCATAAGTCGAAAACAAACTGACAACGCCATAGCTAGAAAAAAAACACAAACAGACGAACAACAGTGCATAAAACAACATAGAAAGCCAAAGACTTAGCAACACGAACCCCACCAAAATTTGGATGTGATCTCAGGTTCTCCGGAAGGGTAAGCAGATCCTGCTCCACATGTGGCACCTGCTCATGTAAGTACAAGTCCGGTGATATGACAATCAAAATCCCTCTGGATATTCACAAGTGCTCGTAAAGGATAACCATTTCCACTATTGGACACCATCGTGTTGCTCAGTACAAGTAAACTTGGCAACAAATTTCTTTATAAAATAAACAAGAAAATGGGGCATATCCGACTTTGGTTAGTTATACTGTCAACAAAGTGTAAGGTAATAATTAATGGTCGTACAAGTAATCTTGAATGAAATTAGCTGGTCTCTTTTGTCCACAATGTGTCAAGTTAAATTATACAAGTGAGAGGTTTAATCCACCATTTTCTACATAAGGAAATGCCTGTACCAAGTCAGGAATATGACAGTTGTTTTCCATTGGATTGATGTGTTTGAGTTTTTAATTTTGCCAATTGATAAGGGACTCTCCGTTTTGAATTTTCCTTGGAGTTCAGAACTTTTGTTATTTTACTTTTTACACATCGTATAAATATATTTCAGTGAGAGCAGTGATAATGATATTGAAGAAAGACTTGAAGCTACGTTAGGACCGAACATTGATAAACATATGACAATTAAAGATGCTTCACAGTTGTGGAAAACCTTGAAAAGAGATACAAAGCAACGTAGCATAATAAAGCATTTACATGATATTTCAGCTGAAACTGGTAAGAAAAGTAGTAGTACATGCATATAATAAGAATACGATATTATGAGTAGATGTCAAAAGGAAAGCACTTCTCGAAGGACATCTAAATGACAACGTGTGGTCTTATACACTAGTTATTGCATATGTTTCATGATTAAACCCCATAAATTATCATGATTAAACCCCATACATTATCATGATTTTATACTTGATTTCTGTAAAATGATTTTTAAACTGAACTTTACATTCAGTAGATGTTTTGGCGTGTCTACTATTCAGTCCATTCTGTTGCAACTGTTATTTCAATCATTCATATTATAACAGACAAGGTATTCAGTGTAGCTTAGTTCAATTATCTGAGTTGATTAAGTTGAAAAACAGAATTCGATATTATGTATGTACCTTTAACTGTGCAGATGATGCAGTTTAAATAGATATAGGAAGATGTGGTATGAGTGCCAATGAGACAACTCTCCATCCAAGTTACAATTTATAAAAGTAAACCATTATAAAACCTGTTTAAAAAGAGAGGAGGAGATACCAAAAGAATAATCAAGCTCATAAGCCGAAAAATAATTTATTAAGCCATAGTAAAAAAAGAAAAAACGATCAAATGTCAAACAACAGTATACAAAACACAATATAGAAAGGTAAAGACTGAGAAACACCAACCCTACCAATCCTTGGGATAATCTCAGTTGCTCAGGAAGGGTACGCAGATCCTGCTCCAAAATTGGCACCCGTCGTTTTGCTCATCGTGATCATGTAAGTTCTAACCCAGTGATTAGTCTAATCGGATATGTCACATTCGATATGATTACAAACACATAATGTGGTTGTTTTTGTTAGCCAGTTTGAAGGAGATTTCCGCAAAGTACCAGTGGTTGCTTATGTCTGTATTTTCCCTTCGACTTACCCTATTCATACGTTCATTGTATAAATCAAAGACAGTGCTCTGTAGTAATAATTGGAACTATTAAACATGTATGCTTTTCTGCAACATATTTCATACACTAAATTATTGTAGACTCAGCAGCGGATCCAAGTCAACAAAGAGTCAATATACGACAAAATAGAAGTGATAAAGAACGTGAAACAATTCAAGAGGATGAAAACGAGGTAGGCACGAGACCCTTTAGAAATTATATACGGTAATAGAAAAATTATAATTAAATTGAAATCGTTAAATAAAGTTTCTTATGATTGCTTTAATAACATTTTATAGAAGTTAAAACTTAATCTAACATCACATATTTTAAATAGTTTGAATTTAAGCTTCTTCATATCATTGCTTAATATAGAATGAACATATAAGTGAATACGTTGCGTAGTGTTTAAACTACATGTAGCTAATTGCATTTTAAGATTGTCTAAACATGGTACTGTGTATTTTACAATACATTAAAATCTGAGCAAAGTCTGAAAGTTTGCAACACACAAGTCTAACAATTCTAACATATACCAAAATTAACCTTAAACATTTACAGTTTTCTACCCCTCTGAAAATACAGTTTTAGGGGTATCTAATCTTTATGTATGTTTGTGTGCCTTGAAAACGCATTTCATTATGAGCTGAATGATTATTGATGAAACTCAATAGAGTTACAGAACACTACCTGAGACTGATCATACTGAAAAATACTCCCAGTACGACATGTTAAAGATCGAATATTCGGGACGGGATTTGTGTGTGTGAAGTCACTCACAGTTATAGTTTGCCAAGAAGTTGAAAAGTTAGAAAATAAAAGTGTGATGGTTAATTATTTCAAATTTGACAAAATTGATAGCTTAACATGTATGTTTTGTTTGATGATTGAAATATACAACTTCTCAACGAAAATCTGTTTCTCTTTTAAAATAAAAGTATATTGCAAGTATATCCGATGTAATTCTTTACATACTAGGAATTAGAAGGCACAATCAGTGCTGCTTCAGAAACGGACAGTTCTAATGTATACCTACCTGATGAAAAGCAGTCCAGTGAAAACAGAAAATCAAGCAAAAATGAAGAAATGTTAGAAAAAGCTATTAAGGACTTAAACAGAGAATCTAGGGATTTTGATGATAGAAGATATAAATTTTCTGCAACTTGTTATCGACCTAAGAGCAAAGGCTTTGACAAAGGTAACACATATTGTTTTTACTTTATTTGTATTATGATTGCTGTCTCATTGACATTTAAACCAGATCATTAATGAAAAACCCAGTTTAAAGAAACCCTCTTTTTTCAACAGTTTCACAACCAACAAGTATCTATACACAAATATAGGTATGAACTTTACGAAAGTATATTGATGTTCGTTGAGATGACAATGGTTCAGGTATAAACAGACTAAAATGGGGGTAAAAACGTCTAAAAGTTTATATGAACGATTTCTTCAAGATCTACCAAAATCAAATTAAGTCTGAAAATATTAAATTAAGGAATTTTACCTAGATCTATTGTTTTTAATAATGATATTTTTTATCTTTCCGTAGATTTTTATTTTCAGTTAATTTCTATATAAATGACTATTTAGGATCAAACATGCATTTGCAATTACCCTTATAAGTTGTTATTTGACGATTTGGTTATAATTGAAACGGCTCATTATTGATATAAAACCATTATATAATATCATTTGTTTCTAAATAAGTACATATTATAAAAAGAAATATTAACTACTCGGCTGCAATAGACCATTATTAACTATAGTAGAGAAGAATGCACATAAGATATGCCATTCGAACATCATATTATTTGGAGCACTTTTTTTATGTCGTCTGCAACCAACTTTGGCGATAAGAGTTAAGTGTGCTTTTTCTGTCGACGACGTCAACATTTGTTAGTGTTCGTAATTAAGTCAGTTAAAACGGAATTCGAAATCAATCGTAAGATAATGATTAATGGTATGAAGTTGTATATATATATATTTCAGAAAAAAAACCCATATGAACGAATATCTTTGTTTTTGTTTTCACTGAAACATATGATATTGGCTTCAAAACACATATCTCCTTTTTATTTACAATAACCTTTATGCATAACACTTGATTTTAATTGTCTAAAGCCAAATGCATGAAACATATTAAAGGGTATTACAATAAACAAAATGAGATAACAGAAAGTACAAATAATATGATATGTTCTTGACAGGCCCTGCATCAAATCAACCCACAAAAGGCATCCGGCGTAACAGGCCACAGGTAAGTACGAATAACTTAGTACATATGATGTTAATTTTCTAAGATACATGTCAAATTAGTGTTTCACCGAGAGCATAGCTTGGTATCCAATGGACACATATATTTGTATTTTGTTTTTATCTATATTGTATAATAAAGACTGTTAAATAAAATTGGTACCTTATAAACATGATAAAAATAATTTCGTTAGAATACATAATTGTTTGTACTACTAAAGTGAAGAAGTTATGAATATACTTTTTTGCTGATCTCTCACTGTCTAATATAACTATCATTAATAGTTTTAATGGGTAATACAAATGCAAGTGTTCTGCAATGATAACATCTATGTCATTTGATGTGACATTTGGTTGTTAGGGTGTGCACTTCTTAAAGGAAAGATAGACAATGGTATTCATTAGGCCTACTTTGATGGTAATTTATACTTAAATTTTTCATTTGGGTCTCAATAAAAGTTGTGATGATATCATCTACAAATTAGTATATATGGGAAAAATTTAAAGCAGTACAGTTATATTAATATAGTTAAGATGTCATATAGAATAATTGTCTCTCACCATTTTCATTTTCGTGAAAATAAACATATCTTATACAATTTAACACAAATGTTGTTTTATAGTAATGCCGTTAACAAAAGAGTCCGATTTTAAGGGTCAATCATACAGCGTTAGAAGGCAAAATTCAAGTAAATAAAAAAAACCAAAAAAAACCACTGTTAGGAGTATGATACAAACAAAAATAAATAAACACAATAGCAGTTTTGAACACTATGTTTTAGTTGAAACGATCCGACTCTGATCAGACGGAAGTGAGGCATGCTCAGCGTGTCCAACTTGCTGCCAGAAAGCTTGCTATACAAAGGCAGCAAAACAAATTATTCATGGCTCAGGAAATCAAACGGCAACTAGAAGAAGCAGAAGTGGAGCTTTGCAGGGTAGAACAACAGGGAGTTGAGATAGAAAAGCAGCTGAAAGAAAACACTGAAAGTAAGCAAACATTTCATATGCTAAATTTTATTTATCAACTTCCTGTTTACCAAATACTAAATTTTTTCTTACACATAATTACAATAAAGGACATTTTCGTCACATTTCTCAGTAACAAGCCAGAGCTTCTTCATGTTCTTTGATTTTGGTACCAAGTTTTATGTGTGCATATTGTAACGTGTGACATGTTTTCATAGCTATCATCACACATCTACTACCAGTCTATCGTGGTTTACAAGGCATGAATTTGATTTAAAGAATACACATAGAAATAAGATAATAAATAACATGAATAAGGCTTACTATACTATCTAATGGTCATAACACAGATTTTAATATTTTAGTTTTGGAAGAGAATAAACAAAGTTTGCGACGACAGTTGTGTTCATTGTACTGTCGGCGACAAAAGTTATTACAGTATGAAGCCGAATTACGATCAGCTAAGTATGTGAATATATTTGATAAAATAACATTGATATGTAGTTTGTCACAAATAAGAAATGTACATATTAATTTAGGCCGTGATGAGCTGTCATGTAAAATTTGAACTATATCAAACTCCAGACACACTAATCATTCAAGTCCTACTTTTTTTTAACTCTACAGACACACAGAAAGCGTTACCATTCTTGTGGAATTATACAAATATTACATAATATTTCAAATTTGCTTCTACAAAATCTTATAGTTTAAACACTATTATACTACCTTAAATTTAGATAAAAAATAAAACGTTTTCTTCAGTTTTTGCAGTTAAAATATCTATGGCATCTCAGTTTGATACATAAATCATGACTGTGATATTTGTTATTTGTTCTATTCATTTCAATTTTTTTAATATTTAGTATGCTTTTTGCAGCGAACAATTTGTACCACCAAGTCAAAAAGAAGAAATTTGTGAAATAAGTCCTCGTGATAGTGATAGCTCTAGCGAGGAAGAAGAATACATGTATGTAGAAAAGTCTGACTCTCCAGAGTTTGGAAGTGACCATGTAACAAGGGAGGCAAGTGACGAGGCAGTAAAACGAGACAAGATGATTGACATACAGGACCCATCGGAAATAAAAAATGGCGTAAACGAAGTGGCTCCAAAAATTATCTCCACAGATACATATCTACAGAGAGTCATTAGTACTAAAGCTGATTTGAAATCCACGCCTAAGATCTCAGAAGAAGAAAGTCAATCCCAAGCTACTGGTGGAGATATTTTGTCTGCTGATATTGAAAGTATGCAATGAATCAAAAAAAAATTTAGACAAAATGCGGACTACCCTTCATGAATGAAAAATGAATGTGACAAACAATGTGTATTTATTATAAATAACGTTTATAATAGTTTCACAGTACGGTAAATGGGATCTTCTGTCTTTGATATTCGAGGTTTTACCATATCTCCAGAAAGATTTTTTTAATTATTTTAATTTTAACTTTATAATCGTTTTTGTTGTCCTCTACTTAATTTTGCCGCTTTTTCTCTCCGAATATTGAATACGAGCAAAGCGTTTGGGATGCAGCAAGTGTTTTTCATTTTTTTCTGGCTCTAGCAGTTGCATATATATCCATTTTAATTTCTTATTATTTTTTTTTTTTATTTTTTTTTATTTTTATTTTTTTATTTCCAACAATTAAAACATATACATGACGTACATACAATATAATACATGTAAGATATATACAATGTCATTATTATAAATACATAATTTGAAATATTTGAAATTTTCTATAGAACAGATATCAAAAGAAAAAAGTTCAAAAAATATAAAAATTAATAAATTACTAATTATTACAAATATTCATTTTAGCTGCTACTTAACATACATTTTTTGTGTACCAATGTAATTTTTTCTTTTTTTTTTTCAGAACTTACATTTGTTGATGTATTTACAACTGGAACTCAGAATTGGGAATGCCCGTTTTGTACACTTCATAATGACGACACAAACAGCTTTTGTGATGCCTGTGAAGGTAAGATGAATTATATTAATTTTGTTCATGGAATTGAAGTACAAAATTTATTTACTTAACACGTAGATTTATAAGATTACAACTATTGTTGGTTTTCATTGTATAATCACCTGTACCATAAAGCCCTGAACTTCATTGCAAAAAGCACGAGTTGTCTATCCGTACTGTCATTTTGTTCTTGTAATCATAAGAAACATATTTCATACAAAACCTTCTCAAAGACATAACGATAAAAGATATATTGTTAAGTTCGTTAATTTAACTTTCGGATATATTGATTATATCCTGTCACTCAACAATACCCATTTCAGTGAGTGCATCTCATATTTCCCAGTTAAAATGATATTGAGGACACTACCGAAACTAGAAGGTCTGCTTTATATCTTGGCCTTTTCCTCGATACTGACACATATAAACAACTTCAAAATAGAATCCATGAAAATCGTGATGATTTCATTTTTTCATTGTCAACTTCCAATTTCGCGACAGATGAAATATAATTTGTCCTATCGTATGTCGTTTACATATCTAAATTGATACGTAACGCATGTGCATGCATGTTCACACTTTGCACTGATTTCATTAGCAATGGTATGATCGTCATATAATTCCTGATTGTGTCATTTTGACTTTGGGGAGTTTCGCATGGTAGGTGATGTATGCTAAACACTAGATGTATGCAAATATCGAGACGGCTACTCTGTCCTCGACGAACTTAGTATCACTCTTTTTTTACTTCATGTGATTTCCTCATTTTATCATGCATCGACAAACATGAGAGCATGTCTAGTAACCGCTCGACTCTGTCCGTCCTTCCGTCTGTCCTTTAGTTTTCTTGGCTTCTTTTTTGAAGGGAATGATTTTATATTTGTTATGGTGCTTGATATTGATGTGTTTTAGTGTGTAAGCAATTTTTTCGTCCGCCGTGCTGCCACTTCTTATTTGAAACAGTTTGAAATTTTACAAAACTCGCTGTACAAGAAATATTGTCGTCAGAGTTTTGCTTCATTATAAATGATTTGATTTTGATTTTTTGTGTTTTAACGCCACTTTTAAGCACCGCTTTTGGGCTATTTCGTGGCGGCCAGTTTTTATTGGTGGAGGAAGCCGGAGTGCCCGGAGAAAACCACCGACCTTCGATAGGAAAACTGACAATCCTAGTCAATTAAGATTGGAGTCGAGTGCACCCGCACGAGCGGGGTTCGAACTCACAACCTTAGTGTTGACTGGCTAGTGATTACAGAAGTAACTACCTAGACCACTCGGCCACCGAGGCCCTATTATAAATGCAACCTCAATTAATTACATGCAGAGACGCAAATCCAGACCCGGTATTGGTCTTGTGTGTTAATTATCTTGATTTATTTTCTGAATCGATTTATGAAATTCGGTCGACTGCTGTTATAATTCATATCGAGTTGATGTAATAGGTGATTTCTGACCTGTACAACATAATTTCTGATTTCGGCAAAAGTTAGACTTATTCATTATTATCTGTTTAACACTGCCTCATGACATATGGGCTATCTCCGGGTGCAGCTTGGCAATGGAAAGTTAAAAAGAAGATAAGAAAGAGTCCGTAGACATGAGTGAAGCTTTCAAACTTTTGGTCTTAGGTATACCCCGATGAAAGGTATAACAAAAATATGTGTTGTCTACAGGAACATTGGTTTCGCACTTTCTGATTTTTTTATTGTGTCATACTAGATGGCATCTGTCCAAAAATGATTTAATTTCCCCATATTTTTTAAACACTAAATAAATATAAAAAAACCATGGACAAACACACTATTTTTATGAAAATAACCATGCATTGCACATGTTGCATTCAACATTGTCATACCAGCTCAAATTAAGTATTATAAAGTAAAGAACTAAACGAATTGTTTGCTTTTTATATGGATTAAACATATTTTAAGGAGTGTATTGATTTGTCAACTGGACCGATTTACTAATGAATGAATATCTCATGTAAAGGTTGTGAGTGATATGGTCCAGTTTTACACATCAATAATGTACGAAAATCAACTCAATGCGATGGAAAATACCGTTATCAAAATGTTGTAGAACGATGGGCGACCAGCTGGCAGCTGCCAACCGTTTCTGTGCAATAACATGCTATTCAAATTTTAATATGTTGTTACTAATTACAAAATGGGGTTCATGTTCGATATAAAAGATTTTCATTTCAACCGTTCTGGAGTAATGGTGCTTGATAGATTGGAAAACAGAACGTTATTTCGACTCCATGCATTTACTTATGAACCATTCAACCAATGCTTTTAAATTTTGATGTGAACTGCGAACGATGACAAAAAGAAGATCAAGTTCGATATTGACGTCTTTAACTTTTACTGTTCTGGAGTTATGTGCCTTCATAGATTTGACAAAATACCCACTTAAGTTCATTTCGACATGTAATACATGTAACATATAAACATTCAACCAATGGTTTTCAAATTTTAATATGTTGTTACTGATGACAAAATGACGGCTAAGTTTGATATTGACTATTTTCACTTTTACCGTTCAGGACATATGGTCATTGAAAATAGGTACATAGCGTGACAGGTCAGGCAAGCCTGAAAGCGCCATACATTAGTATAAATCAATCAGTTTGATTCGCGATATCTGTCCTCTTAAGTTAAAAATTGGTCACCTTCAAATCAAGGAAGACCCGGTTTGCTGGCAATTTGACAGCTTATTCCATGTTGAAAAATACAATAGTCATTACCAATATTTAAGGAATGACTGTAATATGTTTTCTGTCTATGGAGAAATAACATAAAAAATGTGGTGCACACTGAATAACCCGCGTAGCTGTTTATTTTAAAGTGTGCACCACATTTTTAATGTTATTTCGAATAGACAGAAAAAATATTACAGTCATTTCTTATAATTTAATTCTAAATTCCATTTTAAACCGGAGTAAACCATGAAAAAACGTTGATGACGTCACGGTCACATGACAAAATTATGTCTATGAGCTGATAAACAAAACAACGTCAGCCAATCGGAAGACGCGTTACATCCAAAATTAAATTATTAGCTAATATGGTCGAATGCATTCGCAGAACTTAAATTCAAATATATGAGAACAAAAATTGTAAAAAGGATGAGGTAATCATTGATTAAATTATTTTAATTTGTTTTGTATTTAAGTTTGTTTTGTATTTATAGCTTGGAAATGTAGCATGTGTACCTATGTAAACGACACCAGAAGAAAGAAATGTGAAATGTGCTACAACAATAAACCACAACTTGATGTCATCCAAAACGAATTACGTGAATCAGATGCTTAGCTTTTCTTATTCAAATTTAATGTCATTATACAAGATGGGTCAGAACTAATCGGAGAGTATTATTTCGTATATGTATCTGAAAACATGTATGAATTTGTGTGATGAGCAGTCGATCATTTGTAACATTACAGTAATGTTGTCTTTCTTGTATCAAAATTCATTAACCTACTTTGTGTTCTACAGTCGGAAGTCTTGAAGTCATTACTATTAACTGTCAAGATTATTGTAGCTCAGATATTCACAAAAGGTGTTTAATTCATACAAATGCTGACCTTGTTTTTGCTAAAAGGCGAATCATTTGATTTCGTCATATGTTTCCGATTTGTATGAAGACAACCAATTTGTATGAATAAAACCCAATATTCTAAAATCAACGGCTTTAAATGTTTATTAAATGAACACATTTTTTACACATTGTTCGTGTTCTAAGTTAGTTTTTGAATATCGTACCAAAATATCACTTTGCAACTCCTCTGACAACGTTTGACTTGAGGGTCTCATACTTGGTAACTTTGTTTGCCATCAGCTGCAGTTAACCATATCTTATCTTCATTTTAAACCATTCTGACGGATGTGGGACTGTTTTGAATATTCTAACACAATGACAACTTGTGAATCACTCTGAGAACGGTTGACAGAACGCTATATGTTCGAAAGGTTTGTTTGCCTGCATGTCTAAAAGACCATCTTGTGTCGTCATTTTGTTTCGATCATATTGACAGGATGTTCTTGAACTCGTAACTTTTTTCTATCCTATCACAGTGACACCTTCTGAACGCAGCTTCTCTGAGACAATTTGACAGAAAGCTCTCACACTTGTTAGATATGTTTCTCATTATGTGTTGCTGACCTTAATTTACCATCACTCTGATTCGATGTTGTAAAGGGACCGAGTAATTGCACTTTGTCCATTTTTTAACTGAAGAAATCAGTAGAATATAAAAAATATAAAGATGTGGTATAATTGCCAATAAGACAACTCTTTGCTTACTTAAGTACACATCCTTTGACAGTTTATTTCTATAGGTCGCATTCAAGGAGGATTTGATTACGACAATTGGAACATATCCATCGTTCAACTTCACCACTTGGAACTCTTGGTTTAATAGCTTCCTTGTAAGCAGCAATCGTCATCAAGAAAATCATGATACGAAATGCAAGCTCTGAAACATCGTACTAACTGGTATATATTCTCCATATGCAAGCGCTGCTGGAATTTTGCTACATAAAACTGAAAAGTTCACAATTGGAAAGCTGAAATCATATCTTCTGTTGTAAATGTTGGTTGTCAACCGAACGTCAATTGTTAATTTATAGATGTAGGTCAAGATATGAGACAGACTCAACTGTATCTGTTGTATCCTTTATTTCAAGTTCAATGGGGTAGATGCGTTCAACTTAACCACCACACTTTGAATTATTTAGCGGGAGGACATTTTTATAGCGGAACATGAAGTTAAAAGATATGCTAGCTTCTTTTCACACTTCCTAAATAAGTCCTATATAAAGTCTGCATAGTAAGAATAAAGGAACAAGTCGACAAGACGAGGGCACATATGTTTCCTATGGGACAGTTGTAGACAAAACACGTCCTCCAATCGTTGCAAATATGTTGTCCATCAAGAAATCAAGCATCTTGATTATGTCAGTTTCAGAGATTTTTTGTTTGAATCAGAGTGATGTTTTACAAAGTACGGTTTATCCCTCCGTAAGGCAAGATGTTTGAATCTACGTTAGCGATTCCGAAGGACCGAGGGAATCGCAGGAACGAAAGGATCAAGAACGAGTACTTTGGCAGGGTAAGCATTTCATGCTATGTATGCCTCACCCGTCATGCGAATTCACATTCGACCAAACGGCCACAATCGGGAATAGGACACAATTGGTTAAATAATCATATAAAGGCCAACGACTTTACTGGTATCTGAAGAAGTAAAACAGTGGAAACATGTCGCTAGTTAGACACCAACCTAAAAACGGGCAACCAATTCGTGAGTGTGACCGGAAAACTTATGTAGTGTCAATTTCAGTCTTCCTTTCTCATATAGCTTTGTTGGAGAAGTTTTTGTGTAAGGAGCACACTCCTAATAATGAAGTCTGTATAGTGTGGAGATGCACGAGCGTAACGTATTAACTCAGATTGTTAAACGTCACAGGCGGACTTAACTGTATTTACTTGACCCGTTGATTATGAAATGTACATGTATATGCGTGTAGAAATACATTTGATTCTACATGTATTACAGGTTAAATTTAATATCTCTCATGCAATTTTTGATTTGTAAAACTAATTAGGTACAGTGTGCATCAATATTAACATGATAAAAAAAAACACAATGCATTTACATTTTTGGATGCATAAGTATATCATGTATATGATTTGTTTGGTCTTGCACAATGCTATTAAAGGTCCAAGATTAACAAATAACTTAATCTAAGTCAATATCGTAAACATATTATACTGCTTAAACGTAAACGCCGGGTTTAACTGTTCCATATCAGATTTCTCAGGTATTATCCCATGACTTGCCTTTAACAATGCTGTTATAATCAAAACATTATCTCAATATAAAGGTTCTTGGTCAGCTTCAATGACATAGTTATTATCATATCATCTTTTTAGCTTCACTAGAATCAAAGGTAATAAGATACCGAGGCATCATCAAACATATCAAAGTGTTCCAGTTTTTCAATATTATCATTTAAAACGCTTGCTTTACTGGGTTTTAAGTGTCGATTGATTCTGCAACATTTGTTTTTTTTCACTTTGTAAAACGGTAACAGTGAGTATTGAAAAAAAACATTTCCAAATGAACTATACAATTTTAGGAATTTGCGTTATTTGTATTTATCAGTTTGTCCAAACATTGTTTTTGTACTGTCTTATTAGCGTATATATCTAATATCTGCGATATCATATACGTGTTCATTTGATAATTTTTCCGTAAGTCTCTGTTCAAAATTGATTAGCTTATTAGTAAGTGGTACTCTTTCAAGATGTAGATTCGATCTGCATGTAATCTAATGATAAGACCATGTTAAACAATATAATGCTTCGTGTAAAATTGGTCAAAACAGTCATCAATAAATTAAGGCGAGAGCAGTTGATTCAATGATTAAATCTCGTAAATCGATTACGAGGAGACAAATTAAGGTAACTAACAAACTTTAGGAATCGCATGAACTTGAAAAGGAGCGAGACCGGGTTCTTTAACGGGAAAAGGGTCTGCGGCTATGGATACATTCCCCGCCATGCGAATTCACATTCATTCAAATTGTCACAATCTGAAATAGGACATAATCGGTCAAAAAACAAACTATACGACTAAATTGGTTTCAAAATACCCAAGACCGCAAAAACATGTCGCTAGTGAGTTGAGACACCAAATATCGTACCAGTCAACCAATTCGTGACCGTAAAACGTATATAGTGTTGAGTTAGTCTTTCTTCTTCATAACTCTATTGAAATAGTTTTTGTGCTATGAGCACAACTTATTTAGTGACAGGATACTTATATGAATGTTTTCCTCAGTCCAATATTCTGTAATAAAGAAAGTAGTGGCTGAGCAGTAACGACGTAAAACTTGTTTAACAGAGGACTAATTTCATTTCGAGGTAAAAGTACTAGATAAAAATCGTGTCAAAATTATTTTTAGACAATATTTTTTCTCCCTTTTACAAATGTTTTAGGGGTTATTTGTGAGTTGCTAAAACAAACACAGTAGATTTCTTGAATATAATATCAACGCATACATTTTCTATCAGAAAATTAAGAATATCAAACTTGTAGTTTACCGATGATCAAATCTAAAAATTCACACTCAATCAAAATGTCAAATTCGGGAATATTGTTCTATAACATTCTTTTTTGGACGTATTCGTTCATATAATGGAGGCGAGAAACAGTGGGTGGCGGTTGAGCAGTAACGAAATTAAATTTGTTTAATGGAAGAATACTCAAAACATTATAAACTCTACAATCAAGGTTATGAAGTAGAACGACTCAAATTATTTCTCCATTATTGACGCCATCATCAAACATTTGATCAATATTATCTCAATTTCGCACCTCAACTCTTCTATTTTCTATATATTATTTTAAAAATGCTAACATGATTAAAAGATTAACTCCATGTAAATGCTCAGACTAATTTTTATAACGCTGTTGACACAAAATTACTTTGGTTAAGATAGTTATAACACATAATGGAAAAGAAAAGGTATGGTGTAAGAAAACCATGACACATAATTACTATACGCACTTACAAAACAGGAAGCAATGAAACATCGCTTTTATTAAAGTCACAGCGAACCATTCAACATGAAAGAAAACTCTCGCCTCACATTATTCTATAAGATTTTAATGGCATAACTGTTAAAATGTTAGTTTAATGCAGGAAATTCAATAGAAGGTTTGGGAAAAATTAATAATTAACAATTAATAAAAAAGAAGTAGAAAAGCAACGACAATAACCTCGTTTACAATGTGCATTATAATAACAGTCTAAATTTTCTTCAATCCATAAATTGAACAATATCCCAAACCATAATTAAACCACACGAACACACATTTATTTATATATATATATATATTTCTCTATCATTAAACATTTAACATACGATGAAATTAAGTTATGAAATTAGTTTAAGCGTTAGTATTCCAAACATCATTATTAGTTATTGTTAAGTCACCTAATTCATCAAATTTTCCCCAATACAACTAAAATTATGTAATAATTGATAGAAGTAATTTCGATGATAACGACTGTAATGAACATAAAGAAACTAAACAGAAGAAAATTTAGATGAGAATGTTCAACCGCCTATTTCTTCCATAAATTGTTCGTCAAATAAATAATCGAACTTATTTCATCTTAACGCATCTAATGTCACCTAACATGTAGTAGTGTCAAATAACATTGACAGGCTAGGCAAATGATTCACGTGAACTATTATGGCGATGATCACGTGAATGATGATCACGTGGTGGTTTACTGTTGTGGCACATTTCACATTCCTTCCTTCTCCTGTCGTTAACATGAGTGCACTTGTTGCATTTCCAAGCTACAAATACAAAACATGTACTTATATTAGTGTAATATAATTCATGTTACAGATAACCCGATAGTTTATATGAGTTTCATTTTCCCCCTTTAATTTGGTCAACAAGTTCAGTTTATGTGTTCCAAATATACATAGCTTATTTATTCATTGTATAGTTTGTCTTTCACACATCGTATTTTATATATCTATAAATTACCAGGTTCGTTTAGTTTTCCTGATCATGTTTAAGAAGCGTTGTTTACATATATTTCAAAAATCTCAAAAGTTTTGTTATAGGTCACAATTTGAATTAGTTTTACAATTTAAATGTACTTCACAACAAAAGTATTGTTTTAAAGTAGTATTGGTTTCATAAATTATTTAGTATTTGAATAAAAGTGGTAATCAAGTCATTCGAGCAGATTAAATCTATTTATCAAACGAGGTAAAATAAGTGTGACTTCCTCAATTCATACCTTTAACCAAAAGCATTCTGGAGTTGAGCTTTAGTGTGCATAGTTTGTATTTCTTGTGGCAATTGTTTTACAATATACGTACACAATAAATTTAACTACGTATCATCATATGATAACATGTGGTACAACTGCTTGACAGCTATGAAAATAAATACTATGCGTATATTATATATTTCTATAAATTGGACCAATGTTTGCTTTGTTTTCCTTGAATACGATCAGCACATTTTTTCTCACCATAACAGGCACTGCAAAAACTGCTTCCGTCGTCATTATGAAGTGTACAGAAAGGACATTCCCAATATATTATTATTGCTCTGTCATCAACAAATGTAAGTTCTGAAAAAAAACAAATACAAAATTCCGTTATGAGTCATACACGTGTATGCTAAGTCATAAAAAAATAAGAATTGTTTTAATTATTTATTATTGTAAATTGATTTCAATGGCAACGCTAGAACTAAGATAGCAAACATATTTACATTTAGTTCATTTCACATTTTATATGAAGCAAACTTGTGGACAAAAAAAAACACTCATCAGAGATAGCGAGCTATAAATATAAAGCAGGGTTAAACTCTTTAAAAATGTACTAAAATTCTAACTTGTATTATCGAACACCAGCCCATACCAATGTAGAAAGTTGAAAATTATGTGAAATATATAACCTAATAGCACAATTCCGGGTTTTGTTTGGATTAGTATTGCTCAGTCTTTCTGTTTGTTGCTATCAAGTGTTTTGTAGATTGTTGTTTGTTTTATTGGTCGTTTTTTACGGGTTGTTTATGTCATATTTTCTTCGACTTATGATTTTTGATTGTCCTTTCGGTATTTTCTGCCTCGTATCTTAATCATAAATGCACATTTTTGTCTATATTTATACAGTTTTAATTCATGAATCAATGTTGGAACTTTATATGTAAATGTATAAATTGCTTACTATCAATATCATCAGAAAATATATCTCCACCACTAACTTCGCACCGACTGTCATCTTCCGACATCTTTAAAGACGAATCTACACCAGTATGAGTTCTCGTAACCACTTTTACATACAATTTTAAAGTGACAACGTTCGTTGTTACTTTATATACATCATTCGCTTGATTAGTTTTTTCAGTAGTTGTTTCACATGGCCTTTCTGACAATATACCAGCATCTTTTATTTCTAACAACCCGTATGTTTCCGCCCTTACTGTGTCTGAGAATGTTGTGTCCGGTACAGCATCTGATATTCTACTAGTGTATTTGTCAGATTTTGTTTCCGATGCATTTTGTGTCTCATACGTCTTGTTGTCATCAAGTATGACGCCACTGGCCTTTATTGTTTCATTGAAAGTTTCGGAACCAAAAGCGACAGACATTTCATCAAAACTGTTTTCCTCTTCCACTCTTGGTATATATTCAGAAGGACATGTCTCCTCAGCTTCCCCTTCTTGACTTGGTAAAAAGTGTTCGCTGCAATGATCGAAATTTATATTCTAAAAACTTCAAAGTTAGAGCTTAAGGTACGACGTTAAAAAGAAGATGGTTTTAACTCGGATATTCCAAATACTTTAACTGAAAACATTGAACAATTTCCTCACATATTATATATTAATTATAGAGTAAACCAATGGTTAAGAAAATACAAACTTAATTTTAAAATGTATTTTGCAACATAATATATGTTATGTATCCCCAATTTTAAAATGTATTTTGCAACATAATATATGTTATGTATCCCCATAAAATTAAGTCTACACGGGAATTCAATGACTACATTTATTTTTTTAATTTCTACATTTTGTTATACTTGCATTCGTTGTCAACTGATATCTTTAACTTAATCAAATTTATGCACTTACCTGGCTGATCGTAATTCGGCTTCATATTGAAGTAGTTTTTGTCGCCGGGTGTACAATGAACACAGCTGTCGCCGTAAACTTTGTTTATTCTCTTCCAAGACTGAAATATTTGAATTTTTGGTATGTCAATTAAATAGTTCACCTCTTACTTCTATTGTTTTCACACTAGTCTATTTGTTTAAATTTAGATTTATACCATTCATGTCTTGCCTTAAGCTTGCAAACCTATCTCGAATTTTTGTGTCGCTGTTTGATAAACAATGTACTTCTATTCCTTAATCAGTTTGTTCTCTTACCTACTTTTGTAAATTATTTAATATGAACCATCTCATACAGAAACAAATTATTTATAGGATTTGCAGTAACCCAACGAAAAATTGTCTTATATAAATAAATAAAATTCACAAAACGATTCTCACGGATTTTTGCTTAACAACGTTCTTCTATTCCTTAATCAGTTTATTATTCTCTAACGTACTTCTGTAAATTCTGTAATGTGAACCATCTCATACATAAACAAATTAATAGAGGATTTGCAGTTACCCAACGAAAAAGTGTCTTATAAAAGAATATAAAATTCACAAAACGGTTCTCACAGATTTTGTTTTATAACAACGTACTTCTATTTCTTAATCAGTTTATTGTTCTCTAATCTACTTTTGCAAATTCTGTAATTTTAACCATCTCATACATAAAGAAATAAATAGAGGATTTGAAGTTATCCAACGAAAAAGTGCCTTATATAAGTATATAAAATTCACAAAACGGTTCTCACATATTTTGTTTTATGAACAACGTACTTCTATTACTTAATTACTTAATAAGTTTATTGTTCTCTAAACTACTTTTGTAAATTCTGTAATTTAAACCATCTCATTCATAAACAAATGATAGAGGATTTGCAGTTCCCTACGAAAAAGATGTCTTGTATAAAACTTACAATACGGTTCTTATAGATTGATAACCGCCTACATAGTTTGGAAAGCCCTAGGTCTCATTTATGTCCAGAAAAGCCTTCAATAATTTTTATTCAGATTGAACTTGAATTTGTTTTTTTTAAATAATCCTTCAGTTTTGTTAATTCCGTGTGTTTATCATCAGTGAAACTGTGATAGTTAATCTACATGACCAAGGGAAAGAAAACATGAAAAAATAACTTGAAATACAGACGTTTTGGCTTTTTTTTCCTGATAAAAAAATATGTATAGAGTGACATTATACATTAGTTCCCAACTGCTATCTTTAGTTTTAATACCACCAAATCATAGTACGTCACATCCGGTTTCATACAAAAAAGGGTCGAAAAAAAATAGTCCCTTGAATTTGACAGTTGTAGGAAAATAACCACCGCATTTCATTGCCGAAAAAAGTTCTGAGTTATAAACATATATCTTTGGTGTTTCAGAGCACCATTCTTTTTTTATTTGCTGTTCCTATAAAATATTTTGGAAATTTCAGATGACATGGTTACTAAAGCTTGTTAACAGAGAAAAGGAGTAAATATTTGATTGGTTTACTTCCCGTGATAGTTATTATCTTATATGCAATGAAATATTTTGTGAAAATTTCACTGTAGTACTGAACAGGATAAAACTTAACACATGCCAAGTATTTCTTTATTTTAAACAAAGATAAATTCTGCACAATTTTTAGAAAATTGCCAATTTAACAAAGACTTATTGTGGAAAATTAATGGTGGTATTACATTTTAAGAAAAAGTTGGCAAAAATATAGCAAAATATGGCGGATGAACTATTAGCTTACTTTCAGTGTTGTCTTTGAGTTTCGTTTCTATCTCCACTCCTTGTTGTTCAACATCCCGTAACTCAACATCAGCTTCTTCTAATTGTCGTTTTATTTCCTGAGCCATGAATATTTTATTTTGTTGCCTTTGTATAGCAAGCTTTCTTGCTGCAAGTTGAACACGCTGAGCATGCCTCTCTTCAGTCGGATCAGAGTCACAACGTTTTAACTACAAAATCATGTTCATAACTGCTATTGTATTTGTGATTATATAATATGTGCAGTTTTTTGTAAACTACAAATAGATTAAAACATCGTTTATATAAATTCCGATAAATAGTATCTGAATTCAACAATTAATAATTTTATTGTATTTACCAATAGTTTCTAGTATTTAACGTTTTGATCAATTGCTAATATGTAAATACTTTCTTTAAAATTTTCAGTAATAAACATCTTACATGCATGATTATCCTGCTACTTATAACCTATGCACATTACGCCAAGGGTGTTTAATATTTCAAATAATATATATAAACTTGACATCACCCTTTAGACAAGGAAAATTAAGAATATGAACGAAAAGTCGTCTCATCTAATTTTAGTCCTAACGAAGTATACGACTCGTACGTGAAAATTTTGTATTGGCATGGAATTAAAGATGATGTCAGACTCTAAGAAGAATCAAAGCAATAAAACAGTAAATACACTAGACAAATGTTTTGACAATATGTAAAGCTCTAAATCAACCCTTGTCTTGACCAGTTACAAATACATTCAATAGAATACCTAAGAAATGCCATTGCAGTCAATTCAACGAAAACCCTATTCTATATGTTAAAGAATCCACTGACTTGTCTTTTATTTTTGAGTTTCACAGGAACTGTGACACATTTAAACGAAACATTATTGGATACACTATTGAATATTCCTCTGAAATATGAACGCTATTACAAGGTATAATTTTTTTAACAGTATTTATTAATTAACAAACACTCCCCAGTCTCCATCCTCTTACGACTTTTAGTATGCTGTCGAACACATACTATATATTGTGTTTTCTATTTCTAATTTTCAGGTTGACTAATGTCATTTCCACGTGTACGTACCTGTGGTCTGTTACGTCCGATGACTTTTTCGGGTTGATTTGCTTCAGGGCCTGTAATGAAAGTATCACATGATATGTAAAACATGTTTATATTTAGTCCCATTTGATTTTTACGTTCTTAAATGTTTAATTTACTTGGCATCCCAGAATTCTCGCAATGATCGTACGTGCACGTGAGGAAAATTATTCTTAAAAAATTGTCTTGCCTAATGAAATCAATATCGTATGCTTTTATAACAATCAAAACAAATATACTCTGTATACTTTCCGAACTAAGTGCTGTTATTTTGGTATTCTTATACCTTTGATCTAAATGCATCAACTATTTTCTTGCAACTCAATAATATTTAAATCAGTACCACTCTCTATAAATGTTTCTTTATGACCCGATCGTTGAGTAAAAGGACCATAAACAAGGAGAATGGAAAATATTATCATCAGAAAATTATTAGGGCACCGCCTGGTGGCGGATCGCCCTATAAAAAGTGATCAGTCTGTCCGTCCGTCCGTAACAAATTGTGTCCGCTCTATATCTAGAGAACCGTTATAATTTCATACTTTATACTTGACATGTATATTAACCAACACCAGAGGGTGTGTCAGACTGTTTGTACAACTTCCTAGGTCAAAGTGCAAGGTCAACGGGGCCCACAAAAATGGCTCCCATCTCAATGATGTCTTGTTAATACTGTTTGTATATTCAATAGTATTAACTTTTTCTAATTGCATAACACGGACACAAGTAACTGTTTGAACATTTACAAACAACATCTGGACCATCTATTGATATATGTTCTTTTTTTGCATTTGTTTAACTAACAATCAGACAGTACTTGGAAGTAATATAATGGTGTTATACAATATCATTTTTATCCTTAAGTGGTTTTTCGTTAAATATAACGTCAAGTTACTAGTAACCATGACGCAATGTAAATAAAGTAAACGATTTCCAGCTAATCATCATTACAATTGCTACATTTTTTCTTGATAGAAAAGAAACAATAAGTGTAATATGTAGTGCATGTAAGTTGGAGGTTTTTAATTCCAATTGTCTGTTTACATGTGGACTGGGGCCATCAAAATACTTTCTTGAAGTTCATATTTATATTTAACCTTACATATTTGTTTGCTCTTTCACTTTCAATACGGCATTAATGACAAGAAGAGATTTCGGAGTATACGCCAATGAGACAGTAGCAAATCTCAGAATAAAAGAGATATTAGTTACCTTTATCAATGTTTTTGTTTTGTGGTTGGAAACAAGTTACTGAAAAATTTGATCTTTTATCTTCAAGCTCTCTAGATTCCCTTTTCAAGTCCTTAAGGGCTCTTTCAAACATTTCGTTATTTTCCCTTGAATTTCTGTTATTTGTATGCTGCTTGTCATCGGGTAGGTTAACATCAGACAAGTTAGTTATTACATCTGGTGCAGCACAGATTGTACTTTCTAAATCCTAGTATTCATGAAAAACAAAATGGACACACATGAAAAAAGAGAACAGGATTCAAAAAAATGTACGAATTGATACTTCTTCCATTATAACAACATAAAACTTTTCAAAGTTTATAAATAATGGAACTTTTTTTCGGTGAAGTTTTTCTTAGAAATTTAATTCATTGTTAATGATATTTTTGCATCTTTTTTAATCCTTATTTTTTTACTGTAATAACGGGTAGGCTTCTCTCCATTGTACTTTCAGTGTTATCAATTTTTGACTTTATTTCTTTAAAATTCAAAAACACAATCTCGTCAATCTAAAAGAAAGCAATAACTAGTTATTAGGTTCATTTGGATGCAAATTTATAGTAATTACAGACAGAAACAGACAAATAATATTTATAGTTCGAGAATGTTGTGCTAGATTTATTTCCAATGCTATAAAATGTCGATGAGTACAGTAGCCCATACTTAAAACAATTATAGTAAACTAACGCTATTTAAATATTTAAATTTGTTTCAGGATGTAGTCAGGTGAAATTAAATAATTTAAAATTGATACTATAATTCACAAAAGCATTAGTTAAGCTAAAATATTGATAGGTTATTGAACTCCTTTTCGAGATATTTGATTTAAAAAAGTGGCGGGAAAAGGCTGACTCGGACTTTTACTGTTTATATTGCATTGGCATTATTTGGGTCTCAAATCGTAAAAATAGAAATCTAGAATCTGCTTAAATTTTGGTAATGACCTTTTATGAGCTATTGAAGTCTTCTATGAAAAGAAAAGTGGGAGATATGGGGCAAACTATTTTACCCTGTATCGTAGGAAAAAAACCAAGGCGTCCGAACATCTGACAAAAAACTCCTAAACCTGAAATGACTACATCCTTAAATAAGCTCTTTACACTAAATCCATTAAATGTTGGATGTGTATTGATTGATATTTTAGTCTTAGATGCATGATTTTTTTAGTTGTTATTGGCTTTTAACTAGCTGTCAGTAAATGCGAGTACCCCCAGATCTGTACTGAGTGTCTTTTTGTTGTGGGGATGTATAAGTACCCTGTCACGTCCACTCTGTGTTTTTGTAAGATGTATTTCTGCTTTGTATCCATCTGATGAGTTAAGCCCTTTTCAACTGATTTTTATAATTTGATCTTATGTTGTACATTTACACTATTGTCCCAGGTTATGGGTGGGTTTAGCGCCATCTTACTAGTTTAACCCCGTCATATTCTTAATGTGCCTGTCCCAAGTCAGGAGCCTGTGATTTAGTGGTTGTTGTATATTGCTGTTTTTCATTTTTGTTTTTCGTTTATTGTTTTGCATAGTTTGTTCACGTGCTGTGTCGTTACACCACTGTCCAAGGTTAGGGAGGACGGTTGGCGCCAACATTCTCGTTTAATCCTACCACATTCTGTATCTGCCTGTCCCAAGTCAGGAGCCTGTAATTCAGTTGTTGTCGTACGTTGCTGTATATCATATTTTTTTTTCGTTCATTATTTTGTACATAAATCAGGCCGTTAGTTTTTCTCGTTTGAATTGTTTTACATTTGTCATTTCGGGGCCTTTTATAGCTGACTATGCGGTATGGGTTTTACTCATTGTTGAAGGCCAAACGATGACCTTTAGTTGTTAATTTCTGTGTCATTTGGTCTCTTTTTGAGAGTTGTCTCATTGGCAATCATACCACATCTTCTTATTTTTATATCATATGGATTTTATTAATCTTTATCCTACATCGTTTTCCTCTTCTTGCTCGTCTTGCATTGTTGAATGTTCTCTGGTGGAAACATTTGGTTGTAGAGTCACTCTAGCTTTGCTATGAATTGGCGATGAATCTAAAATTATTCAGTGTAAAAAATATGTTTCAGAAATAAAACATATTTGACCATACCTATAGTTAAAATATTTAAATTTTCATAAACTCAGAGAACAGCTTAAGTTGAAGAGAGGATATAATCTAAGCAACCAAAATTGTCGAAGGTTAATCGTTTCCTAAGGTAGAGTATTAGCAACCATGGTATAAGTACAAATCAAAATGCATCAATATCTGTATCATGCTAGCACAAAAACAGTGGTTTCTTGGCGCATTATACAATGTCAAACCTTCGTGAAAAGGCATTTGATGGTGTCGATTTGTATGGCAGCCGCACTAAGTGATAAACGCACTACACAAAATAACCGAGTTAATTTCCGATGTAAGACAATTTATAGAAAACTTTTTATAAAATCACGATTACTTGATTACGGTTATCCTGGAAACGCGTACAGTTGTAAAGACAAAATGTCGACATTTATATTTGTTTTTATGTTGAAGAGTAGTAGTCTTATTGATATTTACACAGTGTAAAATTTTTTTATCTTATATATTTGTAATACTATATTGTTACCTTTTTCAGCAGATATATCCGGCTTATGTCTAGAAAAGCTGCGTGGCTTTGTATCTCTTTTCAAGGTTTGCCAGAACTCTGAAGCATCTTTAACTGTCATATTTTTATCAATGTTTGGTCCTAAAGTAGCTTCAAGTCGTTCTTCAATATCGTCGTCACTGTCTTCACTGAAATAGATTTCACGTCACTTAATAAATGTCACATTGTAAATCTAAGAGACCAGCTTACGTCACACAAAAAGACTTGTTAAACCGGTTCAGCTAAACTTGTCATTTTTGGACTGATTCAAAGACGCTATCTGCTAGTGTGGATATGCTGGCTGAAAATGTGATAGTTCTACAGTTGATTATATACATTTCAGGGTTTCTATTTCTATTAGATATTCTGGTAGACTTACAGGGAAGCCATAGAAGGGTATTAAATAGTATCATAATCTGGTGTAAATTTAATCTAGCATATGTCGAACATATGACTACGGATATGTTAAATTTTTTCGTTACCTCAAAGATAACCATGTCCTCTATTTTCCTCCATAATGACAACTAATAAGACCTATCCGCGGTTTAAAATTGCTATTACAGACACTGAAATTTCGGATTATAAGACATTTGCACAATAGACACGAACTACCCTCCTTATTAACTTTCTTAAAAATAAAGGTTTATTAAACAAAAATTCCGTCATTGTGCTGCTGTTTCTGCTGCCAGATTAGCACTACGATCTCTCGCATTCTGCGACGACATTCGCCAAAACAAAATCAGACATACAATTGCTTAAATCCGCTTAATTAAGACTCTTTTGGATAGTTATCTAATTTACAATCATAATACCACATCTCCTTACTTTATGTACAAGTCCATGTTAAAGAAAAAAACTAAATTGACAATATCATACACAGAACATTCCAAACTGCAGAGTGAGTAACACTAACTCTTTTAAATATATTATACAAATCATACATACTTTGACGAGTCATCTACGTTTTCATCAGATTCCGGTAACGTTAGGGTAAACGCACCTAATCCACCGCGAACAGATACGCCAAAATTATGCTCAAATATAATGTCTTCTGTTACTACCTCCTTTTCATCATCTCCGCTATTGTAGAAGTCTATCCTCCGCATTGATGCTGAGGTAACTCTTCTTGCTAAGAAGTCTGGCCTGGCAGGAATTCTTGGTTTGTCTGCTAAACATAGAAACAATATATTAGCTAAAGACTATTTATTGATATATGACACGGCTAGGGCACTTTGCCCCTGACTTCCTCATATCTTTTAATCAATGTAGCTGTTAGGAATTAGGTGTTGGAAGTGACTATTCTGAATTAGTTCCGTAGCATTGTTTCCAAAGGAATCGTTTTTAATAATTTTCAAGCAGGATGGCCAGCGTGTTTTGAAATGTAATATTTTGATAGATACTTTGATGATTGTTTTTTCCACAATCATATTTAGGGTATGGAAGTTATAGAATATAAAAAGATCGATGTTCATTTTGTATTATGTTCACAACTGTAACGTTTTGAAAGGATAAAATCTTAAAGCGGATACCATGCTCATAAATTTGTACTCCAGGCACGTGTTTGGTCTTCATAAGACTCATCAATGACGTTCGAATCAAAGCAGTTGGAAGACAGTTCAAATATGAAGACGAAGAGCAATAAAACCTCGAAAATCCCAAAAGATATATTCTAAAACAAAAACATTCCTTTGTTATTATCATATATATAGATTCTATTGGCCTAAATAAGTAGAACTTTCTTGGAAACGCCTTCTGGAAAGGAGAAAATATCATACACGGAACATCAGAATCAGGATTGAATAAAATAATAGTGATGGTGTTGAGACCCGATTAAAGAATTATATTGCTATAGGGTCGCAGTGGATGCATGTTGTTAGAAAAGCGCTGATAGTTTACTTTTTTATTACGCATTTTTTTTGCCAATGCTGCGTTGTAACATGATGCGTATTATTTACTTTATTTCCTATGTATGATAATTTTTTCCCTCAAAATAACACAAACAGAAAAACAAAAGATAACGAAATTCATGACGGAATATAAGCATGATCAGCACTCAGTACCGTTAAAGGAAGGTTAAACTTGTCATCATTATTTTCATTATTTTCATGTCTGACGTATGGTTTGGTTCGTCTTGAAGACATTTTAAGTTATATAGTGTCTTCTATTTTAATGGCAATTAAATGGTGTACATTTTGTTGACTTGTAATGGGATCCTTTACCTGAAATATGTTTGACTCTGTCTGCATTTGCAACATTAGGTGCGTCTTTTGAAGGTTGAGGGTCATCCCTTGCCTGTATAAAATATTGATAACTTGATACTAGTCACTAAAACCATGTGTTTCATATATGCATAATAATGCAGTTTAAAAAGGAAAAGGTATTTAATGCTTCTCCGCTAAGCACGCGGCATTAAAGAGTAAGAGCAAAGACTGGTCGGCTCGGAGTCTGTATAATATGTCCGGGTAATGTGATATGTCTTCCTGCGGACTGTTACCTTTTGAACTAGCACGTTAAAAATCCGGCTTAGCGCGTCGGTCTAGCACAAAGCAGGGTTAAAATTCGTGTTACAATAACATGTTCTCGTCCTGAATATGCATATTTATTTGCCGCTGAACGTTAAGCAGCCATCATCATCATCATCATCATCATCATATCATCATCATCATCATCATCAAAAAGTCAAAGCCTGCTTGAAAACAAAAGATGAACAATCTTGATTGGTGCGGAAGACTATCAAATACATAAAAAATATTACAAGCTACCAAGTTTAAATAATATATCATTGCAAATTTCAATGGTTTGACGTTTTTATTTACTGTATTGATGCACGTCGTGACAATGCTCATCATCAGGAATGTGTATTTACATATCTAACAAAAGTTCCCACCTATTTCCTTCGTTAAGTGTTTTCACCCTCGTTCCTTATTAAATCACTAGGTTTCTTATTTTTTCCTATTTGTCCTGGTTTTGTCATATTTGTACTACATGTTTCAATGTAACATGTAAATTTATTTCCGATACTTGATTTATTGATGGAAAAATATATAACGCAAGTCGAATATGATGAACACCAGAAGATACTTACTTTATATGACATAATTTGTTATTCATTTTAATAAGTTAGATTGTATCTTACTTTCAATACTAGTGTTGGACGTTTTCTGATAGACTGTGTAAACTTTGCGTTAGGACCAGCATGCTTAATGCAGAAAAACCTCACTGGAATAAAAATAATAAAATTTGATCATATTTGTAATCTTTCTGATTCAAATAGAAAATGATGGAACATGTAAATAATTTCATAAATAATTAAGGGGAGTCGATACAATGTCCGCACCGTTAACATGATAATGAACTTTCAATTTCCTTTATTACTCGTTTTTTTCTATGATGACGTCATAATAACTGACTATATTCAAAGGACTACACATCTATTCTAAGACATTGCACAAAATAAACAATCGAATGAGTTACAAAAGTAATGATAAATTATTTTCAAAACGAAAGTTGTTTTGTGCAGAAAAGTTGAATATTTGTCCATGCATCAGTCATTGGATAGTGATTTTCCAGAAAAATACTTGGCCACAATGAGAGGAATGCATGTCCATTAACAAGAACTTTTATAATGAAATTAAAGTGGCATTTTAATTGCCAACTTCACCGTATTTTAGAAAATTTAAAAAGGTATCGCCATATTTCACTGAAACGTTTTAAAAATCTAAATTTTGCCCTCAATTCTTATGAAATAAGAAGGGCAAACTTTGTATTTTATCAATTAAAAAATCTCATTTCGGGCTACAAATAATTTCAAAATACTTTAAATTGCAATTAAATGTGAACTCTATAGACCCTCTTGATATAAGTAAAACATGTAAAACAAATATGTAAATTTTATAGTGAATTAAAGTATAAAAAGTTGTAAAAGTGTACTTAGTATGACGTCCATTATCACTGAACTAGTATACATATTTGTTTAGGGGCCAGCTGAAGGACGCCTCCGGGTGCTGGAGTTTCTCGCTGCATTGAAGACCCATAGGTGCCCTTCGGCTGTTGTCTGCTCTATGGTCGGGTTGTTGTCTCTTTGACAGATTCCCTATTTTCATTTTCAATTTTATTATAACTTCAATGTGAAACTGATGACTTTTAATTATTTTCAAATAAATATTTGAATTCAGTATCCCCTCCATTTGAAAAAAGACCAATACCAAGTTTAAGATGTATACTATTAGATACTTTCATTGATTATCGATTATATGCCTTTCCTGTGATTATGCCTGAACAATGTCCAATTAAAAATATGATTAAAATAAAAATTTAACAGAAACAAAATTTGTCTAAAGATTAATTTCGTCCATTTCATGATTGTTTTGTTATTCCACTATCCATTTACCGAAATTCAGTAGATTTGATCACAAAAATTGATAAAACTATATAACTCTGTACAGCTAGTAATTTAAGGATGAAATGTCATTGATATGATCATTTTTCTGTAAATTAACTGTTTATAAAATGTTGAATCATTCTAAACAATAAGGTTTTTCTATCCACATGTGTAGATCCCTTTTGGAATTTTGGGTCCTCTATGCTCTTCAACGCGAGTCTGGTGAATAAAATTTAAATTCTAGTGTCTATGATTAGTTTGATTGTGTATACTTTATATGTGGCCACTTTTTCGAATTTTCGGTTCTTTATGCTCTTCAACTTATGCAATTCCACCTTCTAATTGATTTGATTAGAGTGTCACTGATAAGTCTGATGTAGACGAAACACGCTTCTGGTCTACAAAATTATAAGCCTGGTACATTGTGGTATTTACATGAGTTTATTTAGGATTTTTTTTTATAAAGAAATGTTATTGAATTTGTGATTGCTACTCCACTTTAAATACGTTTTATGATAGATATTACAGAGTTAAGTGCTTATTCGGAATTGATGAACTGCTCCTTAATGTTCCACTTGGAAATGCTTCTGATCCTGATAGGTTCTATCTAAACAATTGTGTCGAAATCCCTACTGTAAAACTTTGACAGAATGTCGATTGGTATCGCAGGAGATGCCCACCATGTTAAATCACTAGGCCTCGCTCAATTGTGAGTTCATGCGATTCTCTGAGGTGTTTTTTATATCTTGAATTGTATTATCTAAATGGATGTATGCGTTTTGAAAGTCGGTAAACTACTTTTTTACCCTGCCACATGTCCATGCACATGTACAACATGTACAATGTCAAATTCATCAGTTAGTAAAGTCTTAGTATGTACTGTCCTATGAGGAGTTGTTTTTAAAGATTTTTCGTACATGAATGAAGGTATTGCTGTTCAGACGAAGGGCACATTCATGATTTATACAATGTTAAGACACTTGTCTTTTTTTGAAGACTAAATGCTGACCTTTATATATTATATGTCACTTGGTCGCTTTTTAATTCCGGTATGACCCACTTCATCTGCCTGTCCTAAGTCAGCAGCCTGTGTTTATGTCGTTTTAGTTGGTTCATGTCTGTCATATCTTTTTTTCGTAAATTGATTTTTTATGAATAAGGCTACAGGTTTTTGGTTTGAATTGTTTTACATTTTCACTCTTGAGCAATTGTTCATTGTTAAAGGTGAAACTGCTATTATCCAGATGATGGTAATTCTTATGAAAAGTTGTCTCATCGGCAATCATACCACATCTCCTAATTTGTAAACTATCTTCTTATTTGTTGTAATTAGAATTGGTCTTGACAGAAAATATTTTCATGTCAGACTATCTACTCAGGCGACAAAAGCATTTCAATCAGCTGTCCTTTCACAAACTGTAAAACATTCGAGAATCAAGTTGATTTACTTTAGAATAAGAGATAGCGAGGGAGAGAGCCAATCTTTTTAATTGAATAATTTTGTAGCAATTGCAAAATTTATTCTAATAATCCTTAACATTCTGACGAAATTAGGTTTACCTCTTCCTTTGTATGATTTTTGTGTTCTATAATTTCCGAGATTCAATTCACAATTACATCTTTCACATTTCAGACACCGGCGATGACAAAACACATTTTCAACACTAAGTTTCTCCAGGAAGAATAACACTTTCTTGCAGAGGTAGCAAATATCATTGATATTTTCATCAGTTTCTACCTGTGAAATGACATGATATTATAAACAATGTTCCAGGAATAAATGGAGAGTTAAGTAGAATTGTTTTATCGTTTGGTAATTCTAAAAATATAGGCTGTTTATCTCCTTTGCAACATACGGGTATCTGAGTCACCCTTGTTGTATATCAGAGTCAAACGGAGGCAGTCTATTAAAAAAATCTATCTTTCGGAGTACAGTGTAGGGTTTTCACTGTTTGCTAAAGGATCCAAGATTTTAGGTTTAGGGGGGGGGGGGGGGGTTGCGCAAACTTAAATTTTCGCCAAGGGGAGCGAGGCGAAAATTGTTTTGAGGTAAATTTATCGAAATATTCTTTATTAAGCTGAGATCAACCCATGCTTTGCAAATTTTAGGCGGGCGCACGCCCGCCATGCCCCCGTCTGAATCCGCCCCTGCTGTTTCCTTGTCCTGGTTGGGCAATATTTTTGGGAGGGTTTATCAGCTCTTTATCTTTTGAATTTATAAGAACTGAAGATACATTAATTATAAATATGCACATGGTGCATTTGGATTAGTAACGTTAATATAAAAAAAGAAGACAGAAGGTGACCCGCGGAGGAGTGGTCATGGAGAACATCCTATGAATAAAACAGGGTACTACGACAGCAAAGTCAATTAGAAGGGATGGCGGGTTATTGTAAAGGTGTGGACGTCATTCCTCATTTTGTTTTAAGTTCTGTTAACATTAATTTACTAAATTGATGTAATAAATCAGTATGATTTAAACGACCATTGTTATATTAGTGTTTATAAAATACATTTTATTAAGTAAGATATGATATAGTTTATTTCTGGTGTATTCTATTACTTTTCAGTAAAATAATTATACTGTTGTGAAGAGATTGTTACCTACATATGTGTAAAAAGATAAAGTCGTTGATGTGCAATGTGCGCCTACCCCCTTAAAAACATGTTAAAGCAAACTTAACCTCAGGAAGAGCATTATGACAAATTCAACGCAGAACTTTTTTATGTTGTTTTTCGCACACAATCTTTTCGCCGATTTCTTAAATTTTTAAGCATTTACTAAAAGATTTGTTTGACAAAGAGGATTTGTTGATTTACAAATCGATCTATGAATATCATGTTTGAACTTACTGTGACTAGATAAAAGGGAGACAATTCTAATAACATTTGAGCCTTATTGAAAAATATCCAGATTTGTTAATTATCACACAGATTACAAAAAGGTCAGGATATTGAATCAGATTACACAACGGTCATACACGATTAGCCTTTCCATCTAAGTACCTAGTATGAATATGTTAGACGTCAAAGAATTTCAGAATATTCCTAGGTTGGAGGAATGTAGTATTTGAAGGTGCATGACATGTTTATACCTGTTAGAGTAATATTTTATGCGATAACTACCTGTACGATTTGAGCTATATATCTTTCATTTTGAGCCACGCGTTATTTTGGAAAATTGGCAAGTTCGTTTCTTTATCATTACAACCTTGACAGAACTAAGAACGAATGTAACAAACCCCACTGTTTACTTACTTTTTCGTCATGTATCTGAACTCTACTTGTTCTGGGTTTTACAATATTTGTTTCTGTGATGTCTCTCTTTTCATCGCCCAATACGCTGTTGTCGGAGGAAGTAATCTCAGGAATAGGTTCTCCATGAAACAGCTGGTAAAACTGGGACAGATACGATGCCATTTCTACCTCATTTTCAGACGAAAAGTTTACCATTTTTGAAACCGCTAATACAGGAAATATCTCAAATTCTCGTTTTGCAATGTTTACTACTATTTCCATAGTTCGCAATGCATTTGTTCGGTCCAAATCTTCCATTTTTCTAGAAGAAAGTAATATCAATATACGTACATGCCCTTATGGTTACAATAAAACTGAAAGTCTAAAAGTTCTTTTCAAAACAAAATACTAGGGATTTATTGCAGGTTTTTATGGGATTTGATCGTTTTGCAAACAAAAGAAGTAGCATGTTTATTTGGAACAAAAAGACATATAAAAGACAAAAAACTATTGACATCATATTGCTACTTACATTATATGAGGACGAAAAACATGGATCAAGCAACCGAGTTCACATCCACTTCTCCAGGAAGTTGTCAGATCTTTTATTTTAAACTGTGTGTGTTTTTCCAGCACTTTCTGACACCATAGCAGTAAATCAGGTAAATCCACTGATTCGTCACCTATAAATTAAAGAGGAAAAGTATAGTATGATGTTTATCGTCAGACATAAAGAGGTATAAGTCAGAGCAAAATATGAATGAATCACCTTTCGCGCTTCTTGAAATTCTCTGTTTACGTAGAAAGCCATTTATGAGTACATTAAATAAGTTGTAATATATATTTTGAATCGTATAGTTAGCAACCGTTATAATTTCATAAATGGTTTCTTTATAATAGAAAACACAATAAAAGAGTTGAATATACTGAAGGAATGAAAAACAACTATGCTATGTTCTTCTGGTACTTCGAATAAGTTGTTTCATGGTTTTGTTTTCTTCTAAGGATGAACTCATTTGAATAATTGTTCGTGTAATTTTGCAACCACTTTTTATACGTTTGTAAGTATTCAAAAATATGAAATAACAAAACAAATGAGTTAATTAAGTTCCACTCGATATACAGAATCTACGTCATTATTCAAAATCAGATACGGAGAGTACTGAAAAAAAAACAGAAACTAATAGTAACAGGGTCACCCTCTGTCACAGCAATGGTGAAACATGAGGTTTTCATAGAAATATTTAAACGTGTACCGGATTGTCTTTAAAATAAAAGGATTACTAGCAAAGTAATAATTTAATGTTGTACTAAAACAACAATGATCGAATTGATACAGTCCCTTCAACGGAAAACAGACGGTATAATTTTCAATATAACAATACGAAGATGTAGTTTGATTGCCAATGGCATACAACATCATTGACTTAAAAAATCAAACATACATATAAAAAAATCTAACAGAGACGCCAACAAAAAAAATTTTGTAGTTTATAGTTAATTGACAAGGACGCCGATAGACAAATTTTTGAAGCGTTTATTTCCTATTTTCATCATGTAATAGATCTTATCTTACTGGTTTAAATAGAAGGAAAATATTACATCACAAATTAGAATTGATAGTCTGAATATTGGGGAAAACACATCTAGCCATCCTTTGTCAGTTGCAAAAGTGCATTATTTCAACAGCAATTTATACATGGTCGTTACTTACTTTGTTTGGGTTTCTTAACCGGAGAAACAGCGTCTGCACTAAAGTCATCTTGCACGTCATCATAAAAGTCCTTTGCTTTTTCGGTAGTAACTGCTTTCAAATTAATGATTGAATATCTGAAGACAAATATAAACCTCAATAACCTCTTGATTATCGACAAATACATATTCTTAATCTCTAGTCGCATTGTTTTGTCCGTTCCACACTGATAAAAAAGACAAAATATTGAATCTAACTCAAAATTACAATAAGAAAAAATGTGCATTCTAGATTCAACGTTAAAGTTCGTCTCCGTTTAACCAAAAGAAAACTTCATATAAATGAGGTCGTATAATAAGCCCTCTTGAATTCGAAAATCAAAACGTCTTATAAATATACAGATGTTCAAAAACATAAGTCCGTCTGATATCAGTTGATTTTTGAAATTTATTTTTTGTTTTTTTCAGTAGGGCTCTTGTCTTATTGGAATTGAGTTATATGCTATCTATGAAAATAACACTATTCATGTATGCGTATAAGGCGCGTCTTTGATTTTATTTCACCCGTTACGCTCAAAGTCAAATATGTTAAAGCCAATGATGTATAACATCCGAAAATGTTAAGAGCCAAAACCATAAACGACTTAAAAATTAAAAAAATGTATCTAAGGTCAATTTTGTCTGAGAATTTTAGGCCTTATCCTAATGATATTTTCTAAATTTATCAACAACATTCTTGTCAGTATATGAACACTGAGAAATGAGGTGATAAACCATACTGGACTAAAATTCCACTAGCATCGGTGTAAACCCAGGGCTAGAAAATGAAAATAACTGTTTACAATTTTCGCGTCCAAAGCGCATTTGGATTTACTTTCATCCTGGACATTCAAAGCAAAAGAACTGAATGCCAAGGTTGTAGCTAACAAACCCTCGTTTGGAGTCTACCCTCGTTTGGAGTCTTGTCATTCATATTTCGATATGACCAAAGGCTTAATATAAAAAGATATTTTGCTAACATATGTTTTTTTTCAAAGATTTTAGTTTGTTTAAAATATCGTTTGGATAAAGACCTTGCTCATTTCTATTAGTTTACCAACAACTATGCCTTAAGTTGCAATTTTAAGTCAAAAACGTCAACATGGTCAATTTTGACAGGCTAAGTGACCTTACTGAACTTAAATTTTCAGATTTTACAGTTTCATTTAATAATAAAACTAACATAATTTTGAAAGGCTTGAATAAGTTTACTATTTATGCAATTTCAGGACAAAACATTGGCTCTCATCCAAGTTATCATACTTCCTCCTTTATTTGGTGAGCATAAAAGATATGCATGTTTTATTTACCATAACCTGATTATACCTTGATTTCGGTTCAACCGTGTAATTACTGAACTTCTTGCTGATGTTGTCCTGAGTTGTCTGAGATAAGACTTTGTAAACGCTCTCTCTCTGGGCTATAATATCAAGAGGTTTTTCTTTCATACTTTTCCAATTCCCTATCATCCAAGCTGTATCTAAAGCTCCAAGAAATCCACGTGCACACCCAGTACCTTGTGGCCAAAACGGCTGAAAAATTATCATATGAATATGATTCTGATAAATGTTTCACAGTATCGTTCCTTTGTTGCTTTAATATAGTTAAAATGTGTCAATTTCAGTAAAACAATGAATTTCTAAACTTCTGTTCTATTATAAGGAAACTACAAACTAAACTTACTGTGCTTATCCTAAAGGCTTTGGCCTATCACAATACAAACTGCTCAAACAAATTGCAGTTTGATTTCATCTCAACAAACTGATCAACTGGTAAAATATTTTAGCAAATTGCTTCAGTGAAAGGTTGTTAGTATAAAGTGAGTGCTGTGAAATATAAGTAATGGTTACCATCCAACTTCATTTACATAATTTCTGTGTAATGCAAGTGAAATAAACTAATCACCTTATATAATATGAGGCACTGGTTTTAAAAGGTCTGACTTTGACAAGAAAACTTCTATCCTGATGACATTTATAAATCATTAGTTGTTACAATTGTTTGGTGAGTTAATAACTTATTGCTTTGTTTTCTAACAGGAAGTTATTGTGTAATTGTAAGTTGGATATATTTTTCTGATTACTGATCTGCTGGCATTAAAGGGTAATAATTTTTATTCACTCATATTGTAAAAAGAAATTTTTCAAAGATACCAGACTGATGATTTTGTACGCCAGACACAAGTTTTGTCAACAGAAGACTCATCAGTGAGGCTTGAATAAAAATTTAAATGCCAATTCAAGTATGAAGTTGAAAAGCATTGAGGAAACAAAATTCTAAAAAGTTTTGCCAAATACTCCTTATAAGCAATCTAATCCTCGGGGATAGAAAATCCTTAGTATTTTGAACAATTCAAATTTTTGCAAAACAGCATATTTATAATTTTGACCATATGAATGATAATTCGTGTTAACACAGAATTGCTGAATACTGGGCTGGTGATACCCTCTTAATTTACAACCCGAGTATTTATTTTGATAATTTTTAGTGTTAATATTATAAAACATACTTCTAAAAGACTGTCACCAATTAGTCCAATGAGCAGTTTTTTACCATTCCTCTCAATGATATGCGATGCATTTACAGCTTCAACTTTCGATGAAAAGTCCAACATGGCCACATCATCCATCCCATGAGAATTTTTTGCAAAGCACATATTAACCATTGCATTGTCAGTGCAAAAGTTTGCAGCATCTCTTGCATACGCTAGCAATCGCTGCACGTCAATGTTTTTTCTTTCTAATAATTTTGAAGCATCAGACAAATCTGCTTTGAAAACACCCCTACGGACTAAGCTTGCCTTTGTTGGTGTCATAACAAAATAGTGCGTCTCATCTTTAAAGTAAACCATATTTTCCAGCCTGATTCCTTTCTTAGTCTCCAAATTACTAAATAATGATTGGTTAAAATGACGAGCAACTCCTCCAATTTCTTTTGCCTTCATGTCAGCAGCAGTGTTTGAATTCACGAAGTTAGCAGTAATTGCAATGGAGAGTTGTCCTCGAAATTCCTTTCGTTCAAAACCTTTACCAAAATAAATCATAGAAACAATTCATTCGGTTACTCTTGTGATTATTCTAAATTTCTTTCATAGTTGTAACGCACGAAAGACCGAGTTTTTGAACGTTTTGTTCTTCTATTTATTATTCTTTCATGAATGCTTGGATGTATAGGCTTCATTTTCTTAATGTCAATTCCGTTTGTTATCGGCCGTCATCATCCAAGAGGTATAATATTCAAATGCCTTTCATAAATTTTACTTCAGAAACATTTGGTTGGTACATGTACTGTTGATTCACTATTATTCGTTGGATACCCATTTTCGTGGATTTTCACCTTTACCCAAGAATTTAAATCATCAAAGAAGTACAAATTATATGTAGGCTTGTATGCTTACTTAATTGACAAAACCACAAAATGACGTATCTACGAAAATAACACTTTTCTTAAATCCACGACAATTTGAATCCACGAAAATAAATGAATCCACAGTAGTTTACTTCGTCTTGTTCCTAAACCATCTTATACTGTAATACATATTTCTAAAACGGTTTTGCACGGTAAATGTGTTAATTTATAACAAAAAAAATATATTTGAAAATATATCGCTTGTAAAAAATATTTTCGTATTTAAAAACACATCTTAGATGTCGGAAAAATGTCATTACGATACATTTAGAGTAAAGAGAAATAATCATCGATAAAACATTCATCTATTTTTCAAAACTCTATACTAATATATTAACCTTGTTTAATGACTGTTCCATTTTCAAATCGAAGTTTGTATTCTGAAATATAAGGTTTTCAACGATCACAACTCTGTATTTCTATTTTAGAGTATTAATATAAAAATAAGAAGATGTTGTACGATGGCCCATGAAACAACTTTCAAGCACGTAAACATACTAATTGAAAATCCGCAACATACGTTACTGAGGATGATGAGGTGTTAAACATTTTGGGGGGTAATTTTAAATGATTTATTTTAAACACATTTCCTATCCCTGCAAACATTACATTTAAATAAAAAAAAAATAGAAGAATATACCAAGGGACAATGAAAAACAAAAAGTCGAACAACCAAACAGACAACGTTCACAATTGGAAAACTAAAATCAGCTTTTCGACCGACCTTAAATCACAGTTGTTTTATATGAATTAGATTAAAATGTATTTGTGGGGACCTTCATTTTAATTTCAATTGGATTAATGGGATAAACATACCAACAATCATAGATTATTGAATTATTTAGGAACAGGAAATCATACATATAAATGATCCTGAAATTTCAGGAATATGCTAACGTCTTCACAATATTTTTCATAAGCAATTATATGATGTCTAAACAAAGAAACAAGTCAGTTAGAAGATCAACAGAGTGAGTGGGTTTCCTGTGAATGTGCACCAAATGTACAAATTAATATGTTGTGAATAGAAAAATAGTTTCAGGAAGTTTCTTGGTCAAATTGTTCCACAAAATGTAATTTGTAACCAGATGTTTGTATCTTTTTATCCTTGATTAAAGGATACCACTAGCCAGGAAGGTATTGAACCAAGAGTTCCAAGTGGTACAGTTGAAGTCATCGTTTTGAAGTTTTACGGACGTCATCATGAGTTGGTTGACAGTTACAGCATATCTAAGTTACAGATGACCACCGAGTTGTTGTAAACACAATCCCGTCCTCTCGTCCTCGACTGTGGCATCAACGAAATAGACCCATCACCGAATTTATACTTACCATGATCAACTTAAAAGGTGCTACTACATTGTAGTGGGTTAGTATATCTTCACCCTCTGGAACATGTGAGATCACACCCAGTTTTTGAGGGGTTCGTGTTGTTCAGTCTTTGTTTTCTATGTTACATTGGTGTTTTGTGCAATTGTCTTTTCGTTGTTTTTTTGCCATGGAATTGTAAGTCTTTCTTCGAGTAATGAGTTTTGCATACTGGTATCCCCTTGGTATCTTCTGCCTCTTTTTTATCAATGTGAAACAAATATTTATTTCAGTTTTAAATATTTTTTAAAAATTTGAATATAGAGAAAGAGCTAGGGACCTAGATTTGGTGTATAGGAGAAGACGCTTATCCTGTAGACGCGCCTTCCTTGCCTCTTCGATTTCATGCAATTCCCTCAGTTTGTGTTTTGTTACCTTGATTTGTCTTCTTAATCGATTAATGAGATTTAATCATCGGAAAAACTGTGACATAAAGACAGTTAAAAACTTGTATTATTGTATGCGACATTGGATTCTTCTAATGTTTGCACCTTCAACGTAAACTAACTCTAGACTTCCAATTCGTGACATGTTCACCCACAGTGGCCTCATTCTACACGCCTGTTAGTGTGTGTTAGAATGAATATGAATCCGTTAAAGTAGCCTGGAGATATTGTGCAACGGATAAAAAGTCAATAAGGTAACACAGAAAATAATGTGAATTCAATAATGAATACTTAAGACTCAGTTAACATTATTATGCTTATATTGCTCTTAACGTTTCTACTTATTAATACATCCGTGGCTTTCAAAATTTTAGGTTTGAGCGTTCCCGATGGAAGTAAAATTCAGAAAAGCGCTTTGGACACCCTAAATTTTATGTTATGTTCATTCACTTAGCATGTACATTCTGTGTAATGTTTTTCTTATCGTAATAGAGACAATCTCGTCCCATATAAAAAGTTCTGTTTGTTTACACACATTAATGTTCTTAACCGATTTATCAGATTTGCATATCGGTAAAATAATGTTGCCTATGAATATAATAAGCTTTGTATTCAAACTCTTAAAATCATGATAACTTTTTAAAATACTTTTTTTCACTACCTACCACACAGAGCATCACGAGCTCCAGTTGCGGCAACCAAAACATCAAATTCAAAATCAGCAACCTTTTGATTTTGTGGCTTACAAACGGCTTTCCATCCTGATCCTTCAAAACGAGAAATCATTGATATAATCGTATTTATCTACAGAAAACGAAATAACTGTTATATTGCTACCTTAATTAAAAACAAGATGTATGAAAATTGATTCGTGGGCAGATTTCGTTTATTTCTAGTTTTTATGTTGAGATACGATATTATAACGATAAGCATCAAGGGATTACATTTTTACGCAAAGAAGTTACTGCAATAAGATATATGAACACAAATACCAATCATCCACATTGATATTCGACTAAAAGAAATTCCCGAAAACACTTAATCAGATATTTGTTAATGCATAATCTATATAATTTCTTTATTTCAGTTTAAATGAATAAGCCAGTGTATAGAATATTCTCATAATTTAAACAACCATCATTAGTAAATGCCAGTATATCAAGGAAATTGAATTTTCCAACTTATCTATACATTCATTAAATTAAATTAACATACATTAAAATGAAAATTTGTGAGCTGATAAAACCGAAAAGTACCAAATGTATAGTCAAACCAGAAAAAGGAATCATAGATTTGCATGACGAAGATACATTCCGTCATTTAAGATGATTACCTAATTTTCATAATGGCAAATTTCAATATAATAATATATGTTGTATAGTCAGACTAACAGTGAACTAGCAGAGGTGTCGACACAGTGGTATAATGACATAAGCGGTTCCAATTTTACTGAACAAGAATGACATTTCATAATTTAATTTCTCTTCAATGATGCTCGAGGTCAAAATATTTGAACATACAACGTCGAAGAGATGATTAAATTAGCATTTTCTAAATATTTACCACCATTTTTCTGTGGACACTGCAAACCATCAAACTCAACGCTGGTATAAACCTCTACGCCTAGCACCAACGCTATTTTCATAAGACAAATCTGAAGGCGACGAATACCTAAAAGGAGCAAAATGTTATCTAGTAAATAGTAATATATGTGACTAACAACTTACATGTTTAACTTAATAAACACAACATAATGAAGTGTGAATTAAAATATAATGCCCTATAGAGGTCAAATCTTCATAACCCAACAAAGCACACGATTAAAAATATAGCGTAGCTTTCATAGAAAGCCTTTTGACGCTTCTACAAAGTCACCATTGAGAAGAACCTTTAAAAGGGAATATTTCAAATGAGATCCGTATTTAGATTTTGAAAAGCGATTCAATAAAAAGGATAAGATTTTCTATGGTTCAAAGAGAGTATGAATCGTTGACAAAACGCATTTGTCCAGTATAAAGCTGTAAAATGCATCAATCTTTAGTTGTATATTGTATAATTTACTCGTGTATCTATAATGACCTGAAAGGATATAAATGACTGTCGACTAATCGTTATAACACAATATTGATCCTTTTTTCTGAGTTACGAAATACTGTTAAAGAGAATGAAACATTCCCGTTTTTCAATAAAGTCACGTAATAATTCTACCAAATATTTGAATATGTATTTCAAAATATTTTTGTATTAAACCTAACACTTAATTCAATGTGAGATATCATAAAAGTGTTTTCCCGCCAAGCCAATGGCCATTGTTTACCTAAAATGTTTGCACTTTTATAGGAGACATCTGAAATGAGTAAACTGTATTTGTATGATTAATAAAAAATGATCGCTTGAATATAATTTAAAAAAAAAAATTTCTGAGAGCCGTCATCACATGATAATGATTCGAGTAAAATAAAACCGATTGATTGTTTCGTGTATCTTTATAAATTCATGAATATGATATAGCTTTTGTTTAAAGAAACTTCTTCAAATACAATATTCAGATATATGTATCATGCGTGAAAGGATTGTTTTGTTTGACTTTATGTTCTTGAAAATAATGAGATACACATTTATATTTGAATTCATCTCTTCTGTGGAATTACAAGGGAAAACTTTAAACATGTTAAACTAATATCATCTGCTGTATTTATACTTAGTCATAGATAAATTCAAACGAGGGTATATATTAGATGAGCAATTTCAGCTTCAAAATTGAAGACTTACTTATATGATTTAACTCCCCTTGGCAAAATTTTCCGAAGAAATGTTTTATGCCTATGTTCTTCAAATCAGTAACTGTAAATGGCCAGAGATGGAGTACGTTGTTTCTTGTGAAAGCCTCCCGTTTATCTATCACGACAACTTTGCATCCCATAAAGGCAGTCTCAATAGCTATCCGTAGTCCACATGGCCCTGCACCAACAACTAGTACCTTAAATGTCAAAATTCACTTTATGCAAGTTCCAACAAGGTAAAGCTTTGGGATTCTAGAGAAAATACAATTCAATTATTTATACATTCTTTTGGGAAACGAATAAGATAATTATGAATTGCATATACAGCATAGTATCGACGAAAACGTGTGATATATGCTTAATGATATTCGTTTGTGCTGAATGGAGTTATGATGAAATGCCACCAGTGCTTTGTGAAATTTGCGAGTTTGAACATATGAAACCACCAAACAAAAGTGTATAATGCACTTTGTGTAGCCCGATTAAGTAAAGGGTAATATCTTAGTTTATTATATGACTATAAAAATTCTCTTTTCTTATGGGCTAAAAACATAGGGAATCTTCTATGATCAAACGTTATATTCAGCGCCGGAATAGTCAGGAGAGGTTAATATTAGATTTGGAACAGCTAACGTGTACTTATAAATAGTTTATTAAAGAACGTTGCGCACGGTATCGGTGCTTCTTTGAAAAAATGCGTTAGATAGCGAGTTAATCCAATTCACGCTCTTTTCCTATACAATATATATCCATGATAAGTATATCATTCGAAAGGAAATAAACCACAGAAATCAATAAATTAGATGAATTTGTGCTATTTATATCATGTAAAGAAAAACTTTGCTCATTTCGACGGCTATAACGTCATTTTAAGGGTGTCCCGCTGTTACAATTTTGTTTTGTTTGTGTCTTTGAAATCACAATGCGGACTAGTTCGTAAGTTAAATGAGATAACATTTTACAACAGTATTGTATACAATTGATGAAAAATAGCGTCATAAACGTTTTTAACTGTGAGTGAAAGAAGATTGTCAGGAGCGTTGAGCTTAGGAAGAGAAAAAATGTCCCATTCAGCTGCTCAGCTCCTATGAAAACTTTCGGCCTCCACTATTACAAGATATAACAGATGAAAGTGGCTTTTAATATTATCAGAAAATTTATACATGTCCTAAAGAAGCTTTATGAAGTCATCACTATATAACTGCAGTCTTACTTTCAAAACATCGTCAGTTTTCCCGTGTCCAATAAAATGTCCCGATGGATAAAATGACGCATAGAGTAACCCAGAGGCTGTTTATTAAACGAAATTTTATTTGATCCCCAATTTTGAACACTATTTAACCGATATGAACGGAAAATACATTTCATTTCTTCTAAAATGATGTGATATATATTTTTGTTTGAGCTGCAGGTATAAAATACGAAACGAACTTAGATGTCCAATAACATGTCCCCATAACTGTAATTTGACGTTCACGTCATGATAACGCTTAATTTTTTGCATATTTGGCATACAATTAATCTTATGAAATGATCTGATCTATATTAAATAAAGTTCTTGTTTAAATATGCATCAAAGTAGATCTACATTGTATAAATAATTCAAATATGACGAAATATTTAACTCGGATGCTTGACAAAGACCAGGCTCCGAGGCCAAAAATGTGAGACAAGTTCACATACGATCACAGTCTCACTTTTAGAAAAAGAACATACAGTAAAAATGAAAATGCATCCAAAAATGGGCTCACCTAATTGTTTTCCCTTAGCCAGATTATAAACGACTCAAACCCAAGCTTTACACCCTGACCTTAATTCCTAGCGTTGCAATTAAAGAATCGGAACTATATATGTGAATCAATTTTTCTAGCCAGTTTGCAGAGCCGGGATTTTGTTTTCGTACTTGTATTCTTAGCTCCATGTAGTATATAAATATAGAAATGTTTACTGTGAGTAGAACAATCTCTTATCATCTACCTAGCAACATATGTATGAAAAGGAAGGTCGCAGTGTTACTTCTAGAAGTAATGTGTGGAATAATGGAGTTTGTTGTCTCGAATCTCCAACAGAATTTACTGCTACATAGGCATGCGATGGACGAGTATTAAAATGTTAATTGAAACTTGTCTTTTACATTAATTTGAGTGTTAGGGTAATAGTTGTCCGATAAATATGATGGATTGCACGCAACTATGTATGTAGCAGGTCCAGTGTAATAATTTAAAGACACTCCCAAGTACATTTTAACCTAGTTTAAGTTCCCTTTAGAAAAAAGTCACCATGCACTCTACCCCATATCTTCCAAAAAAAAACCTATCCATATTTCTTGAAAGTGTATATTTTGTGGGAAGTACATCATTGTTTGCATGCATAACCAATTTATAGAAATACTAAAGAAAGAATATTAAATACAATAAATATACTGCATTGAACACGCTGTATGTGTAACAAATTGACACCATAGTTCCTTTTTTATCACTAAATCAACTCCAAAATGTCTGCTGTGTGTATCGGCGGTTCTCTCTGAGCACTTCGGCTTCCTTCAACAATAAAAATTGACCGCCACGAAATAGCCAATCGTGCTGAATTTGGCGTTAAACACAAAAAAATCAATCAACCAATCTGCTGTGTGGAAAAGTTCATTTTTGTGTATAGTAGATTTATTTTTTCTCTTCGCAAAACGTCACAAAAATGGCTGGAATATTGCCTTTATACTTGTTAAAAAATCAAAATCACTCAAAACCGAAACCCGAAACCCGTAACTTGATAACCCGTTTGAAAACGGTCTAAAAATGTCAAAGAAAATTTAGTGTTAACCAATACCCAGTTATATTTTAAAATTGGAAGCGCTAAAAAACCCAATTCATAGTATAAAACGTACATGAAATGCACTCCTGGTCCATAGTACTTCCTTTCAGAAAACATTGATCCATGTATATTTACGAAAGCAGCTACTTAAATAATATATATCTTGTCACAACAAATTGAGTATATTTTTTAAAATCGGTTTCACTCTGCTGTTGGTCAAATATCAGTTGATGTAGCTTTATTTGGGTCCATATAAAAAGGGGTAGAGTTTTTCATACTTTGCCAAAATGCTATAATTTCAAAAACATAGTAAAAAGTATGGATCGCCGACCTTTTTTTAGAGCTTTTAAAAGTTTGTGGAAAATGTTCAGATTTTGTACGGATTATACACGGGAAATGTAAATTTATGCGAATATAAAGAAAACTAAAAGATAGAGTTTTAAATAATATATATATATGAGAAGACAGCTCTTATAATGTGCTCTCCGAAAGCAAAAAATAAAACACGGAATCCCCATATTCGTTTTCTTACTTCATCACAAAATAGGTAAATGTTTTGTAAATTCCTTTATAAAATAAATTATAAACATTCTGGATTATTTACCTGATAAAACAACCATGATTTAAAAATTTCAATCAATGAAACCTTTTTTTTTAAATGAAAAAGATGTAACCATAAAATAAGCTCATTATTTATTCTTTTCAAAGAAAATTTCACAAATTAATTTCATTTATTCATCATTCAATCTTGCTAACAATAATGGTAAAAATTTTAAATCGATTATTTGTAGTTTTCTGCAATAAAAAAATTAATAATTTAAACCCCGTTCTACCTTCAAATATTGAAAATCAACAATGGCAGCACAAGTACACGTATTTCTATTTCATACGTGATGCATATTCCATAAAGTTTTTCCTAAGGGATTTATCAAAAAATATTGCCAATTTTAAACAATTTCCACAAAATTGTTATTGATGTCAAAATCGTGAACTAATACGCATATGATGATGATTCATCGAGTTAAACCGATAATATATGAAATATGAATTATAACACTAGTATAAGCGACTTTTATTTTTAGAAAAAAATGAATACAACGGACCTCTTATGAATAAAGTGGAGATAAAATGAGATTACGAAAAGAAAAATATCAGGCTATCGTCTATCAACATCTTTCAAATAATCAAATTAAGAAGCATTTGAATATTAGCTAAATTTTAAAAAGACAAATTGTGGGAGAGAAAATACCAACATCAACAACGTGACAAAAAGAAACTAATAATAGAAGGGAAGAAACAGAAACAAGAAACAAAGTATTAACAATTTTACTAGCCAAGATTGAAGAAGTTTTGCGGCACAAAGAACATTACTTAATTTTGAGAAAAAGAAGAAACGGATAATACAGATATATATGCACATAATATTTTGGAAGCACACTCTTCATAAGTGAAAAACGGTAGTGTCAGTTTTTCCCTGCATTTGTTTCGCTTATTGTATCAAAATCAGTTTTGAAGTTTCAAAACATTCTGGATTTTGAAAATGAAAGACGCTAAATAATATACAAAAAAGATGTTAAATCTTCTCACATACAAATGATTCAAAACGTCAAATTGTTATTCAGTGCTAAACATTGCTGTTAGGGGCAATTTTTCATGAGTGTTTAAAATATTTTTTTTTAATTTGGATATCAATGTTTGTATTTATTAATGCAAAATGAAAATACATAATGAATCGAAGCGACTACGAAAATCTCTGCAAAATAAAGACTTCTTAAAAGAATGTAAATTCTATGGTTACTTAAAGTGGCATTTTCACATAAGTAAAAAACTTGTATGCTTGAAACGTTCTTTGAAACAACGTCAGCATCCTTGTTTTATTGGGACGTCGTGTAACGCTCAGTGGTACCAATGCCGTGCGCAACGTCAAGGCAACGCCAAAAAACTGAGGCTTATTACGTCATGCACATTTTCAGTTATCCTTCTTCTTTATTCCGATGGTATTTTTTTTTAATAAATCTTATTTAATATTTCAAAAAGAATTTAAAAGTTATGCAACTACCAAAGTAATTAATATATTTAGTATAAAGTATTATGGCAAGTAAACGTATATTCGGACTATTGGATTGACAGAATAGTGGAAGCACCCGGAAAAGAGCTGATGTCATTTACATTTAATTCAGATACACAGCCTAAAGTGTATTTATCATCAAAGTATTTATGATACTTGCATATTTGTTGTCGTTTGTAAGATAACCTGAACACTTAACGTCCCACTGATATCATTCAATCCAAATTTCATCAAATATAATAAATTTACCCTTTGCCTCCTTTCGATAAAAACGTAACAATATATCTTAACAATTCAAAATTTTATCTAGTTATAGATGAAGTACATGTCTGTTATAGGACAAGTTATAAACTTTTTTAATTAAATGTTTACTGCATATGGGGTATATTTGGTATATAGAGTGCCTTTTTTTCAATCGCTACAAGGTCTACATGTTCAACAGAAAGGGTATATCTTACCTTGACCTCATTTCAAGGTTAAGAGATATATGTTAAGTGATTTTCTTAAATACTATTATCATAATATGTCAAATGTTTTGTAATGAATGATCATAAGCTACGTGTCAGTCTGGTAAGGTTGATTTGATCTTGAATTCATTTTCATGGTTCAAAGGTCAAGTTGAGCTTACTTTAGTATGTTCGCTGCTCATGTACTATAAGCAATAGGGCAACTGCTGTGTACGGCCTTTTGATAATTGTTATGTATTTATATAATTAATTGACTGACAAGGTTCATCTGACAATGACCTCATGTTCATGAATCATTAATAGTGGTTGGTTTAAGTTATAAAAAACCCTTTATATTTGTGATGAACACACAAAGTTTACCAACATCAGTAAAGCAGGCCAGACATTTTAACGTTTGAAATCTTGTGATATTATTACATAGTTTCTAATCCATATTTAGAAATGAAAACAATGATTTAATGATTGATTGTTGGTGTTTAACGTTATTTTCAGCACACTTAGCTACATCATGGCTGTTAGTTTTTATTGATGGAGAAAATCGACAGGAAAACAGGCAATCCTAATCAATTTAGACTGCAGTCGAAAACACCTGTAATGAGCGTGTAATGTAAACTCACAACTTAAGTATTGACAGACAATTCTCAATTAAATTGTTTCATATTTTCATGCCAGGGCCTTTTATAGCCGACTTTACGGTATGGGTTTTTCTCATTGTTGACGGCCGTCCGGTTGCCTATAATTGCTTACATCCATACGACATCTCCTTATTTTTATAGTGATTGCTGTAGATGAACTACTTGACCACCAAGGTCCCTGGAATTTAACCAAAGTTTTTCAAAACATAGCTATATCGACCATTAAAAAATATTCCTGTAATCTTAAAATAACAATTAAGAATAAAGGTATGGTGGTATACTAAAGTTGAAAATTTATCTGTATCTCTTAAAGCACTGACATTGTTAAACAAGAGTAAATTTAGACTATATACACTTATATACTTACTTTTGTAGCATCGCTATTTTGTGTTTTCGGGGCAAACTTTTTCTGCAGTTGATCTAAAAATCGTTTAATCTTCCAGTTGGAAAATCCTGATCTTAATTTGTCAAAAAACTGTTCATGAGGTGTATCGTCTAATCCAAGTTTTGTACTCAATTCCCTAAAAGCTTTAAGTGTATCTTTACAAGTGTGAGCCTCTGTAAAAACGTTGAATTCTTCCATCCTAAAGCCTATAAAATATTACAGCTCGACTTGTTTAAATGTTATCAAATTTATTGACATATCTGTATAATCAATATCAAGACCTTTGTTTTCATTATAAATAAGAAGATAAATAGTATTTACTTCATGCATTTTTGTATATATATATATATATATACGAGTAACTAGTTCATCGGCAAATGCAATCTGGCCTTTAAATATTTGAAGGTGTGTAAAATTACGACACAACCAAAGGATTCAAAAACGTCATTAGAACAGAAAGTTGAACGGTGCGTTGTCAGATGCGTCTTGAAGAGAAGCGTGGACATATGACTGTATTTAATCAGATTATAAGTTTGGATGAATCGTATATACATTTTCAAGCTTAAAACAAATTCACCGAAAAAATAAGGAGGTGATATCCGTTTGTAATGATCATTTGTGACAAAAACATTTGATAATTATAAACACATGTGTCATGGAGACCGTTTAACGTAAAGATTCCATTCGTTTAAATTGAATATCACTTTAACCTAGCTTTAAGTGTAGCCATAAATGGGCAACAGTCAAAGTAATTGTAATTGATCTACACAATATGAAATTATAATACGTATAATACTCTTCAGACATTAAAAAAAATTACGATAAAAAAGTATCTTATCTAAAATGCTGATTTATAGTTCACAATGACAATGGCATTAGTTGATGATATGCTCAATGATCTATTTGGTTTTGCAGTGACACTGATATGATTTCATATCGCCGCAACAAAAGCGTACAACATACAACGACGAAAGACCTTACCTCCTCAAAATCCCTGTGTGATATATGAACAATAAACCCAGCAAACCTAAACGTAGATCAATGATTATCTGTAAACAAATATGTCTTGCAAGTCATTACCAAGTGTTCATCCAGGCTCAGAATATAATGATAATGCAAAAATAAAATTCGAAGAACAGTTTTCTGATTTTTTTTTAATCAATCAAAGGAACATTATCTGATTTCCTTGAATCTTTTAAAAAATAATATTTTTTACTGGTTTATATATAGCCTTTTGTTTACACCACCATTGATTGAATAACAGGTAAACCCAGATCAAATTGTTTGATCTAAATATAGCTCAAAATTGTAGGCGCTATTTAAACTCAATTTTCTACCTTGTATGGGTAAACAAGAATTGTTGATCCCTGCAATAGTAAACATGTATTTGCCATATGTTATTGTACACTTTAAACACAGAATCTTACCCTTTGCCAATTGTAAACTGGTTCCTTAACGGCGGAATCATGACTACTAGGTGTTTAAACCAAAACTCAATTAAAAAAATTACTTATAAATAGCAAAAGTTTTGAGCTGGACATAACTTTTTTTATAATGAATTTCTTTTTATTTGCACATGGACATGGTAGTAAGTTATCCACATTTTATGCATAATATAATATATAGGCAGAAGATATATCTATAGCTTAAGGCTGCTTGGATCGATAGTACATATTTTTGATTTATACAACATATGGTGTCTTTTGTTTATTTTTGTTGTTATGACAATAAAGGAGTCCAGGGGTTCCAGCATTTATCCGTCCTAATGAGTCTTTTACTTTTATAAAATAAATTTTCTTTTAAAGAATTTTTAAGCGCTATCATATTGGTTTGTTCTATCTTTTCAAATATCCAGGAGTTCCCATCGTCCCATAATTTTGATATAAATGGACAAGTCAAAAATATATGATCTATTGTTTCGACCCCTCAACACACAAAACTACACTGGACATAACATTTAGTAGAATAAAAAACGAATTGAAGAACTTAAAGATTACACACATTACAAACATTTAAATTTGGTAGTTGTGCTATATAATGTGATCGAAATTAATGTCAATCGTCCTAAGTGAAAGCAAATTAAAAAAAAATCCCTACTAAAGGGTTAGTAACGGATTGGCAAATAGGCAATTGCATTAAACTGTCATATTGGGCGTTGTCTTTGTGTATATGTTCAGTAGTCTAATTTTTTTTTATTTGCCAACTGCTTTTTAAATTCTAACACTTTCTAAAGAGGTAGGGCAAATTTTCCTGAATCTATTACCACATTTATAGAAGCACGAACATGTTGATAGGTTTCTTACTGAAGTGGCAATATTTCCTTACTGCACGAAAAACGTCACTTTTAAATAAATTGATAAAAGGAAACAAATTCCATCCGTCTTCCAAGGTAACCATGCGTATAATGTTTTGATTGACGAAACTAGCACAACAAGTCATCTTTTACTTTTTAAGCACAAAAATTGTGTTAAAAGAGAGGCGCGAAATATACCAAAAGGAAATTCAAACTCGTATGTAGAAAAATAAACCGACAACCCAGTGTCAATAAACGAAAACGATCAAACAGATCGAACAGTATACAAAACACAGCATAGAAAAATAAAGACTGAGTAACTCTAACCCCCACCAAAAACCGGTTGTGGTCTCATGTGCTCCGAAAGGATAAGCAGAATCTTCTCCACGTGTGTAAAAGATTGCTATTAATATCCAAAGACCTATTTGTTTCCAAAATAGGAATAACTGTTACAGATCATCTATCACCTTTTGTTGAACCAACACATCTCAAACGCAATTCAATGTTTTGTCACGTGGATTAACAAAATTTCAACTACAGTAATTCGCTTTTGACTTGATAATGACAATTTTATTTCAGGTTTAGAACAAACGCAATAAAAAGGGGTCCTAAAATGCGTATTTTACACTTTATTCACAATTTTTTCATGTATGCATTATTTTAAGTCAGGTAGTCAATTTTGTTGCTAAATTTATGGAATTGCACGTTTTCTTATTTGAAGGGATTTCAGGTTTTTAAAGTTTATTCATTTGGAAAACTTAAACATACAGAGTAACTTTATCTCTGAAAGAAATCATTGTCATGCATGGTTTATATTGTACATTGTATGAATTTGTTATTGGGTGCTTTAAACTGTCAGTATAGCCTGAATTCATGTGATAAATCCTTTTAACTGATGAAATGTCTATTCATGTTACAATTATACTCAAACGCATACAATATCAACGCTTAATTAAACACTTTTTGAATTAACTTTTATCATAATCAAGAATCAACATGCACTTTTCAAATTAAAAGAACACGAAAAAACAAATGGAAAAAAAATTATTTTAAGAAAACAAAGTTATAAAAGGTAACTCTATCTTATTTCATTAATACCATTATCTCAGAGATCTCTGAGCAATGTGTACATTAATTTGGATACCAAGTCATGTATGTGCAACACAATTGCATTTATTGCAAGACTTGCTTGGCTACTTTTACTTTATCTACTTAAAGTGTAATATCTCTAGCCTGTAATGACGACATTACATTACTAAATGCTTATTTCATCTTTGAAATCGAATGTATAAAGGAGATATGGTTTTCAGATCGTTTCATGGATTATGCAAGTACGGATAAGATAATTACCTTGTTAACAATAATCTCACTCTGTGCAACGTGCATACATCGACAACATATTACAACTGTAGGTAGACGGTACCAAAACAAATACGACAAATGCATTAAAACGAAAGTGGTTTTCCTTCTATAGTACAAATCCTCCACAAGACAATTGCAATCCAACAAGAACGTATTATAAAACTTTAAGTGACATTAAAATAATATTTTAAATGATGGTACAAAAACGTTCAATAAAACAAACCTTACCTTCGCCAGTAGACCTTTCTGGCTCCTAGCTCCAGCACAACTATTTGTTAAATAATGCTTATTTGAGGACTAATCGGGATTTAAATTTTAAACATTGTAAGTCAATATAATGTGTGTTTGTGACTGTACTGGTTTAAAAAATATTGTAAGAATAAAAGTAGGATTATCACTATCTTGAAACAAAGATTTCCTGGAATCTGATAAAACTGATTTTTGATAGGTTCATGTTGTATTCGTCTTAAAACGACCATTGATCAAATCACAGGTATAACATAACAAGCTAAATTGTTATTGCATAGTTTATATATTTAAAATCCAAAAATAACTTAAAAATATAGTGAGAAATTTAAACAGGTTAATTTACCTTCTAACCATGCTAACTTTAAGGTTATGAAGAACTGTTAATCCCTGCAATTTCTTTGAACTGTCACATTCAGTTTAACTTCTGGGAAATTATATATATTCTATAGTTTCATGTTACATTTAGAGAACATATCGCTCAGGATGTTCCGTTGAAACCATAGATCTACAAATGAATTATATCTTGGGTTACAGGGTCTTTTCAATCTTGATTATTAGAGATTACATATCATATTTATTACATTTGTGTGTAGCAAAACAAATACCAGCAATAACAACGAGGGTACAAAGAATATAAATACATATTCAATAAAAAATAATTTGAAACTTTATGTCCCTATTCACATAAAAGGATATTTTAGCGGCTAGTAAATGCTTAACTTACAATTTTTGACATTTTTACCTTTTATGTCTCTTTGTTTTGCTCACATATTGTTGTCAATATAATGGAATTCTATGCGACTGTCAAGTGAGAGGTTTAGATAGCTATAAAACCAGGTTTAATCCACCATTTTCTAAGATAAAGTAAGGAAATGCCTGTACCAAGTCAGGAATATGACAGTTGTTTTCCATTCGTTTGATGTGTTTGAGCTTTTGATTTTGCCATTTAATGAAGGAATTACCGTTTTGAATTTTCCTTGGAGTTCGGTATTTTTATTATTTTACTTTTTACATGACTAGTCAATTGAGAAAAAAAAACCAATCATTTGTTTAATATGATTTTTTAAACCCTCTTTAATTGATATTTAGCTATTAACAATGACAAATTGAATCTGTTGCGAACCTAGAAAGTAATAGTCATTTTATACTTTACTATGCATGTTTTAAAAATTGGCTTACAATTAAAAAATAAATCGGTAGTTGCCTTTGTAAAACAATTTCATATTTTGTATACAGCGGGTGTATTTATAGTTTACATATAACACCACGGTTCTCTGTGATGGGTACTTCGGTGAGCTGTAAATTCCTTGATTAAAACTAGTTTCAGTCATATCACATTGTCTTATTTGTATATGATGATAATAAAACGAGTCCGTCTAGATTTTAAGTCTGTGTACGCAAAAGTTTGAACATAATTGAAAAGATTGTATTCGTAATATAGGCAACAGTAGTTTGCCGATGTTCGAAGGAACATAGTTAAATTTATCTATCGTTTTCTATAGGAGTAAAAACAAACCTACCATTGACTTCAATGCAAACATATTCCTTCAACTAGATTTATACCTGGTTCACCTTAAGTAATTAAAAGCTTTCATATATCATTCATTAAAGTAAAAATGTAGGCCTATCCTTTGCAACAATCAAAACATACATAGCGTCATGCTGCATTTTGGGACATTCACATGGCTTGTTTACAAACACTGTAGATCCGCACTAGATTACTTCACTGAACCCATTACTTTTCAAACCTGTAGTAAAAAAAGTAACTGCACTCAGCATTATTTTTTTTTCTATAAACCCTAGTTTTGTACCAATCAGTTGAGGACAGGTCTTCCGTGTTATCCAGAAAGCTCTCCCCAAAGAGGCGGTCCTTGATGACTTGATATATTCATTAACTGAGTTTACCCCCATAACTCGTGTCTGGTGGACAAAATTATAAGCCAGGCATCTTTGGTGAGTTTTTACCAGTGAAAATTCTCCAAAAATAAAAGTGCTCAATTGTTGAGTATTACAATGCATTTTATAACTGTCAGATACATTTGTTACTTCAAAAAAGAATAACTTAACGTTGTGTCTACGGACGTCTATGGTAAAACAGTTATATTCGATTTAGTTATACCTCGCAGCGACTCACTTGTTACAAAGCAATTTGTTGAAATCAATATTGCTTTCAATGAGGTGCCCACAGTATCTTAACATAATGTCATAAATCTTTTACAATTTCATTAGCACTGTTCAGGCATCAGCGGACTAAGAAATTGTCAAATATGAATATGAATATAATTTTTTTTAAATGCACCTTTTCACTGCTTTTTATGTACATTTAGTACACATATAGACCACCTTAATTAACTGTATCTCTGGAAGTATAAATGATAATGTTACAAGAGAACATATTTTCGACAGTCCATGGCGTTGCATGTACATACGATTAAAAAGCACACAATTCCATCAAATTCGAATTTCCGCGACAAATTACGTAAGACACCACAGAAATTAGAGAAAACAACACTATAGCAGTATGGAGTTTATTTTGAAATTTACAAATTGTTAATCTGCAGACAGATATGTTCAAGAAGTCAAAATTGTAAATCCTGTATAGTCCATTGATTACAGTCTCTTCCGATGAATATCCTAATCAAACTTCAAGTAATTGATGAATAACGAAATATTCCACAGTTTTTAACAAATCCAACAGTAACAAGATTCATAAGCAGGCTTTTTACGGATAATGTAAACCACAATTAAATAATTTTTCACTTAGATGATAATATATATGAAGAAAAAATGAAAACAATGCGTTAAATAATTTCATGCGTCCGAAGCGTTTACTGGATTTACCTTCATCAGGAACACTCAAAGTCGAATATTTGAAAGCCGAGGATGTGTAAGAACCGAAACAGTTGAAGAGCTATATGACAAAAATTTCCTATACAAAAGCCAAATCCAAAATAGGACTCTAAACTAGAAAAAATAATGGTCGTCCTTACCATCCCCAGCCACATGGTTAGAAACTGAATTTCACTAAAATACGTTATCCGTAATCAAATAATAAGTTATTATCACCTAAACATTACAATATATATTGTCTTTACATTACCTCCAGGATTATATCTTTGATTATGCTTTTTTCACCCTTACTTATTTTTTGAATATGCATTGTTTTTACACCTCCCCTGTTTTTTTTTTTTTTACTTATTTTATGAATATTCATTGCTTTTAACCTTACTTTTTTCATGACTATTCATTATTTTTAATTACCTTTATGTAGACAAACGGTATAACTATAAATAAACTGAACAGTTATGTTCTAATTGCTGCCTTCGTTGAACATACAATTTTAAAAAACATTTTTACACAATAATTTCTGGCCTTGTAAACAAATTTAATAGAACAGTTGTTGCATACTTCAGAGCCCAATTTGTTGAAACAAGAGATTGGCCGAGTTTATTTGGAGAATTCTATTATAAATATAACAACAAAGTCAACAAGTCTACTAGATCAATTTTTCAAGAGGCCATTTTTTTCAATGGCGGAAGAAGAACAGGTGAATAACAAGGAATGGTTTATACCACGCACACTTATGGTTAAAAGTTATTTTATCATAAAAAAATAAAAATATGAAAATGTGGTATGATTTCCGCTAAGACAACTTTCCACTGAAAAAAATGACGCAAATGAAAGCAACTATAGGTTACCGGGCGACCCTTTTCAATGAGCAAACCCTTCACTGAAAAGCGCAGTTTAAAAGATGAGCTGCGTCGGATAGAAATCCACCGTATGCAATTGGACGTATACATGTACATGTATAAAACTTTGATTGATTTTGAAATTTTCGAATACGAAATAGAAGATGACATTTTTGTCTGTTTTGTAAGGTTTTTGTAACAACTCAATTTTCAAACAGTTACAGACTTTGCAGAGAGATTTTTCAACCCGAAATAGGTTAACAGACGTATTGATATTCATTTACATAAGGTCGATTTCTATCCGACGAAGCTCAGATCATGATATAAACACAATTTCATACACAAATCCGACGGTTAGATTTAAGAAAAAAAAAACACCAATTTGATAGATTGTGTTTATTATAGAATATTAAGAAAAGGCTTCATCATTTTATCTTATTCTTCAAATTTTGATAAATTGATGTAAATTATATTTTCTTGTTGAACGTAAAGTGGCAAATATTACATGCATAAACAGGACAATCATACGCATGACCATTTGATCATTTACACTTAAATAATTTTATTAATTCTTCTATTTATGTTTAGATTTCAAAGTGTAATTTAACTAAAGAGGAAAAATGATTTAAGTTGATGACGACGATAATTTGACATCAGAGGAAAGCTCAAAATCTGTTTAAATTTATGGAACTAACGATGCAGAACCAGGGATTGTAACTCAGGTATGAACATAATTGTTTGTTGAAATGAATAAATCATAAATAATAGAACTTGGGAAACAAAATATTTGATAAATAAAAGTTGTCAATTGTAACATTGTCGTAATGACAAAATTAAATGAAATACTCGAAATAACAAATACAAAAATTGATTGTTTTTTTTTTTGTTTTTTTTTTAAAGTTATCTATTTTTAAGATCCACAAGTATTGTCTGTCGTAACAGCCGTAAAAGGGCTTTTGATAAAAAAAAAAATTCACGGTGGTGTTTGTGATCGATGTTCAGTTTTTGTACATTTCACGCGTGAAAAAATAATATATCTAAATTTTAATTGAAAATTTGAATGAACAAAAATTTGAAAATATACACTGTCAGGTAATTTTCAGAGACAAGTGCCTGTGCATGTTTTACCAAAACCTTTGTCAAATTTGATTCCATTTAGCATAAAAAAAAACGTCTGATATATCTTTTATCTCTCTGTGGATTTTTTTCGATGACATTGATGCTTATATGAAAAAAAAAGATGTGGTATGATTACCAATTAGACACCTCTCCACCAGAGACCAAATTACAAATTAAAGAAGCTCGCAACTATAGGTCACCATAGTAAGCCCTTGCACAATGAGCAAAAATATAACGCTTAACATGTTTTATATGATAACCCGTGAGAATTGGATATATTGTTTGATACCAATTCGAGTTATTTAATTTCAGTATGATAATAATGAGCCTTGCGTTACTGAGAACAGTGTCCGGAACCCAGACTACTGTTAACATCAGACGTTTTATTTATGCTAAATGGAATCAAATTTGACAAAGGTTTTGGTGAAACATGCACAGGCACTTGTCTCTGAATTTTTTTTACCTATATACTTTATATTTATCACCCTTATTTTTTTTAATGAAGGTTCGTCAATATGTACTATCAATTGACGTATATATCAATTATCCTCAATCAGAAAGGAATAGATATGAAAATACTAAACAGAATTTACTGCTTAATAAAAGGACTACGCTAATCACGCTGGGCAATGCATATCGTAAATTAAAAAAAGTGTATATTATCATCATAAAATGACCAGTTTTTGTACACAAAATTTTGCAACTAAAAATGCTGAAAACCGTTTTCCGCCGGGGGGCTTCGCCCCCCTGAACTCCCTTCCAGGGCTTTGCCCTTGACCTGTTGGGGGCCTTAAGCAGCCCCCAAACCTCCTGCCGCAATTTGTGCATACAGTTTTTTGGATACCTAGCTACATCATGCAGTAGTTGGACATTTAGACAACTCGGGCACCGATCACCTAATCTCATTAAAATACATTAACGTAATAAATGTGCGACCCGATATAACTAAGTATGTGCCACCAAATATAAAGTGCTGACATCGCTACATTTTGCAAGCATTCAAGGTGACACGTAAAACAATCAAGTTAAAACAAACTGATCTGGATAAGATATAAGTGTAGAGAATAATGTTGAATCTGCATAAAATAAATTTCTGTTGTAAAGACGTTTTTAATTTGCTTTCATGATGAGAATACAACGTGTGCATGGTACAATTTATCAAGCATGCTTTAACAGTGCAACATTGTTCACATAAGAATAATGATAGGAATAAAAATGAAGAGGAAACGTTAGTCAAAATTTTCATTATTGGATGACGATCATCTATATAAAGACTTCATAGCTTGTCTATTTTCTGAAAATAGAACGTACAATGCGGAAGTAATTTATAACTTGTTTGATCTGTAGCCTCCAACACATTTTTATCTTGTTTCAAAAAATGGCAAGTTATCAACTTGTTTTTATTACTCTGAAACTGAATGAAGCATTGAAACTGACATTTGTGAATTTTTATACAAATTACAGATGTGGGGTATATCTCAATTCGACAGTAAACCAACGACACAACAAATCAAAATACAACGACTGGTCAACTTACAGTTTAACAAAGGGGTAGACATTTTTATATTACAATTTTCAAACATAAAAATTGAAAAAAAATATTTGCATTTAAAACCTTCTTCTCTTACTGACTGATTGTCCATTCCCAAGGTTTCTGTCCCAAGTTTTAGCATAATTGAAACGATACATTTTAATAACTGTTAAATTGTAAAACTTGTATTTGATTATTAATGTAATTATAACCACACTAAGATTACAATTTCTTCAACCAAATTGACCTCGAACGATATCGTCTGTTTTGTGAAAGTTTTGATATTTCCAAACTTGATCTCCAAGATTGGAAAGATTCATAAGATAGCTCTGAATCACCATTCCTTTCTAACAGTTTCCGGTTTTTTTCGTACGTTCGTTTTGTTTTTTTTTAAACTGAGTGGAACTTTTGTGTGAAATGATGGGAGAATGTTTAAATGTTTTGTATGAATGTGGATATGAAAATTAAAACGAAGAGAATCTAGACTAAGTTTTCTGGAGATTCTGTAATATACTTGGAGAATTCATGTTTGTTTTCGATAGATTTGATTGAAGAAAAAAGGTTTTAAAAAGGAGTACGACAAAGGCCCTACTTACATGTAGCTCCTGATAATAAATCAATTATTTCAAGATGAAAAGAATTTTAGGTTGATACATTTTCATGTGAGAAAGTGAAATAGAACGTTTTTTATCTAGCCTTTCTTATAAAATTTTGACATTAAAATGTACATCTGCATTCGGTAATTGTAACATAATTGTATAAAATTGATTAATTTAATCCTCGGGATTTCAACCACAATGTAAATGCCTTCACAACACAGAGCGCGCACAGGGTTCGACAAATTAAATATTCGAGTCAGATGTTCTTTGTAATACATGTTATATCAAACAGAACGCTAATAGATAATTTGCCACATGTTTTGCGGTCTGAAAACCTATTAAAATTTTATCCTTTGTTTGCATTTTGTGGAAAAACAAAATGTATGATATCACAACTTTACAAAGAGAAGGCTGATATGTAAATTTTCAAAAATATTTTCCAAATGGTCATTGTTTTGTCTATAATACATATAGATTATCGGGTTTTGTACACATTGGTATCGTAAAATATCAGCCGCAAGCCACAGTGTGAACCTTTTTAGCGAGTGAGCGTAGCAAACGAGCTAAAAAGCATTCACATTGTGTCGAGTGGTAGATAACAGATAATCTGTTTATCTTTCTTTTACTTGTCTTTCCCCCTCTCTTAAAAAGTTTTACGCCTGACGAAAGTAAGGTTGATAACTCCTCCTCACACATTGTAACGTCGCTGATAACTTCCAATCGGAACTACTCGGCCATTCTCGCTACGCCTACCGAGTAGTTACGATTGTGATAACTTATCCTCAGACATTGTGACGTCGCTGGTTATTCAGTATGCACCACATTTTTTATGTTATTTCTTCATAGACATATACCATTCGTCTTGATATGAATAGAAGAGATGAGAAATATGCGGCAATGAGACAATAACACAATAAAACCAGAAAAGAAATCTAGAAGGCTACTTGCGGTCTTCAACTTTCGACAAATGGGTATACATTCTCTGTAGCAGCGAACAATGATTGTGTAAGAAAAAAAAACCTTTTGTTTTTAAGTTTATGAATTAAAAAACTATGCATCATAGTCCCTTAATTTCATATTATATACACTTACATCTAAATTATACTGCTAACTAAATATTTTGAAATTCTTGTTTATTCAAATATATTTTAAAAGAGTTTAATATTCCTTTTCCCATACATTTCATTTGAAAAATAAAGATTGACATTTGTTTCTCGAGAAAAAAAATGTAATTTTTGCAATTTTCTTTATAAAAAAACAAGCACACTGAAATATCAATTACTTTTTCAATGGTCTTGGTGTATTATATATAGAAAACGACGTCATTGATGACAAACTTGCCATTTGAATTTCTCATCACAAATTATTATAAACAACATAACAAATACATTTGGAATTATTTTCCAAAAAACCAACATTCACAAATTTCCCTTACTTCATAATTAGTCCGGTCATGAAATAAACATTTCTGAACTGTTAAAGAAAACATGGCTAATCACTTAGAAGTGTTTTAAGAGGTCAAGGTCTCTCATTCCACATCCATTAAACTGACAACAGTAAATAGGATCCTAATTTATTTACTTGATTCTTTTTAAATCCGGAAAGGAAACATGAAATAAATACATTTCCTTAACGTGCATGTTTTTTAAGACCTCTGACACATGGTACGTAAAAGGTAACGTCAGGAAATAATATATAAGTGGAAGTCTGAGAATCTTGTTCTAAGCTTTGCATTTGCTTTATACGGACAATACGTGAAAATGAACACATGTATTTTAATATTTTACCTTTTACATTTAGTTTCATCTGATGTACCGAAAAGTAAAGGTAAGTGTATTAGATATTTCATAATTCTAGATTCTTAGGAATTATTGCATACAATGCATGACAAAAAAGATAAATGATTTAGTCATAAAATGAATGAGACATTAAAAACAAGAGTATTTATGTTTCCTAAATAACATTTTTATAATTGTGTTCCGCTCTATCCTTTTATCCTTTTCTTATCATCAGAGCATTCAGTTGAAACATAATAAATTTTCCTTGCCAAAAAATCAAAGTCTTACCTTCCGTTATTACTGCTTCAATGTTAATTACTGGTGATATGACCCCTCACAACCAGTACTGTAGATACACTGAGATACATGCCTTAGATACACTGAGATACGTGCCTTAGATACACTGAGATACATGCCTTACTATAATAGATACACTGAGATACATGCCTTAGTTGTTTTGGTTATTTGTGTCGTTGTGTTGCTGTCTGTGTGACATATAAGTCATATTCTTTTATTCATACTTGCATTTGCTAAAACATATGCATCTTACAAATGGTACGTTAAAGGAAATTGTAGCAAATGATACATACGTGGAAGTCCGATAAATTTGTTCTCATCTTTGTAATTGCTTTATAATACACACAATACATTTTTAATTTAATATTTTACCTTTTACATTTAGTTTCATCTGATGTATTGAGAAGAAAAGGTAAGTATAGTAACACAATGTTTTACAATTTTTAATTTTAAGGAAGGCATGTCAAAATAGATAAATTAATCAATCATTTAATGAATATCAGAGACATTTACAATTGGGTTATATAGAAATAAGAAGATGTGGTATGAGTGCCAATGAGACAACTCTCCATCCAAGTCACAATGTGTATAAAGTAAACAATTATAGGTCAAAGTACCTATGTTTTCTAAATTAAACTTTTTATTTTTATTTTTGCGCTCAGTCGTTTTATCCTTTTTCTTATCATCAGAGCATTCATTCGAAAAGGTTTATATGTTTCATGCTAAAACAATCGAAGTTAATCTTTCCGTTAATACTGTTAATAAAATTGTTGTGTGAAATTACCTTCCAGACCCAAAGCTGTAGAAATACACAGAGATACGGACCTTGCTTGGTCGTTTCGGTTATTTGCATCGTTGGGTTGCTGTCTCATTGACGTATGATTCATACTATTTTATTCATACTTGCATTAGCTAAAAAAAAACATGCAGCTTAGGTCAGCTTGCAGGAGACATTAATAGGCGATTGGGTATACAAATATGATCATCATGATCTTCTTCCGACCTGTAGTATATATAAACCTTGCCAAAGTGGGGCGTTCGTTTGGGTGTGCGGGATGTGTATATTCGTAGCAATGTTCGGTCAGAACGTTAAATCCAATGCCTCTTGCAGGGAGGGTGCCAAATTATCTGCACGTTAAGGATGTTCGTTACTCTTGTTTTTGACTTTCTGTCAGATATTCGGAATCCTCTAGTTTTATCCATGTTAGTGCCATTAAAAAATTTTGCCCGCTAACCCTCACTTTTCTTTTCATAATTTTATTATATATTGTTTAAAAAGCCATTTTTGAAAATCTTATATAATCCTTGTTATTTTTTCTTAGTATTTGAAAAAAAAAGATGCCAATGTTATATACATGAAAAATCTAAAGAGAAACATTTCCCGCCAAATTTTTAATGTCTTATATCTCGAAAACAAGCACACGGACCTTTTTTTTCTGCTATTTTAGTTCCTTTGTGTATATACTATCAATTTATATAACTCTTATAAAAAAGCTTGTTGTTTTGAAACAGAGCAGCGAACATCCTTAAATATCTTTTTGAATGGTCAGTAAGTGGCGTATTGCACGGCTAACGTTTTGTCCTCGTTAAACATACTAGAAGTGGCAGTCCAGATTTCGCGCCCTTCGCCCGTGCCGTCGAAACCTTTCAGAACCTACCTATTGTAAGAACTGTTAAAAGTTTCGTATCCTGAATATACATGAAATAATTGCCACAGGTGGTTAAGCAAGCAGCAAGTCGGCAATCAACTTACAAGGGGAATTTACAACCGTACTTTAAAACAATGATAGTTCCTATAGTTAATTTAAAATAAAATTAAAACAACAAGGAATAATTTTCAGTCATGTGACATTTTTCATACCGCAAATCAATATGCATATATTTAACACAAACGTTTCATTATACAGAGATGTTCAAAAATATAGTCGACAAATGCAAAAGCAAATTAAAAACCCATTTGTTAGAACATAGTCAAAAGGCCCCGCCACACACACACACAGACACACACATTGTCAAATGGACGATGGCGCTGAAAACAGTCCAGGCAGTGCTCCCACGATGTCACAAAAGCATGGACTCAAATTCCAAAGAGGAAAAACAAAAATTTGTTGATCTAAGTCATTATATATATATATTGATATCATGTAAATTGATCATTTATCCTCTGTACAGATTATAAGCGAATTTTAGTCGAATTGCAAACTTTATTCTGTACATTCACTTTTTGAACAAAGTATAATTTATAAAAATTCAAAATTCAAATTATAATGTGTGTAATTGTTTGGTTCAAAACTGATCATAGTTTGTGCAAACTGATAACTTATACACAACATAAACATATATATACAAAGACGCAATACTATGATAATACCAAATATCAAATACAAACTAGATTTGCCATTGCAAGCAATAGCGGATGTCACCCTTCCCCCATTGCCTCGACAGCCATTTCGATAATTTTATACATTGAATGTTCATATATGCATGGCTATACATCTTTCTGTAAATTTTCAGAACATTTGGAGCATTTTGAAATTTTTACACATTTTTGCTGTTTCCATGGCAACAGCGGCCATTTTTTAAATTTGAAAGTCAGAAGTCTCATTAATACTTGCCTGATATAATAATAATAATAATAATAATAATAATAATAATAATAATAATAATAATAATAGGGAAAAAGAAACAGAGGAAAAGCAATATGTCACCCGACATTGTCGATCGGGTGACATAATAAACCACTCAAAAAATGAAATTTGTCATTACAAAAATTTATTTTGCGTGAACTAATCGTGCTAAATTTAATACCCAATGACAAATGAATATTAATAATTATGGCAAATTTAGAATTCTATAAAAAATATCCAACTTAACAATTTACAGTTTCAGGTTTGAAAATATCCGGTGCCATAGGAGTTTCGAAGAAGTATTATATAAAGGGACTCCCAGATCACATCACACCCACTATAATAGTGGCAGAGCTCTCAAATATATTATGTAAAGGCTGTTCCGTAATTACTGACAAGGCAAAACAGCTGGAATGTAAAAAGAAACATTGTCTGCAACAAACTTCGCCATCTAAACTGTCAACTGCTGACAAAACGTTGATAGATCAACAAATAAAGAAATACATAATTGAGAATAAAGGGGATCCGAAAGTACCACCATCAATCGTGCCTATACTAACAGATGTGTTGTGTAAAACGTGTTATGAAATGAAGGATGGGAACAAACGAAAAGATTGTATTAAGAAATTTTGTGTGAAGACATTGGCGCTGAGTGGACCAACTCCACTTATGACAAAACAAGGTAAAATAGATATTTATGTTATGACTGTAATTTTACAGACAACAGGTATAACTCACTAAGCTTTCCTATTTACCAAATAAGCAATGGACTATTAAGTCAATATTTCCCACTTTCTTTCCTGTCGCCTTTCAGACATTGAACTTATTATAGTAAATCAGTAATATCCTGAATGATTCTGCTATATAATTGTTTCTATTGAAAAAATCATAGATATAGAATAACCATACATTGTCTCGAACTATAAATTTTATTTGTACAAGGCTTAGAAACAGATAGAAACCGAGGCTTTGCCGAGCATTTTTATCCTGTTTTGAGCCGAGTACAAACAAAATTTATAGTTCGAGACAATGTATGGTTATTTTTTACATACTGCAACTTAAAACTGTTCCAAATGAAATATTTAGGGTAAAAACCCTAATTTTTCAATTTGGAGCAAACGACGTCAAAATTACGCGAACCTCTACGGAAACGCATTGTCAACGTCATACAAAAGGCGATATACTGGTCAGTGACTATATATCACAAATGATTATACGGTCAATGAAATTTGACTGCGCAAATAGCACAGCTGCAGTATATTAGCCTTTAACGTGTAACCAAATTAGGATTTATCCGGTATGTGACATGTAATCGGTATCCATGATAGTGTCATATATAGGCGGAAATACCCGTTTGAAGCACATGGTGTTTTTTCTGAAAATTTTGTTGAAAGTATGTATTTAACTTAAAGATATGTCGACTTTCAGTGAAACAAATTATTAACTGCTTTATATCAGGTATTACATGACACACTAACACACATTGTTTGGTCGGTCAGATCTTTGGTATTCCGAGTTTATCTCCAACAACACATGTACGACACATGTTCTAGAAGGGCAAACGTTGGTGAGAACGTTATAATGAAATCCTTCATGTACTTTCTGAAACCATCTCATTATGTGCCTGATCTGGAGCATGTGTTGCTAGTTGTTGTTTGAATTTGTGTGTTGAAAGTTGTTGTCGGTATTTGTTTTTACGACTTAAAAATCTTTTTTGGAGTCACGTGTTAATGGTTTGTGTGGTCAGTTGTTTCTGAAATCCTTCTTTTGAACTATTTTTTCATGTTTTATAATAATTGATTTAACTATTTCAGGTTTAAATATTCCAGGTGCAAGAGTTTTAACCACTAAAAATATCAAGGATTTCCATATATACTTCCCAGGCATAGTTGTTGTGGCAGAACTTACAAATATTTTGTGTCAAACATGTTCAAAATTATCGGACGCTAAGAAAAAATTTAAATGTGAGGAGAAATTCTGCCTGCAAAAGTCTCTACCGACTGGACTACCAAGTGCCGACAAAGCTAAAATTGATGCAAATGTTAAGAAATACCTCATGGACAGAAAGGTTGATTTAGATAATGCGGGTCAAGTCATTCCTATACTGACAGATGCATTGTGTAAGGTATGCACAGAGTTACCGGAACCGAAAAAACGAAAAGAATGTGTTAACAAACACTGTTTGAGAACCTCAAAACTTAGTGTTCAGACACAAAAATTGCAAAAGGTAGACAAACCTGCTTCTCATACAGATAGTTTAAAGTCGACACACAATGAGATCTGATTGAGACCATAGATGCCATAGGTTTGACATTGACTACATAAGGATTAGTGTAAAGCCATAAAACAGAGTGAAATTATGTAATTGCGTTAAAAGAATTAAAATTTCGATTCATCTTTTGTTTTGCTTTTCTTTCTCTCCTTCCTGGGAAAGGAGGTGATGGAGTTGCAAAAAGTGTTTGAAAATTGGACTATCCGCTTTTGTTGACTGCTAGTCCAAGGGGGAAATGCGTATCATCAGCTCTGTAGTCAGTGCTTCGGTACTGACAAAATTTATATCATACCTTTCTTATTTTTTTTAGTTTTTCGGGTTTGAGTGTTCCGTATGAAGATTTATCCAGAAAAGCTCTTCGGACGTACTCAATCTTGAGTCATTTTATATATGTCAAATTCCCTTGAAATATGTACAGAAGATAAAGGATAAATCAATCAGGGTCGGTTTAGGACAAAACTTCACGACAAAAGAGATGATTTCAGCTTCCCAATTGTGAATTATCCATTTCCATGTAGTAACATTCCAGCAGCGCCTGCATATGGAGTTTATATCTCCTAGATACGATATTCCAGGGCTTGCGTTTCCTATCACGATTTCCTTAATAGAGGGTTGCTGCTGCTTACAAGGAAGCTATTAATCCAAGGGTTCCAGCTGGTGAAGTTAAAACCACCCCTTCGAACTTCACACGAGTTGGTGTACCGTTATGGAACATATGTTTCACAGATGACGACGGATATGTTCTAATCGCCGTTACCACAAAAATGTCCTCCTTTTCCCCGAATGTGATCTATCGAATTAGACTTATCACCAGGTTTGTACTAATATGAGCAGCACAAAGGGTGCCACATGTGGAGCAGGATCTGCTTACCCTTTCGGAGCACCCGAAATCACCCCCGGTCTTTATTTTTCTATGTTGTGTTGTGTATACTGTTGTTTGTCTTTCGGTCTTTTTCTCTTTATGCCATGGGGTTGTCAGTTTATTGTCGAATAATGAGTTTGGATGTCCCTGTGGTATCGTTCGCCTCTCTTTTTTAGCACTGTGTCGATAAATCTGGTGGTTGACTGGCAGATCCCGAGTGTATCATCAGCTCAGTATTCAGTGCTTTGGAACTAACATGATTAATAACATATTCTTCTTAAATTCTTTGTTGATAAATTTAGAAATAACTAAGATCTTGTTAAGTATTTATACATTCTTATGGTGAGCGCTCGCGTTAGCGTTCTCAATGAAGATAAATTCAGGAAAGTGCTTCAGACGCAACACATTTATAAAACGTTAATTTCATTGATTTATTTCATAGTAGGAAAAGTAAAATACGTATCGGGGGTGGTGTAGGTACTTTCTTTGGAGATTATAAAAAAAAAATAAGCGTTGTAACGTTGAATAACTGTCAACTGTTTTAAGATCTTTGGTTATAAATTGTTTTTGGAATTTGGTTTGTAATAACTTGAATAAAAATACGGTTTTTCATCGGGAACTTTTATGTTTTTTAGTTTATAACGATTTTATTTGCTCATAGATACAAAAAGGATCGGACACAAGTTTAACCAACTTATGAAGTCTTCTCCTTTACATAATATTACAATAACAATTATACAGAGCATGCACAGTTCAGTATATATATATATTAAAGGTAATAGTAAAATTAGGCATTTGCACAGTCAGAGAAGAAAAAGAAAGAAAGAAAAAAAAAAAAAAAAGCCTAACGCAATTAACAAGGAAAAGGATAGAGAATTGAGAAAAAGAAAAGAAAAGAAAAAATATAAATAAAAGAAAAAAAAAAAAAAAGGAAATAATACAAATATAAAGAAAAAATAAATAAATGAAATTCTGTGGACACGATGTTTTTTGTTCAGTCATATCTTATTTGATTATACTACAAGGAATCTTTTTGATTTTTTATATATCTAAAGACTTCTTTAAAGATTTCACAGTTTTCCTCGTATGTTAAAGTTTGGCTACCCTCAGTGAGCAACTGTAGATTTATTGTCACTTGTAGACGATGAATGTTGGTTAATAGATCGTTCCTTATATCGGCGTATTTATTGCAATTAAAGAAGAAATGAAATGAATCCTCACGCGGAGCGCCACAAGCACAATATGGACTTTGTATTATATTTGATTCAAATAGGTCGTTATTTAGAAATGAGGCTGAACATCGCAGCTGTGGTAAAATTACACTCAATTTCCGCGGACCATACATAAAATGCTTAGGTACAGTCTTTGCTTCGTATGTATTATTCAACAAATAGCGTTTGAACTTAGATAGGGTATCAAGTGTACGGATAGAATTATCAAGTTTGTTCCATTCTCTGATGGACGAGGGAATAAATGCAGAATTTGTTAAGGAGAGTCGACAAAAGGGGACTATTAAGTCATTGCCATTACGCAGTGGATAAACAGTTGTACTTTGTATAGTTGGGGGAATTAAATCACATAAATATTGTGGAGCGAGACCATTGTACATATTATAAAATAATTGGAGTTTTCTTCTGTGCCTCCTACTGTGAAGGGGTTCCCAGCCAGTCTCTAAATATAAATATTCGGTTTAAGTAAATATTGGCAGTCCTGTTACAATCCTCGCAGCTTGCAGTTGAAGTTTTTCTAATTTGTTTGAATAGCAAATACCACAATTGTCCCACACTTCGCAAGCATACTCAAATATAGGACGAATATATACCAGATACATTTTTTCTAAGTTCTGTCTTTTCATCTTAAATTTTAATTTTCTTAAGACTCCTAAATGCTTTGTTATATTTTTGGAAATATTTTCTACGTGCTCATTCCACTTTGCGTCCTGGGAGAGAGTTACACCTAAGTGTTTATGACTTGATGTGTTAGATATTGATCTTCCATTGAAAGAAAAATATAAATTACTTGGAATCTTAGTATTTGAGCAAATCATTATTTCCGTGTTATCTGGGTTAAAGGACATTAACCAATTTTTTGACCAATCATTGAGTTTGTTTAAATCATGATTAACTACTACCTCTAAGTCTGTAATGCTTGCGGTGGAATATCCCAGCGACGTATCATCAGCAAAAAGTCTAGTCAGTGAAATTAAATTTTCGCCAATATCATTTATATACAGCAAAAATAAAAGGGGACCGAGAACAGAGCCTTGGGGGACCCCCGCAGAAACAATGGACAATGACGAAGACGAATCTCTAATAACTACTTTTTGTTTTCTTTGAAAAAGATAATTTTTAGTCCATGCAAGTAAATTTCCCTTTATTCCATAAGAATTCATTTTATATATAAGTCCATTATGCCATACTTTATCGGCCAGCTGAAGGACGCCTCCGGGTGCGGGAATTTCTCGCTGCATTGAAGACCTGTTGGTGGCCTTCTGCTGTTGTCTGTTCTGTGGTCGGGTTGTTGTCTCTTTGACACATTCCCCATTTCCATTCTCAATTTTATTTATCAAATGCTTTGGAAAAATCACAGAAAACGAAGCAACTGAATTCTTTTTTTTCAAGAGAATTTAATATTGTGTTATAAAGTTCAATAAGTTGATGTACAGCTGAATGTTTAGGTAAAAATCCTGACTGATACATATAAATAAGTTTGTTCCTATGTAGATGGTTATAAATATGTTTGTAGACTACCCTCTCCATTACTTTTCCTACACAGCTAATTAGGGATATCGGTCGATAATTAGATGGTAGGGATGCATCTGCTTTCTTAAATATGGCAATTACATTGGCTATTTTCCATGAAGAAGGGTATTTACCTTGGGACAGGGATTTATTAAATATAATTTTAAGGGGTTTTGCAATTTTTTGGGGGAATATTTTAAGCATCCTGTGACTGATTTTGTCTGGCCCAGATGCTTTTTTAGGATCAAGAGTAAGAAGTATATCAACTATTTCACTCTCTGTTATTTGAATATCACTAATTATACTTTCCGTTCTATTCTCAAATGGGGGCATCTCAACATTTTGTTCCTCAAGTTTTGATATTGACGCGAAGTATTTATTCATTAGTTCACATTTGTCAGTATCGTCATATACAATATGGTCAAAATTTGGCTCATTATTTACATTTTGAATTGGTGGAATTGCGTTATTCCCCTTTGTAGATTTTATTAACATCTTCATTATTTTCCAGTAATTTTTAGGACTGGAATTATCCAGTAAAAAATTATCCAAATTTTTTTCAAAATTCTCTTTTATGTATTTGAAATTATGAGAAATAACATTTATGTTAAAGCGGCATAAAGTGTCAAATTCCTACCCCATCGAATTGACTCAACATTGATTGATAAGACACTACTTAAAAACGTTCATCAAAATTCTATAAAAAACAATACAAATGCATGAAATCGTTATAAAACATCACTGTTTGTGTGTCTTTTTTTGGACTTGACGCCATCTAATTCCGAAGATTGCCGATTAGCATGTGTACTCAATATAGATATAAGTAGGCAGACATAGAGGTAAGCACGTACATGCGTAAACTAGTATTATAACAAAATTACTGGTTGTATTTGATTTCATATAAAATTGTTTTTTTGTGGACCTAATTAATACAGGAAATCAGTCTTGTTGCTGTCTTTTTAGTTTCACTTTTCAGCTGACATTCTTTCCATTTACTGAAAATGTTAAGTAATGGCAAAGTCGACTTCCAACTGAGGGCATATATAGGTTACATGCATACTGATCTAAATGAGGTCAATTTAATGCTTTGCAAGACAATATTATATCAGCAAAGGTTTTCAGAAATTTTCAAATGTTGAATTAAAGGAAAATGAAAAAAAATATCTAACTCTTATTAATTATACAGTCAGAGTCGTATCTAATGTAAAAGAAAAAGTCATCATTTGTTTTTGATTTTATGGTTGTTTTTTTCATATATATATATTTTTATCATTTTTTTGTTTTGTTATTTAAATCAAAATGAAAACAATACTCTATACACTGAATGCGTCCGGAGCGCTTTTCTGGGTCAGGAACGCCTAAAGTCGAATTTTTGAAAGTCAAGGATGTATATGAACCGAAACAGATGAAGACCATATGAACAAAAGGACACAAAAATAATAATGAAATCCACCCAAGGTCAACTTTTCCTGAGGTATTTGAAACCTTA